AAAAAAAAAAAAAAAAAAAAAAAAAAAAGTAAAATTAACATATAAATAAGTAAGCAACTTTATAAAAGTAAAAAGTTGCTAGTGTTTATATATAAGTATAGCTATGTTTGTACACATGTATAGCTAAATTAAGTTGCCTAAAATGTTAGCTATCTAGCCTGTGTGTTAGAGGCTATGTGTACTTAAGAGCCCTCTTTCTTTATACAAAGAGAGAGGGTAGTAGTTAATAACAAGAAGATCTTTGCCTGCTTACCTCTTAGTACGCCCCTTAGGCGTACGTTTGTTTAATTAAACCTAGGTTAACTAACACTTAGAAAGATATATTAATTAATTTTATTATAAACCTACCTTTATCTAAAGGGTATATAAATATTATAGTAGTTATTAATTACTTAACTAAGTATTAATACTTAATACTATATTCTTTTATAACTGCCCTTAATATAGCCTAGTTATTTTACTAATATGTATAGGTTTACTATAGCCTGCCTAATATAATTATATTAGACAAAGGTACATAGTTTGTCTTAGCCTTCTAGAATAAACTTTGTAAATAGCTTTAAATTGTCCTTTATTTATTTACAGCTTTTTACCTAGAGACTAACAGCTAGACTAAGAATATAAACACTATAATAAAATAAGTCTTATAAGTGTACACAAACTACTAGTAAGATAACTAGGTAAAATAGTTAGCTACAGCATAGTTTAAAGCTAATAACATAACATCTAAATTAACATAAGTATCTCTATTTTTAGTAAACTATAGATACTACTTTTAAATAAGATTTAAACTACTTTTAAATACTCTCTAACTAACTTATTAATTTATATAAGTAATAAATGTAAATAGACTTATTAATAAGATTTAAAATATATTTAAATATATTTATAAAAAGCTTACATAGGCTTAAGCTTTTTAATAAGAGTACGTAAACTAATTCTAAACTCCTGCCTTTATATATGCAGCTAGTAAGAAGGTCTAGCTAAACACTAGAAATATTTAAATAAACTAATAATTAAAGAAACTTAATTAGAAGAACCTTAGCCCCTTTATAGTAGCCTATATAGTTTTATTATATGCTTACTAATTAATCCTACCTAATAGCATAAAGATACACCCTATGTTTTATGTATTATTGCTGCGCTAAGTAGCTTTTAAATCTAACTATTTACTTAAACAGCTAAACCTACTACTTAAACCTATTATTATAAATAATAAATTAGAATATATTATAAAAGATGTTAAATAGATTTAGTTTAATAAAAAAAAACATATCTATAAATACTTTATAAAATAGACTAGATACAACAAACTGTTATAAAAACCTATAAAAGCCTTATAAGAGAACTCTGCAGTAACTTAATTTTATGCTTAATACTTATCTAAACTAAACTTATACCCTAATAAAAACAACTTAATGCTAGAACTACTAATGTAAAGGATTCCCTTTTTAATAAGAGGGGGAGTACTGTCACAGTATCCTCTCTAAATCCTAGACATAACTATATTAGACGCGTACTAGAGTATTATTAGTGCACGTCTAACATAAATATAATATAATATAGACATAAACTTAAGTATAAACTGCCTTAACACTAACTAAACCTAGAATAGGCTTAATTTATACCTAAAGCGCTTAGACTTTTAAGCTAAGTATTTAATTACTAATTTTCTTTTAAACCTTTCTGTTCCTTACACAACATCTTGTACCTACTATAATACCTCACGTAGTAATTAAACTAGACCTCTGTGAAGCTCTATAACCTACTCGTGCACAATTGTGACAATGCGTAAGGATTTTCCTCTTAGCTAGTAGCTGTAGCTAATATAGCTAATTTTTTACACACTAAGCATAATCTAGGCTATGTTAGCATAAACTAGCCTAGTATGTTTATAAAGTGTTATTTAAAGCTTAAAGTAAAGTTTAAGTATAAGTATAACTATAAAAAAGCCTTTTATAAGAATTTTAAAGTAATTTAGAGCTAGTTTAGCCTTATAAAGAATATTAAAGCTAATTATAGTATCTAAAATAATAACACATATAACTTTAATAAAATAAGCTTTATAATAAGCTAGATATTTACTAACTATACTTATACTTAAAACTTTACTTTAAGCTTTAAATATTACTTTATAGACATACTAAGCTAGTTTATACTAATATAGCCTAAATTATACTTAGCGTGTAAAGAATTAGCTATATTAGCTATAGCTACTAGCTAAGAGGAAAATCCTTACATATATAGCTTAAGCATAGGCTTAATAATTACCTACTTTTTATTATTACTTAGCTTTTATAAGTTAGCTATAAAATTAGCTTATAAAAGTTATTTAGTATGTAAGTTATTTACTATTTTTTTAAAAGAACTTTATACATAGCTATAACATGTTATTTTAAAAGTGTTACATCTTATTTAAAAGCCTAAAGTGTAAGCTGTATCTAATGTCCTTTTAGTGTGTCTAAGTAGTGTTATTAGAAATGCATTAGTGTAAGAAAAGTAGTTTAGTAGAGTTTTAGTAAAAGTAAGTAACTTAGGCGTGTAAGTAACTTGCCTGTTAAGTATGTTATAAATTTCTAATTAATTTAGTCTAGTAGTTACTTAGTTCTAGTTTAGAAAACAATACTACTAATTTTAAAATTATAGTATAGATAGGTTAGAATTCTACACATAGTTAGACTTTTTTTTTTTTTACTATTAGTAGTTAGAATTTAGTAAAAAAATTTTTTTTTAGCTATTTTATACTTACAGCTTGTCTTTATATTCTATTAAATTCTAAGCCTCTTTAGAAATATAGTAGCAAAGATATTATAAATCGAATTCTGTTATATAACCTTTAAAGTTGGTTAAATTACAAAAATCCCTTAGACAGTTAATAAGAAAAACGCTAGCTACAGAGGTTAGAAACTGCTAACCCCTAGGCCATACTCTGTTTAGAGTAGCGTCCTCAGTTCTCTCATCGCCCCGGCTAAGCTAGCTGGGATAAGTAATAGCTTCTCCTCGCCAAATGTAAAACCACATTTAGACTGGGGCAAATTCCAACATCATCTTAAACACAAACATAAATTTCAAATGCTAAACGAGAGCGTCCAGAATCCTAAGCAAAGTTGAGCTTAATTAATCTACAAAAGCAGTAAAGACAGAACTAAAGCCCCCATTTCAACTTAATCTCATCTACCCTTTTCTAAAACCCCCATGCGCCCCTCACCCCACGGAGAATACTACCCATTTAGCGGTAGATGTAATAGCTAACATAGTCATCAATGTCATGGTATTGTTCCAATCCCTTGGAAATCCTGTCCCTTGAAGTCGTGGAATATTCTGTATTCAACTTCATCCTTTCTCGAGCTTATTGTGAATCCATACTATTACATGTTTCATTCAACGACTAAATCTCTATCGTCTGCCCTGGAAGATGTTTGCAAAACTATCAGGCTTTGAATTAACGTTATGCTAGGTGCCCTGCTTCCAGCTGGTTAAGTTCTACGTTGCGAAAGGCGCAGCTTTGAAGAATTCCTGGTGTCCAGTGCTAGGAGAGCTAGGACTTCCGGCAACAGAGCTGTGAAAGCTGGGTTAGTTATGGGAGCGAACTCGGAGAAGATTACTAGGGCTGAGTAAGTGTGCGAAGATTGATTCTCAGAGACCAATACCTCCTTTCGTCCTTCGTAACCCTAAACCATTTCCTTTTCCTTATTGCGCGGACATCGAAGTATTAGAAGAGTGGTCGTGAGTGGATGAGGATGAAGCTAACATGAAAATTATGCCGAGCAGTCCCGCTCTAATATAAGCTAGAATTAGGAATAAGATTCCGATGGGGCATGCTAACCTGGGGTACGTTCCCTCCTCCTGCAAGCCAGAACTCCCAGAGTATCTACCAAACCGACCCTTTTCTCCGGGGGCTTCCCGAATGACCACCTTCCTCCTACTTCCCACAAAACCTGCAACTCACTACATCACTCTCTCTATGTCTTGAGTTATAGCCAAAGCTAGAAGATAGTTTTCAATACTCGTACGTCGGACCTGGGTTCAAGTTATTGCTTTGCTTAGCAAACTGATTGATATTTACAAATCTATAAATCCTGTCCTAATCCTATTTTACGAACTATATTCTCCACTTTTTGGGTCCCAATATCCAATCCAAACTCCAGGGGTCTCACCAGTAAAAAATAACCCATGTGAATCGATGCGTAAACGCATCCCAAGCTATACCGTGCCCTGCGCCAACCAGGCGTCCAATGCCTAGTATCCAGAACAGAAGGAGAAGAGGGGAATTGACTTGCCGGCTATAATCGTGTGCCGTTGATGTGAAAAGGAGAAATTCTTACCCGGTCTATCTCGTAGGCCGCAAAGAGGAAAGTGTGGGGAAGGGGGAAGGTGTGACATGTATCTATGATGTCGGGTATGTGTGTGCTAATGCTAACGCCGTTGCTGATGCTGATATCGTGGCGCAAGCATAGAAAGTATAGTAAGTATGTCGAAAGGTGTTGTATGTGCAATGCGCGTGCGTGTGCGTCTCCGTCTTTTCCTCGTCCATCTCGTCCATCTCATCCCCCAACCCAATCCTCCAACCCAGTCTTCCAACCCCGCCCCCTCTCACGGCTTAACCTTCTCCCTCTCCATCCTCTTAACCGGATGCAGTAACATTGCCGGCATGCACATCCTCCGTTCCTGCCACACTCCATCCATCCCCTCCCCACCCTCAATCCTCTCCTCCTGCCCCCAATCCTGCATAGCCACTTGCCAATTCAACCACCGCCGATACAACGTCCTCGGGAACTTACTCGCGTAATACCAACTCCAGCCCTGGAAATTATACTCGCGATCATGATTATATGGAGAATCCGCTTGTTCCGTCCACGCTCCTTGGATGGGGGTAACGGGACCGTAACGAGAGTTATCGATGGTCGAATGGGCGTCAAAAATGGCCTCAGAGTATGCAGCGGGCCAGTGGCGGTCGTTGAAGATCGGGTGTGGTGCGTACACGGCTTTGAGACCATGTTGGAGGGCGACGGTCGAAGGCCACATTTCCGCTTGCATGCTTCTTCCAACTAAGTTCTCTTCGTGCATGGCTTGCAGCATGCGTTTGCTGAAGCGGACGACGGTGTTGATGAAGACACGACGGTCGATGTGGATGAAATCCGGGTGCGTGAACCAGTCCGCTGCGCCGTCTTGCGGGGTGAAGACCGGGCGCACGCCTGGGAGATAGTTCCAGATTTTATCTTTGTAGGACCAGCTTGTGTTGCGGGGGTCCCAGATAGGGAGAAGGGTGATGAAGTCTGCGGGTTCGTTGACGCCCCATTTAAATTCATCGTCCTCAAATGATGTGGGAGGTGTGGGCCCGAGGGGTTTCTGAGGGGGGTCGGCGCGAGCCCAGGGTCGAGGACCCCAGACTGGAGGTGGGATGAGGGAGTTTGCAGAGGCGTTGAGGACGTCAGCGTGAGTTTGCTCGACGAAGTTCTTGTACGAGCCATGGACGGATGGGAGGTAATAGCGCTTGTTGCGTTCCCAGAGAAGTTTGCGAGGCTGCATGTCTGCGAATTCGGAAATCTTCTCAAAGAAGTGGTAGTGATGGCCGGTGTATCGGGCATCCGTTTCCCAATTCCAGATATAATCGAATTCGGGATGTGTTAGCGAGAACCACTGGAGGCACATGAACTGTTGCCAGTAGACTTGCCAGTCTTTGACCTCCGGATACCATTTTGGGAAGATCGCTTCTGACCATAGAATAGCAACATCTCGCAGCTCCGCGGGAACATGTTCTCGAAGAACCTCGTCATAGATAGCCGGGTTGTCAAAAATGGGCTTGTTGCGATCCTTGACATGGACATACAGAAAGACCTGATATTCGCCACCAGATTGAAGAGACAACTCCGAGATCATAGCACGAATAGCCGTTATATCGTTCTCCTCATAATGGTATCCCGTCCACGCACGAATTAGGACCGCCGTCCGATGATGGTACTGCGGACCCTTCGCATTCCTATTCTCAACATTCCCCCTGCTCGTCCCCGTAGGAGTCGCGAATGCTGACGACGCGACGGCCGAAGGAGGAAGCGTTGTGCTCGGTTGCTTATCGACTGGTGTTCTAGCCTCCGGACGGTAACGATTCTTGTTCAACTCCAGACACTCATCTTGCAGCATTCCCCAGTTCATCTCCGTCCATTCCGGAACCGTCTTTGGGGCCTTCCAGTCCTTCACATCCTCGGGGAACTCCTCGTCTCCGAATCCATACGGGCCGTATCGGGAGTACCGGTCGAAGCAAACATTGCCGTCTAACCCGATAACATCGTATCCGCCAGCAAACACCTTTGGGAAGCCCTCTGGAACGCCGGAATAGACCTGAACCTCATCATCTGCGCTTTCATTCAGACGCATTCCTCTCGGTCCCATGCACGCCACATATGTGCCTTTCCATTTCTTCCCCCACTCGCGATTGTTATACTCGGGAAAGGGTTTGTAAGCTTGGGGCGAGGAAGCTACAGTCTTGCTCAGCTTGTCGTGACCCGCGTTATACGGCCGGTAGTCCCTGTACGCACACGTCAGAAACCCGAGCTCGACTCCTACTCCATGAATACAACATCCGGCAGAGCAGAACGCAGCAGACCGGAACATACATTTCGAACTCCTCCCACCGATTAGGATCATAATCCTTATCAACATAATCCCCAAACGGCGGCCAGTGCCCATTCCACGTCGGCCTCGTCCAATTCAACATGTTCTTCATATACTCCTTCAAATCCGTTGGTCTCGGTTCCGGCACACCTAAATCTAATGGGTTTGTTTTACCCCCGTCTATAGCCCACGGCACACTCGGTTTCCCGCCCACTCTAGCCTTGTCAGGGCCATCTGAAGACTTCGACCCGCTGGCATCACCACTTCCATTCTCATGCGGAGGGGTTGGGGACTGGAACAACGGAAGCTGTTCGTAGACATTGGACGCTGCCCACGGCGATTGTTGCAGGACAGCGAGGATGAAGATGAAAGCGACGAGTGAGAGAAATACAAGTTTACGGGGTGAGCGGACAAGCATTGTAGATGGCGATGCGCGAACGAATGGATACGATGGAGCCTGTATTGGTGTCTACCAATGAAGGAGCATCGCTTGCCGGAGCGGCTGCTGAGGATACGATACGACACGATACAATATCCAGCCGTGGTGTAGGAGGATTTGATATCTCTCTCGTATCGAGACGAGAAGAGGATAGTACAGTGCGGTGAATACGTCCCTCGAACAGCTCGCTCAGAAACCGTCAAAAGACGGACTCAAATCAGTCCAGGAAACGTCAATGTCGGTGGAGCAGAACGCAATACTCCGGGACAAATATCAGAGACTGTCTGTTGAAAGAAACTCAACTGAGGGAAAGAAAAGGAAGGGACAACACGGAGGAGCCCGTGAAACGCAGAACAGAACAGAACAGAACAAGAAGCCGTCGACGTGCTGCAGACCTTCAAGATTAAACCTGGCCTGACGTTTTACACCTCTCCGAGGGCTCCAACTGTGCCCCGATGGCCCCTGCTGCTCAGGGGAGTTTGGACCCACCAATGTCAGAATTATCGACCAGTCAGACCGGGAGAAGCGCTTGATCTGCAAGGACACAGTTGAGTTGCGGGTAAAGGGTGGCTAGTTGCATCCGCCGCGCTAAACAGTGCCACCCCCATCCCTCATGTTGCTCTATCATTTCGCACGACGACGTGCAAGACAGACCATCAGGAACAACGTTTCCCTAATCATCAGGATTCCCACCAGCATCTCAGGCGCGCTCTTCGTCTGACCGCTCCCCCAGTCTGTCTGTCTATCTAAATAAACCCTCCCCCCGCACACACGCCAGCCCGCCAGCTCACCAAGCGCCCTCATCCTTAAATAATCCCAGACGTTGCAGACCCCACAGTTCCAGATACCCTCAGTTCCCGATCTACACACTACGCCACCACTGTTTCGCACCACCGGCACCGACAGCGGGTAAAAGATCAACCTCTGACGCTCGTTGCACGAACCAAACCCAACGAGAATCCAAACCCTCACTACCTCCAACCGTGCAAATAGCTCCACCAATCAATCGCGAGTTCTCCACTTACATGCTTCGGTAGTGAACAGAACCGAAGGCTTGAAGAGTAGTGGAAGGTTTTTTTTTTTTTGTACACATAGCGGGAGCGTGTGTGACCGAGAAATCAATGTGCAGGAGAGAAGGAACGATTAATTAGCAAACGACGGAGATGACACGCAATCCCATCCTCTTATAACAGTCAGCTGATTATAATCAGCAGCCCGACAGAGCACTGGCACCATTGCATCCGTCAAGGAACTTCAAATTACCACATCGCGGCTCACACCCGTTCCAGTTCCATCTTCCAAGACCATCAAACAGCGGGCCGCAAACCTGTAACACGGCTCCAAAATCTGGAATAAATTAAAATAACCCCGGCCCAACCATCGCACACTTGACGCACATAGGTATCGCATTTCCCATGCTGTCGATGATGCAGAATCTGATTCTGGTGGTTATGATGTCTATGCTATAATAGGGATCTGTCGCTTAATGCGGGCAGCGCATGGCATCGCCTACGCTCCTTCTGTACTGTAATCAAAACAACCTAGTCAGACCAGTCCAGCACGCCTCGTATGCAATGCACACACACGCATGTCCGCATGTCAACATGTCAACATGTCAATGATGTTTATCTGTGATGCCTCTCGTTGCTGCTGCCGCTTTCGCCCCAAAACAAAACCCCCACAGTATCTCTGGGTAGGATTCAAGAGTACACAACTAGCAGGCAACACCAATGAACACAGCCCTCTCTCTATTTCCACTTCTGCACCACCACGCCTCCGCGTTTGAACTCCGCCATATCACCTAGCAACTTCGACTTATCTGTCAACTCGGTCGACGGAAACGTCGTCATAAGCGCATACGCCCGCTGCGTGCTAGCCGCACTTGCGGCATCCACAAAACCATACACATCGCCAATCGTATGCGTCGTATTGAATCGGGATTGCAGGCGGGTTCCATCCCCAAGCCGGATTTGCAGCGTGACCGTGGGCGCCGAGGCATCGATATCGACGGCGGCAGGTGACGCGGCACTAGAAGTCGAGGCTGTCGCGGTGGTGGTGGTGGTGGTGGTACCCGCGGCGGGAGGCGGTGGCGCTGCGATTGCGGTTCCACCCGGCGTGGGACTACCCAATCGCTGGCCAGAGCCCGAGAAGGGAACGTATTTCTTCTTCGGCGTCTTGTAGTCCTCGTCTTTGTGCGGGTGGACCTCGACGTCGACCTCCTGGCCCGGCTCGACGTTCAGGATATGCAGCGGGGCGTGCCCGGAATTGATCATCTCCAGCGTGCGAGCGTTGGCGGGGTCGTCGTAGCGGAATAGAGGGCCGTCGTCGACAGAGAAGCCATCTCGCCAAAGATGCAGCTCGCGGTTGACGCGCTGCGGAGGGTGCGGGGCTTCAGCGTTGGGGTCGGGGATAACACGACTCGGGGCGTCGTCTCCACCGAGCGTCATACCAGTTCCTGTGAAGTGGGAGCTAGGTCGCTCGTCATCACCACCAGGTCGCGGGGCATTCCTACAGACAATTAGCCGTGAAGGATGGAACAGAGGGGACCTTGGGGACCTTGTGTGGCACTTACTGCCGAGCTCGTCGCAGGATATTATTGATCTGGTCACGCGGATTCGCAGCATTGGGGTTTTGGACAGCAAGACCAGACTTCTCGCCACCGGCAAAGAAGTCTTGGTTCCCGTCATCTTGGTAGTCTTCATCGGACGCATGATCGCCATCGTCACCGTGAGCATGTCCATGACCGCCGGCGGCACCAGCGCCGCCCTGTGTTTGCAAATCCTTCAACGTCCGCATTCCACGCTGGGGGGGGTGACGAGAAGTAGCGGGCTGTGCAGACGATGAAGAAGGCTCTGCTGGCACATACGCGCCGCCGAGCGTCCGACCGCCACCTGTGCCCTGGGGAGGATTTGGGGTTGGCTCAGTTGGTTGATCGTCGCCAGCCATGTCGATGTCGATGTGATCGTCTGAGTGTTCCTGTGGGAGCGTGGTGGCACCGTCGTAGTAGAGTGTTGCGGCAGTATCGAGCTGCCAGCCACCAGCTTGTAAGTAGTGTTCAGCCTGTGGACTGGGGTTAGTGATGACAGGAAATGGATCGTTGGAATTTCGACGAGCTTCGACGGACCTCTGCAGCGCCGATTCCAGCAAGGCTTGTAAGTTGTGCAATAAGCTCGTCTCGATTGCGTGGAGGATCACCCGAAGACATAGCAATACAAGCTGTAGGGAGGTGCTTTTGCTTTGTCGGGGTCAGTTGAGTTGGCAGCTTCGGGGGCGACGGCGGGGTTTTTAGACGCGGGCGAGCTTCGCAGGCGGCAGCCTTGACGTGGGACCCTCACTGTGTCAAGTGCAGGGCGCGGCGCAAATTGGCTGGGACGACTTTCCCTCAATTCGGGGCTGAAGAAAAATTACCAGTGGAAGAGAGTCCACATTCAGTGCCGCCAGCCAGTGCGACAAGATGCACCGCAGGTGAAAGGCGCACACAGTTATTCGGCGACAAAAGCTACCCCGTCTCTTGGCGATCGCGCAGCCGGGCATCTTGCAAGCACAGAGCCTCAATCCTCCATCCCCATCTCAGGTACGCTGACTTCGCGCCATCGACCATCGCGTCCAGGAGCCCACGGACGGGCATTCGACCACTCAATCGACACCTCCGTCACCAATCCCTTAATATTCCTCACCACCCCCCGTCTACCCGTCATCACCGCGATTAAATTCACTAGCCTTCAACTTCGGAAGCCGCACCTCCTCCCCTCCCCCCACCCCCCAACTGCCCCATCTCGCTGTTGCCTCTCTCCCCCTCCCCCCTCCCCCCCCGGCTTCCCATTGCACACCATTCTACACTATGGCCGCGAACCCCTCACCCCAACCCCCCCACAGCACCAACACGCTGACCGAATCCGGCATAACCATCCCCTCTGATAGCGAAAACTACGACGGCAACCATGAGCTCTCTTCCTCTCCTCCTTCCTCCTCCTCCTCCCCCCTAATACTCTACTCGCCGCCTACGTTCTGGGGTCTGGTGCGCGGGGCCGCGATAAATTTACTGCTGCCGTTTGTCAACGGGCTGATGTTGGGCTTTGGAGAGTTGATTGCGAATGAGGTTGCTTGGAGGTTTGGGTGGAGTGGTACGAAGGTATGTCGATGTGCTCCGCTGGAATGAGAGGAGGTCCGCCATTGCGTCCACTAACAGCCCCACCAGATATTCCCCACCCACCGCTCCTCCACCCGTCGCGTGGGTCCCGGCGTGGAAATGCGTCCCGATCCCATCGAGCGCCGACGAAGGAATGGTCGAGAGATGGACATGTATACTAGCCTGGAGTAAAGTCGATTTAGAGGGGGTTCTGATTCCACTCGGCCCAGAGTCCAAGTAGGGGTTAGGCAATCGGCGGGTTAAGCGGGGCAGGAGGTGCTCTGTTAAAAAATAAAGACGATAATCATCGGACCGGCCGGACAGACAGAGAGGAGAGAAGCTGTATATAGGAGGCGGAGGCGTTGGTGTTGGTGTTGGCGTGGCGTCGGCATCTCTATACGCCCGCCGTAATCGATATAGCGGACTAATACTCCTCACTTAGGCGTTTGAGGATCCAGCACTAGCGAACTGCGTCTTCGTTGAAGCGGGATGACCGATATACAGAAATACAAGAGCAGGCGTATTCTCCATTTCCGTGATTGTACAGTACATACATACATATATGCATCTACAAAACCCCAGAAAAAGTCCTAACCCCGTCTCTCACCATGCACACCCCCTTCCCCCCCAATCCATCCATCTACAAGTACTTACACAAAGCTCGAATGAAAGTAACCGTCCCCAACCTAATCTAATATACAGACACCCCTCCCACACTCTTCCCCCTCCGACTCAAATTTAACCCCTCTCTCTCCTCCTCCTCTCAAACTCCTCCGCCCTCTCTCTCGCCTTCTTCTTCCTCTCGCTCGCAATCTTCGCCTGTCCTACATCACTCCCCATGATCCCCGCCGCCCAAAACCTCACCCTCCGAAACAGCATCCCCGGCTTATAATTCCGCCAATACCAATCCATCTTCGCGCGAATCCCTGCCGGCGGGCCGTCGTTGATGTCATAGTCGCCGAGCGCTGTCTGCGGGTCGACTTGCGGTGTGGGTTTGAGTGCCGCGAGGTGTGCGGGCATTGTTGCGCCGCGGCGGAGGTTGATTTTTGGGGGGGAAGCAGGCGGGGATGGGGTGCCGGAGGAGGGTTTTCTGGATGTGGATGTGGATATAGATGCGGGCGAAGATGCGGGTTTCTTGAGTGTCGATGTTGGGGCTTTGTATTCTAGCGAGTATTTCTTCGGGCCTTGAAGGTACTGTTTAGCAACTGTGATGGTGCCGTCTGGATTTCGTTTAACCGCCTCCCACGGAATCTCGCCATCCGTAACGCGCTTCCAGAACGCCGTGGCCTCTTTCGTCGGCATCTGCTTGATGCCTAGGTAGTCTCTTACGGCGGGGACGCGCAACGTGCGACCGAGGACCATGCCGAGGATGGTCGTCAGGCCGAAGTAGATTTGCAAGGCGGCTGGCTGCCACGTGGTGATTGTCGTCATGAAAAATGGGAGAATGTAGTGGGTTACCAGTTTCACACCGGGAGTGGCGCCTTGAGTTGAGGGTCCGGCTTCGCCGCCAAACTGTGATTTCATGGTCAGCAGCCGAGTATTGCACGACTAGAGGGTAACTCAAATCGACTTACCCGAGCCATTAGGTGCATTGAAAGGCCCACGGTAAGCGGTAGGATGTAGTACGGGTCGCTGACAGTCAAATCGGTAAACCAGGCGAACCCGGCGGTCTCCAATCCAGGGACTGGTAGACTCGCCATGCCTCTCAAGAGTCGGAACGCTCCGAATCCTAGCACGCCTTGGAATATCATGCCGCCGAATGTCTTAAACAAACTGGTGCCAGCTAGCTTGTATTCGGCCGAGACTTGTCGTCTGAGCTGAAGAGAGCGCTGCGTATCGTTATTCCGCATTGCCTCAGTTGATTCCGTTTGCAATTTCTTTACGACGGGGCTTATGGACGCCATTCTGGCCTGGCCGTCGGCGGTCCTGATCAAAGGGTACAAGGAAAGGGCTCGAACCACCAACGTCCCGACAATAATAGCGCCACCCCACGACAATCCAGAATAGATATAGATATGCTCGAACATCCATTGCATGGTCGATGTGATGCCCCAACCATAATCCAGGCCCAATTCCTTCAGATATCCGATATGTTCCGTAACTTGAGATGGGTCTATTGGTCCTAGAGATGCTTCTGCTGGATTAGCTGCTGGGTCGTAGCCGAGGATGTCCTCGAGATTCTTCTCGGTGGCCTGGGCGGAGCTGGGAACATTTAGCACTGGGGTGCTGTCCACTGTTCCTGGAGAAAGCTCTGGTGTCTGCGAGGTAGTGGCCGGTTCCTGTGCCGAAGAAGATGCTCCACTAGACATTGTAGCTGGAGCCGGATCTGAAGAGCCCGAAGTTGAACGACCCCAGCTCCAAGGATTGTACCAGGACGACCCACTACTCACATCAGCAGGGCTTTCTATGTCTGTTGGCGACAGCTCCGGCGTCTGGCTTATAACTGCGGGTTCTGCCGGGGGAGGTGAGGTGGGAAGTGGGGGTGCTGATGGAGGTGCTGCAACATCGGCAGGAGTTGAGGAACTTGATGGGTTTTGACTCGAACGTCCCCATGACCAAGGCGCATACCAAGACCCATTGCGAACTGTAGTCGACGGAGAGAGCGCGATGGGGTAAATAATTGCGCCCGTTCGCCAATTTGTGGAATGGAGACGGCTCGTTCGACATGATGGAGCGGAGAAGGCTGCCCTTCGAGGGATGTTAGAAAACTATTTAGTAATATGTCAGCCAATTATCTACATATATTAGGCCAATTGAAGATAGAGCAACTAAATTCGGGCCTGTGAGAGCTTTGCGGAAAAGATTGCAATGCTCAGGAGCGGAGCAACGGCAGTCTACACACCTGTCTCGAAGAATTAGGGCGCCCTGCTGAGCATTGGTGAGAGCGTAAAGAAGGAACGATATGTGCGGGCCGCAGCCCTTTGCTTGAAAGCATGCTTGTCGTCCGAAGAATTCGAGGTGCAGCTCTGAATTCGAAAAACATGTTGGTGCCAAGACTACGGCAGGCTCTTCCGCCGCACTCGAGCCAACAACGCAATTCCACAATGTTACTCGTAAGCCGACCTCAGGACACAATATATTCATTGCACATATTAGTATGCAAGTCACGATTCATTAGGATGAACATGTCCGACAGAACTAATATTTTCTTCACAAACCCATACCAATCAGAAACACCATTTTCACCCCGTCGTCCTAAACCAGGGCCCGATCACCGCGCACACTGTAACCCGCTACCCACTAGGGAATGCCGATAAGAAAAGAACATGTTATGTAGAAACTATCGGTACAGCAGAGTACAGGGTAGCCCCAATAGTCGGAGCACTACCTGCAAGAGCAGCCGCAAATGGTGCCTTAAAAACTCCGCCTGACGAAGCAGACAAAATAGGGATGCATATGCTGCAACCGAAATGCAACCGAAAGGCATTAAGCCCCCTAGAAGGCGAAAGAAATAAAGGAGAAAAGATGGTGACCCAGTAGAGGCTTCTAAGGGAGGGTCGAGGAAGTGCCTCAAGAAGAACATAATTGGAGTCGTGTCATACCGCGTCGTAATTTTCCGATGTGAACATTAATCTGACATGCCTAGACGCCGATGATGCCGGTCAAACGCCATCCACAATATGCCGTGAATAGTATGAAGTAAATAAAGGGAAGAGAAACTTATGCCATAATGGAAAGGGAAGTGGTCAGTCCTTTATCCTCAGTCGATGTACCGGCTGTCCTCGGTGATAGCCAAGGCCTCTTCGGCCTGGCCTCCGCCTACTTCCATCATCTCGCCAAACATCTCTTGTCCACTTCCGGAACTCTTAAATGGGTCCTGCATCGGACTTGCTGGCCCCTGCCCGGATCCATCAAACAATCCAGGGTCAATAGGTTGGATGGATGAACTAGCTCCAAAATTCATCGGCGCACCAGTAAATGTTGGCGAGTTGTTGTAACTAGTCGTAGGTACAGAGTTGAAGTAATCCTGCTCACCAAAACCACGTCGAAGACCTGGTGGCTCGCCTGGGGGAGTATGCGAAGGCTCGGGGGCGGGCTGGATTGTCTGGGGCGTCTTTGTTGGATCAAGTGACTTGCGATGCTTGAATTGGTGAGTTTTTGTCCTTAAATGCTGAGGCAAGTCTTCTGGGTTCGTAAGACCGAGCTGGTTCATGAGCTTCTGCTGCTTTGTCGGGCGAGGCTTGCGTGTCGAGAGAGATACTTGGAGTATTGGTGGTGGCGAAGGAGCCACTGGAGCCCACTTGTGCAGCTCCTGGCGGAAGAAGTTGATTTCATTCGACAGGAGAATTTCTGCACCTTCCAGCTTACGCAGGTAGAAGCGTTGGGTCGTAAGCTCATCCGGACTTGACATCAACGGGTTGATGTACTTGGCGACATAGTCGCGAAATTTGCTGCCGTGGTCAATGAGAGATTCGAGCGTATCTTCTTCCTCCGGCTGGAAAGGCAGGTGAGGAAGTTCGTCTTGCCAAGTCATAAGGTCCTCTAGCTTTGGTCGGGTGGCATCCCGGGGGATCTTGACACGGTAGTCACAGATTGGGCAAGTATACTTGTCATCCTCTTTGACTTTGCCGCGGGCAATCTTAAGACATTTGCCATGGTACCTAAGCGCATGAGTGAGTGGTTTATACCGTATAGATATGATTGACTGCTCACCATTCATGACAGAGTTCGCATTCAATCATCATACCAGCCTCCGGCTTGCGGCAAATGCAGAACACGTCCCGACTTGAACCAGAACCGTCTACATTGTCGCCTTCCTCAGGACTATTAGCTCGTGATGCGGGCTCAACGGGCATTCGGGGTTGATCGGCAAGATCAAAACAAGATCGGTTTCGCTCGTCTACCTGCTTCATGTGTGCCTGGAGAATGTGGAGCGGCGCATTAGCTTTTCCGAACAACTTCTTTCCCCGGCGCATCCAATCCTCGTGGCGCTTCTGCTCCTTCTCGAGATCGATGGTACCGGATGGCTTACTATTGAGCGCATTGAGGGCCTCCATAGCATCGCGGACTTCTCTATACTTTGGTCGTTGGCGGAAGTCGGGATTTTTGCTACGCTCGTACAGGGACATGATTAGCTCTTGGGCATCCCGCTGCTTTTTGAGAATTGCATCTACACCAGCAAGAGTTTCTGGCGTGACCGGGAGGCTAGTGGCCTGCTTTGATAGAGCATCTAACTGTTGATAGTGGACGTTCTCGACCGACATGAGTTCGTTGGCTTTGGCCTCCCAGAGCTCTCCTTGAGCTTTCTTCTCTTGGTACCAATGGATCTCGGGGTGGTTCTCTGGGATACCAAGTTCCAGACCTTGCACAATGAGATCTGAAACCTCTTGAAGAGTTGACTGCTTAGTCTTGAGTTCATAGGCCTCCTGGAGCCACTTGAGTTGTTGGACAACCCGATCAAGTGAATCAAGCTCTGGAATGTCGACGTTGAAACCTTTGCCTTCTTCCAAAAGCTCGTCTAACTTAGCAATGCTCTGCTGAGCGGGTCGATCCCGCAAGGCTGTTTGCGCCTTTTGTTGGAACTCTGCGATGTTGTCGGCACGTTCCCGAAGCGCGGTGATCTCTGGGCTGTCAAAGCAGAGCTTGTCGGCCTTGTAGAGCAGCTTCTGGATGTTTTCGACTTTGCGATACTCACGTTCTTTCTCATCCAGCTCAGCGGCGGCAGCAGCTTTCGCCGCAGTGCCTCTTCGCCATGCTCGCTCGTTCTTCCGCCGATTTTGCTGTTTGCGTGTGGTGTAGTTGACGGCCTCTTCCGCGAGCTCTGAGCATTTCTCGACGAACTCCTTCAAGTCCGATAGACCATTGAGCTCCCAGTCGATCTTTTCGCCCTCGTTCAAGAGTGCGCGCAAAGCCTTGAGTTGAGGTTTTGGACCATCCGCGAGAAGATTATCCAGCTTAGATTCCCAGGCTTCGGGAGTACTAGCCTTGTCTACAATCTTCTGAACGGATGTTCGCAAGGAATCATCTGACATACGATAGACGAGCATGTGTTCACCTCCAGTGCCGAGATAGCGATCCTTCTCCTCCGACCCGGGGCAACATTCGAACCAGCCAGCATGACGTAAACAGACCGCTTTAGAAGTCTTCGTACAGATGAATCGAGACAGATAGCTGTAGGCCTTGCAATAGCTACAGATCATTTCATCTTCGTGGAGATCCGAGTCATCGGTCATGAAGTCGATTTCACACTTGGTGTCAACTTCACCAGAGCCGTCCACCCTGCAGGAATGCTCCTGGGAGGTTTTGTGTTTCTCGAGGAACTCAGTGCGACTTTGTAATTCGCGATCGCGCATTCGCACTAATGCTGGACCTAGCCATTTCGCGGTTTTGATCGATGTATCTTTCCGTGCAGCTGCAGCCAGAAGGAGTTCGTCATGAGAGAAGCACGGTTGTCGGCGGAAATCTTGGAGTCTTTGCACACCAACTTCACCAAAAGGCTCCCAGTCGTATGGGGCAAAATTGACTGCTTCGTTGAAGTTGAAACCGTGATTGAATCCAGCATGATAGGCTTGCGGGAAAGTGATGACGAATTCTCCAGCTCGTTGGTCCAAGGCGTATACTCGTACTCCGGCCTTCTGAAGTTGTTCAGGGGTAAGCAAAGTGACGAGTTGGAACAGCAGATCTGGCTGAGTCTCGAAGAGCTCGGGTACTGCCTCCCGCATCGCTTGCTCGAACTTCTCCGCATCCTCGGCTGGAATACCGTACCAAGTCTTAGTTGCGCCGAAATGTTGGTAGTTTGCAGAATAGGTATAATGATCTTCGGCGTGCCAACAGAATGTAGAGAAGACCATGCCCACATATAGCCATGGCACTGTCATCCCAGAGATGTCGGACTTGATGTGGCGGAAGAGCGACTCGGCGTTGTATGGTAAGATATTGAGGTTCCAGGGATCAGTCGCATACGGATCGCGGGGGTTGCGCTCGATAGTTGGGAATCCACTTCCGTGTGTCGTAGAATGCACATCTGCGCCATATTCGACTTCGACAGTCTCAGTGATGCTCTCGACGAGTCTCCAGAATTCGCGCTCAACATCGTCTTCAGAGACAGGCTTCTTAGTGTTTGTCAAGGGGTCGAACATCTTATTGGCGAAATGGCCTTCCTTGAAGTTGTGTGCCTTTTCTTGGAATTGTCCGAGGGAGTAGACACCGCCCTCCTCAAAGCCAAACTCACCCGTGCCGACGAGACATTTCGGACAGTGCCAGTCATATTCCGGAACGGCTTTGACTGGCGGATCAAGGCAGAATCCGTGATAACCAGCATCGCAGCTGTCACAGAGCAGAATGCGCTCAGGGTCGTTGTCGTTACCGCAAGACTCACATCTCTGTAAATTTAGGTATCAGTATCTTTTTGGGGTGGTGCATGCAAGTATTAGAAGGACTAGTGCTTACATCGCCAGGCCGCTCGTCAGGCGCTCGAGTGCGCGGGTTGAAGGGTCGTGGTGTTGAAAGTCGGGGTTGGGTCATGTGAGAGCCCGCCACAGTGGGCGCCGCATCTGCAAGAGGTCTCGTTAGCCCGGCTCGGCACCCAATGAAAAATACAGCGCTCAATCAATCGTGCCTGGATCGAGGCAAGGATGCGCAAATGGACAACCCTGTTTGAACGACAGGAAGAACGAAGGCTGCAGAAATGATGCAGACACAGGATCCGCTTACCTTTCTTTAGACGCTTACTACGCCGGCCATTCGCCGCATCCGCATCGTCGTTCATGCCACTGTCGGTATCTTGCGACAGGGTTCGCTTAAGGTGGTTGAGCGCCTGCCCATTCGCGAGGGGAGTCAATCCAGCGGCTGACGGTCGCAGATCCGGCGTATTGTGAGCTGAAAGCATGGGGCTGCCGCCATTGCGCAAAGGCGTAGAATTTCGAGAATCAATATTATCTCGAAGAATCCCATTTGGAGCATTCACAGCAGAGAAGGAACTCGGAGTCGATGCTACTGCTGCTGGTGGCGGCGGTTGTGCATTAACCGCCGTGAACCCGCCCGCATTCACAGCTGTAAATCCAGAGGACATCACAGGCCGTGGTGGTTCTGGAGGCGGCGACGGTACAGCTTGACTCTGAATCGACGCATGAAGTGCCGCCGAAGCTCTCAGGGCAGGAGAATCGATGGACTTGCCAGTTGGCGTGGCTTGGGTTGACCGTTTCATTGGAGACGGGGCTGGCGATGGAGTGAATGGACCACCGTTCTCAAACTCCAGCATCTGTTGAACTCCAGGCTTGACCACTCGCAAATATTCCTCATACGGATGTAGCCATTTCTGGTACGAGTTCTTGAGCGACGTGGACAGCGACGACATGATCTTGCCACTATAACCGAGATCTCTGCCAATTTCAGCCCATTTCTTTTGTTTGCACACGCGCTCAAATCCTCCACGCGTCTCAACAGCCTTCTTCAGTTTGTAGAGATCTAGCGGCCGCTTGTCGACACTGGGGAATCGTGTGAGGCTGTTGCCGTGTTGTTTGTGGAACTTGGAAAGCTGATCCAGATAGTTCAAGTTGGCACGTGTACCTGAAACTTCATTTAGCATGGAAGCAGCGTCGAGTAGAAGTTCAGAATACCTACCTCCTTCGATAGAGTTAAGCTCTTGTCGTCGCGTGCGGAAATGAAAGCGCTGTGGAGAGTTAGCCTTGCCGGTGCATGTCGCCATCACCCAGAAAAAGTGAGTTTATAGTGGTTGAGAATGGAGAGCATAGTTTCGAAGAGACCAACCTACCTCTGTATCCACTGCGAAACCGGGGTTCCAGTTGTGGGGCGGAACAATCTTCGCAATCCCATACTGCTGTGCTTCGGCCCGTATCTTCTGGATATATTGAATAGGCTCTTTAAATTCCTCTGCAGTAGGTCGAAATGTAGGGGCCTCTTGCAGTCCGAACATGCGATTCGACTTCGGCGGTTCGTGATTCGCCGGCCCCGGTGCTCTGCGCTCGACAGTCGCGAGATCTAGCGGCTGCGCCTTTCGAGCGCTCAGAGGAATCGCTGGCACTCCATTTGTCTGCATACCGTTGCTCGTAGGTAATGCCACAGCGCCCATTCTCGGTTTCGGTGCAACAGAGGGTGCTGGGACTCCGTTTGTCGCTGCCACTCGAAAGGTTGTCATGGTGGCGCCCATCGGGGGCCCGCCCTGCGGAGAGAAGTCCACCATTGCACCTCCGCTACCACCCACAAAATCACACCCGGTCCAGCGTTAACAATTGACTGTAACAATCGCAGCGTATATTTCGTCTTCAGGGGGGTGTCGTCGGGTGCAGAGCGAGGGAATACGAGGTCTATCAGTGTGAGAGTCCGACGAGCATAGGACCAGCGGCAGCTGCACAGAAGGTGTGATGCTACTTTGGGAAAAGTGTGGAGTGGACGGGAGTCTGGAATAAAGAGAGTTAGTGATTCTGATATGCCGACGTCGCTCCCCGACGGAGCATCCGTGTATTTGTGGTCCTGGTGGTGGGTGAGGTAGGTGGGAGAGTGCGAGCGAGGAGGAGATGGGAAGGAAGAAGCCGAGCACGAAGGCACGATCTTTTGGCGCACTAGCGAACCTGGGTCGAACCATAGAAATGGCCCACGCCCGATCCCATGCAACAAAGAAATATACCTCAATCTACGAGGATGCGGTCACATTTCCAGATAGCAGATGATTTCCCTCTAGATTTCTAAATAGCTTCTCATCCCTCAACCTTTGCTGATAGCGGGCGAAATATCATTTTTGCGGTACGAGTGCAGTGATGTAGGTTTCATCATGACTCCTAGCCTCCCATCTCCCGCAAGGCCGCCAACTACGGTTCTCGACATTCAACGATGCAAAGTGTCTCAACACAGTCGTACGATTTATAGATATAATGCAGATGCGGTGAAGTGTCCCTCGGCTACAGCGTACATCCTGTACCTCAATATCAGATGGCGCGAACGAGCCAATATTTCGGCAGGCCGTGGCTTGACGTTGGCTGCAAGGGCTTCCACCTCTCGAGATGGCCCCGACTAAACTGCGACCGCCGCCCAAACCCGGCCAATCAGTAAATTGCCTGTTGTGCATCACGACCACTGCCTTCCTTTTGTTGTTGCTTTTCGCCGCCCCGAACACTCCCCTTGATAGCACATATTTCCCATGCAACCGACAGTGAGTGTAGTCATGGACAAACCAATGCCCGCATTCTATTGCTGTTACCTGTTACGATCCAAAAATCACAAGTCCTACTATATCGGCTCCACGCCGAACCCCGCCAGGCGACTCAGCCAGCACAATGGGGACAGCAAGGGCGGCGCAAAACGAACGTCAATGCAGGGGATGCGGCCCTGGGAAATGACATGCACAGTCACAGGCTTTCCCTCCAAGTTTGCCGCGCTCCAGTTCGAATGGGCCTGGCAGAACACACACTTGACTCGCCATATCCAGAGAGATGTTCGAGTTGCTCGCATCGAGGAGATGCAGAGCCGGGGAAAGAAAACAACCGGTTCGCCATCGAAACCCAGAGCACGGCCACCCATGTCACTCAAAGCCAGGCTCGAGAATCTACACTACTTGCTTAGGGTAAAGAGCTTCGTGCGCTGGCCGCTGCAGGTCAGATTCTTTGCGCCCGATGTGTTCACGCTTTGGGAGACCTACACGACAAAGATGACGCCGAGGCTGCGGGGCAGCATTTTGATCCAGCTTACACCCGCGGAGCTACCAATTGCAACACCTAAACCAACAGCAGAGAGTCAGGTGATTGGGATACCTAGTGTCATTCAAGCAATTCCCGTGGCATACGAGGATTGCAAGATGCACGTTGAAAAGTCGAAGGCTTTGGTTGAAGATGGGAAGACATCTCGATGTGGAGTATGCAGAGATCAATTGCATCCCTCGAAATCACTGATTCTCATTTGCCCGGTAGGCTCATGCCGATTCATATCTCACATGAGCTGCCTTTCGAGAAAATTTCTTGCGGAAGAAGGAGTTCCATTCTCTCTGGTCCCGATCCAAGGTACCTGTCCCAGATGCCGAAGTCCTCTTGAATGGTCCACATTGGTCAAGGAGCTCAGTCTCCGCACTCGCGGCCAGAAAGAACTTGAAGCCCTCTTCAACCCAAAGCGGCCAAAGAAAGTAGGCAGCGTCTCCGAGTCAGACTCAGTCGCACCACTAGATTTCGAGGGCGAGGATGAGTTGGAGGACACCTGGATACAGGAGATTGATGATGAGGATGATGACTTCGACTCACTGGAGGCCAAGCTCGATATGGTGGTGGCAAAGAAACCGCTAAAGCCTAATGATGGATGTCTATGTAAATAGAGGAGCTACCATGGTTCAACGAATCTCAGAGGAAGTTGCTCTTTATCAGCCCTTTCAATAACCTTTTGAACGGCTTCCCACACGCTCCGTCGCACGTCTTCCAATGCTCCTCCTGCGTCAATCCGCACGAAATCATTCTTCTCTGTGCTCTCCATCATCTCCTTAAAAAGTTCCCTAACGCGGTCCTGCATCTCTTTCTTCTCATATTTCTCCGTCCCATAACCACCTCGCTTTGCCGCATCCTCGGCCGAGATGTCAAGAAAAAGGCAAAGATCAGGACGTGGAAGACCTTCCTCAGGATGCCGCGCCCATGTGAGGTCCAGACTTGGATTGTTTTTTGCTGCGGAGTACACGCACCCAGAGTAATAGTAACGGTCAATCACGATAGTTATTCCTGCGGAGAGGTCTGTTTGGATAGATGCTCTAGGCCCTATGTTAATATTCTCCTTCCGGTCGAGCGAAGCGTTCTGAAAAGAAAAGAAAAAAAGCAGTACGAATCGACTTACGCTAACTCCCACCGATTCGCAGAGAAAAGCAGGTGAATCACATGATCCTCTTGCTCACTTTGCCCACTGAGATAACTGTTGATCATTTGTCCGATTGGTGTGGTTCTATCTGCGCCAGTCTCAAATCAGCGTTTGACAGAATGACGTGAGATCCTACCCGACACTAACTTGTAGACTGGTTCGTCTCACCTAAGATTTGAAACCATTCTGAAGAGTTGGAATGCTCGATTTATCACTCACCGGGAAATCTAATATGTCGCACCTTCAAGCCATCCTTTTGGAGTCCCTCAACCAACATCTTGCATTGTGTTGACTTTCCTGCGCGATCCAACCCTTCGAACACTATCAATTTCCCACGGGCCATTAAGGATGGAAAATAAATAAATAAAATTGGAGTGTTGTTTCATTTGATGGCGAAGTTCCGAGGTTCGACGTTGGGGTACTAAATCGGCCCGAAGTCTTTTCGGGAATGGTGGCGCCAAGGCCTTGAACTTCACCATATTCCCTCACCCTGCTTTCCTGACTTCTGGGACATCCTTTATCCTCACAAAGATGCATTTATGCCATTAACAATACAAAAGAATAGCCGATTAGTCCCACTCTTCTCAGGATAAACGTGACCATATATTCCTCGATCTTAGCTGGCGTTGTGTGTTGTGCAACGATATGTCCCGTTAGTGTTATGGAACTTCGGTCCCAGGTAAGTACTGTCGGAATCTTGATAAATCCTAAGATCAACGTGTATCTCGAGTATTCGTTCCTCTAATAGCCTTGGAGCTGTTGATTAACCGTCATCTTCGTCCTTTCCTGACGGTGGGTAAGAGAGTTGCATCTGTTACTTCTATTCACCCTTCCAGATATATCTTAACATCATATTACCAACTACTAGTTTCCCCTTAATAGCTACTCATTTTCAGTTGATGGTCCATTGAATTCTAAGGGCTGGTTGATCATACGATAAACTACCCTGCATTCGCATATCGCCTGTTCAAACCCAACATATTGGCACAGTTTTCATGTGGCAGAAGGCTGAGTTGTTCTATACACGTTTAGCATCCTCAATCAGGAAGCATCCTCCCCAGCCCCTGATACTCCAAGAGCCCTTAATCCGATGACATTCCCCAAATCACTTTTCTCTACTTGCCACAAATCCAGATCAACCCACTTTTCCAAACGCACGTGATCGGACATTCTTCAACAATGCCTACTCTACTTACCATGTATGCTTGAGCTAGCCGGTTTATTCTACTCCTTAGAATATCTCTTTTTCCACCCTAATTTCAGATTTCCTCCGACCTCCACCTTGAAATGCCCGTTGTACAGCTACTCTACCGAACTTTCAAATTCCATGTGTATGGAAACAATTTGCTCCTTCTCGGTAACATTGGTCTAGTAAAAGACACCGGTGTCTTTGCGTGCTGAGGAACTATGAGTCCTTCTCACTGTTCCTCCAAGACGCGGTTAGCAAGTTACGAGCCTTCGCAGCAGAAACACGATCACAATATGGCGGTCGCTTCTTCATCCTACATCGCGACCGTAATCACCTGAGCAAAATCATCATAACCCTTGGTTATATACTATGAGGCTCCGTCTTCCCCCATTGAACGGCTAAAGTTCAGCGCCGTCTCACTAGCTTCAAGGAACAACGAGGGATCTGCAAATAGTCAGTAGACCGACGCAACTAAGAGCATTGGAAGGACGTGGAACAACAATATTTAATATTTATAACGGCAGCGACAAGGCATACTAGAACGCAGAACGTGAGTTCCCTAGTTCCTGTGTGGCGTGTGATTGGTCGCTGAAATCTGAAGACAAAAAGTATAAATAATTTTTCGTGGCGGGGATGGACATCACGAGCTAAGGCTCGGACACCACTTTCTCTCTTAGTTTCTCATTCCCGCCTCGTAACAGCGCACTCTAACACCTTGCAGCTTCATGCATTGCGACCAAAGCAACCTTTAACGTCCAGCCCACCCGGCGGTGGGGGATTCGAGGCTGAACGGGGATTATTTCAGCTGTGCACAAATCGTTCTTTGCTCACTCATGTAGCCAATCATTCGCTTATGTTATCGGAACGAGCTAACTTGCTTCGGTATTCTAGCAGAGAATTTTCAGGCGGAGCATACAAAGTCTTCGACCATTAATGCAGGGAACTTTCTGTGCCTGCCCTCAGCTTCTTCTTGTGCTTGGCACTCTCCTTGGTGAGGCTATGCTCTGCTTGAGCAGAACAGTGGCTGCTGGGTAATCATTTTCAGATCATCCTGCTTACCGCCTCTCCTCGCCAAGCCAGATCAAGATGAGACCTCAAGTTGCAGAGCGGTCTTGCGGAGTTGCCGAGAAGCCTCAGTATTGGTGCACGCTCACAGCTTCTATCAGGGAGAGTGAATCAAGCACATATATCTTAGTGTTCAAGCTGCATTCTGCTTCTCATTCCCATCACCCAACATCTTCCACTCTCCTTTTAACCACCTCTTCTATACGTTCGAAACTCCCTCTGGTTACATCAGCACTATGGTTAACTTCATTATCACCACGCTTTTTGCTCTATCAACCTTTGCTCTCGCTGCTCCTGCTCCCTTGGAATCTGGTGCAGATTATCCTGATGAGGTGGTTCTGCTAACCGCGTGCGACAATGGCAAAACGGGAATAGAATTAAAGATTCAAGATCGCATGTTTTACTATCAAGACGATTACGCCCGCCGCAGGGGCGAGAAATATCAAGACAAAGTCCTCCAAACACAAATTCACGACCCCAGTAGACATGACGGTTTCAACTACCACATAGACTGGGACGCCGGGAAATCCCAGGACGATGCTATTTCCGCCCGCTTCCCTAATTCTAACCACCAATTCAAAGTATGGGGTCTTCCAGCCGATGGCGCTAAGGGCACTAAAGCGAATCTTCCGGTTGCTGGAAATGCCCAGCTAGATGGGGCACCATTTAAGTGCTACAAGGAATCGAGCTTCGGGAAGGATACCGACGGGTTCAAATGCCGCCTGATCTTCAGCTGCACCCGAATTCAGCGAGAGGTCCGCTTCACTAACATCACCCTCGACGACGAACCTGTCATTGTCTCGAATTCTAAATGCCCGAGTAGTGGGGGAGTGAAGAATGCGTCCCCAAAGCCGATCAACGCCAAAGATGCCTTCGCGAATCTCAGAGAAGCAGTAAAGAACCGGCTGACCACCAAAGAATATGATATTGGCGGATCGAATTGCAAGATCATTTTCCCTACCCTCAAAATTCCAAGGGCTTCACCTGGTTACAACGATACGACGCCAGAACAGATTGCAGACATTTTGATCAAAGAAATTGGCGCAAAGGTAGAGGCTAAAAGGACTAAGGGCAACAAAGTCTGCCCTGGAGGACGCTTCGACAAGCACCAACTCAGCTGGGAGCAAGTGCTGTATCCACGAGCGGGCAGGTTCGAAATCCAAATTGCTGCGCAAACAAACCAGCAATGGCATGAGCAGACTACCGTCGAGTTCAGAGTGCGTTGTCCTTGCTCTGATAATAGTGGTGCGTTGAGCTGGCTCCAGGGAATCCTTGGTGTCGCATCTTTTACACCATATATTGGCCAGGTTTTTGGTATTGCTTCTGCTGGCGTAACCATTGCAAGCCTGGCTACGGGAGCTTGCGATGCGAAATGAAAAAGAGAGGAGATTTCCGAAGAAAGGTGGTCTTAGGTCATTAATTTCACTTCTTGTACAGATCCCTTCCTAATACCCAAGTCTACGGTTTTCAATCCAGATATATTCCCTCCATTTATTCATTCTTGTGGAGTTGCACTATTTGTCATTCTCTTTTCATTTTCTCCCCCTACTCAATTGTCAGTGGCTTTAATTTTAATTTCCTGCAAAGCCTACGACTGTGCATATTTCCAACTTTTCAACTTCTAGAAATGTATATACAAATATACCCTTACTCAAGCGCACGATTTCCTCCACGATCACATGACCTCCACACCAATTAATCCCTCTCCCCCCTATTATTCACCTGATTCTTCCTTGTTTGGGTTATCTCTTCATTATATGCGTTCTGGGAGGCTCAGGCACTCATATATATAACACATGTTGTCTCTCTCCAAGTTTGCTCCAATATCGCAGTTCCGATTGCAGAACAGAGTTATTATGGTGCTGTTTACTGGATTCATTGAGGCAACAGCCCGCCCTATTAACAATCCTTAGCGCACAAACTTGTCGAATACGTTATAGCTATTGCAAAGAAACAGAGCACAATATTTGTATATATTAAAAACATACGAAAATTCCTACAAACTAAGACATAAATTGTAGATAATTAATATCTCTTACCGTTGTAGAGTTGGTGGTGTTTTAGGTAATAGTCAGCCGCTTGTCGAATGCATTGCCTGCAGAATATGCGACGTTTAATTAACATTCGTTCCCCGGGTTCTAATCACGTAAGTATGAATTAAGCCGGTCCGTAACCGGGATAGCATCCGAGTCCAACACATAGCAAATGAGCCATCCCAATCTAAGTATTCGGCTGCTATTTAGCGTTCCAGGCAACAAATTGCAAAGGCAATTAATTTTTACGCGTGTGCATTCCAATAACGCACCGTAAGACTGTGGTTCGGGGATTTGAACACGCTTTCATAGACCTCAGGCTCGTTTTAAGCTCAAATTCCCCACTTTCACTTAGGAATCTAACCTTCATTCCCTTGTATTCGGCTCCCAGATTTCTATCACACACCACCATGGTCACCTCCGCGATTCTTTTCCCACTCTTCGCACTCCACATTCTCACTCATGCAGCGTCACCTCTCACCCGTCGCCAATCTCCCTACATGACCGTCAAGACCGAAACGGGGTTGACATGGTGCCGACCATATGCTGACGAAATGGATCACGAGCTCGTCGACTTCTACGACTCAACCCCCATCAATATAACCTGCTGGACTACGACCACGATGCCAGACTCGAAAGGAATTGTTGGCGGCAGTAAACTCTGGTTATGGGCGGCCAATGTGACCAACAGCGAGAAAGGTGGGGTGTTAGCAAAAGGAGTAGGAACTGCACAGACGACGCAGTACGGATGTTGGATTAGCGAGACGTACCTCATAGCTGGATCTGCGGATTTGAAGAAAGATTTAAAGTCTTGTGGGCAGGCACCTCAGCATCAAGTATACGCTTTCCCTCTTATCTACATTCCTGTAATGCTTAGATACGGATACAGGTATTCTTCCCCAAAAGCAATAACGGCTTTACTTGCCATGCCTGCACCGATCTTGACAAGCCGGCTTGCCAACGGAGCTGGAACGCAACAGGTGGGAACACACCTATCACTCCCGGTGCTGCATATGTGGGATACATGTCAACAGGGTGTTGGAAGGATGGGACAAAAGTAAATGGGAATAGCACATGGGTTAAACTAAGGGATGAAGACTGTTACATCAGCCCTGATCAGCCTGATCAAAAGGAATGGCATGGTAAGTTATTAGGGTAATCTTAGGAGGTTGGGTGCTAATAACATTGTCAGGAAATCCGGCAGCGAAGTGTTCAACTTAAGAAAGGTAAGAAGCGTAGAGAGAGCCATAACTAGAGATCCGACGAATTCGCATCCACGCATGTATGGGAAGATTTATAAATATTCTAGCACCTTTTGTATATATAAGAGACATGCATTTTGTTTACTAGATTGAGGATAGAGAAAGTACTAAGAGAAGTAAGGCACATGGCAGAGAAAACCAGAAATCCTTCCATCCACGGATGGAGTCTTGAAACTAGTCCCCGTAAAACGCTAACCGTTACAATTGGCCCTTGGGCGGTTTCTTTGCCTTTCTATGCCCCGCCCTCAAGGTCGAACTTCACTTCCCATCATCTTGAAATGCTATCTTGGATGTCGAGTCTTGTTTTCACAAAGGGTCTTTGAAAGTCGTGGCAGAAGCATCATAGAACCCCTATCCAAAGGCACGCTGTCGCGGAGGTGAGCTAGGACCTGTCATATTTCGTTAAGGGGTGAGAGCGGGGAATGGAGCGGCGAGGGACATGTACAACATTCGTACGCGAGCATTGCTGTAAGCGTCCAAGGCTTTCGGTCCATCTTCGCTCTATGGCGATGTCGGTGTGGTGTAGCTCGAAGACTAATTTAACAACTATGTTGGCTCCTCTGCATCCATTCCGCAATTTAGAACTGCGCTGCCTTCGACCCGGGCGGAACGTAAGGGCTTGAGTCGTGAAAATATCTTATGAACTACCTTGGACATCAATAGTATATCCATGGCAGTAGTCTAGGTAGTGGTCTAGGTAGTGGTCTAGGTAGTGGTCTAGGTAGTAGTCTGGGTAGTAGTCTCTTCAATCTTGTCCAGGCTTGTTTCCAGAAGACGGCATCCAGTTCGAAAGCAGGCAGACTTGTTTTCTTCTCGTAGCCAAATACCTTGGCATGATTTAATGGTATCGAGAATGGTCTGGCGGGGAGGAATAAGGCATTCACGCGTCATAGTTGCCGCAAGAGGAGCATCTTTCCAAAGGAGATGAATGCAGATCGTGAGCGCGGCAGCAAAGAAATCCATCATGAAGAAGCGTGAGACCAGGGACGTATTTGGAGGAAGGCATGGGTCGTCGCAGAGCTCGCGATGGTGTACGAGGAGCGCTAGGCTGCATTCAAGGGACGACCAGTACGATACTGGGTGTGCGTTTGGCGCATTCGGATGTAGGGAGTGGCAGCGATGTAGAACCATAAGAACTCGTCTAAAGAAAACGTCTAAAGAAAGGCGGAGAAGGCCATTCCCTTCAACCGGTACTACCCGGCGCATCATACGTCGGATCTCCATATCGTATTGCAGGACTTCTTCATAGTCAATCTCGTGTGTGCTGGAGTTTGCTCGAGCTAGAACGTGAAATATGAGCGGAAATGATTCCAGAAGGATGGATTCCCAAGAATAGATCGCAGTCCCACCAGGGTTTGATAGATGAGGGACTTGGTAGGCGGCGATGGCATCCTGAGGAAGGACCGATGACATCCCAGAGATGATGGACATCTGGATATCAAAATATATAATGATTGTCCATAAACGACAACGATTTGCCATCTCGTTGTGAAGATCTGCTGCGTCCACGGATGGTGGCGGTCGGTTCTGATCCAGTCCCAGCATCATCGCTAACCGGACAATGAGACCAATCATAGACCAGCATGAATCCAAAGCCCAACAGGTTGCATTAGCAACTTGCTTCGCAACTATCGTAAGGCAGAGGGTACGCAAGTTCGACAAACTCGGACGGAACAGAAAGGGTGTCTTTGCCAAGCATGCTTCGCTAGCGAAGAAGAAGTCCTCAGCAGGTTCTGGCTCCCTCGATGCTCCAAATGCTCCTAGGCCCAGTACCATGAGGAACTGGGCAAGCCAGCCAAGATTCATTTCATGTGGGTTATTCCAAAACTCTGCAACCTCGCCCTGGAAGACCTCCACATCTACAATTGGGTGGATTGGCTGGTACAAATTGAGATAATGCTCAATGTATGATTGGCACCGCGAGTGGGAGTTTTGAATAAGAGCAAGGACCGTTTCAATTGAGGAGTATTTGGCTGCTTGGGGGCTGCCAAGGGGAAAGTTGCCCGGAAGAACAAGGTCAGAAATTCTATGGTTTTCGCTATGTTCCTGTATAGCCAAGGCAAAATGAGGAGTCTCAAAATGGGCCAGTGACTGGATCTACAATACATCAGTCAATGTCAGGGTCAGTTTTCGATGATGCAACCAACCCGAGATAAGAGAGCCCTGAAGTGGCTTGAACCTCGACGCCGCCAGAACCACAAGGTGATAACAGCCTCCAGGTTTTCTCCAGCAGAGGTAAATGGATCGGCGGGGCACAATGGCTGATTCGTTGTGTGTTTCTGATAAGTGTAACTGCATTTCATGCTATTGCCAGACTGACAACACCTGGAGCAAGGGAGTTTCTTGTCACATTTCACCTTGAGACGATGACATCGTTTACATGACAGACAAGTCCGTACCCGTCTCTTAACTACTTTACCAACAGAACCCACTTCATCCGAGCCCCCTTCCACCCTGGGCTCGAGTGAACTGGTTTGAGAATAGGGCCAGTCTTCCGCAGTCAGCGGGTTTGGTGATGAAGAATTGCTATTGAAGACTCCATTTCTATTCAGAGATGTACTAAATGAGCAAACAATGCCTGCCCGCAGGCACCGCGAACATGTTGGTTTTGTTTTGTCGCAACGACGCTTGGACTCACGACACCAATCACAGGTTTGGATCTGCCGGTTGCGCATCTCTTAGGAGCTAAGGATAGGAAAAGAAGAGAACGAAAAATGGAGGAGATCGGTGTTAGTCGGGGTGAAAATGCTGGCGTCCCATGGTTTTCATTTCGTGGGCGACCGAGGATGACCCGAGATGAAGGATGGCTGAAGTCGGCCGCACGTCGGGGCCGCCTAACACCGATGCACACTAAGGGATAGGATCATGAGTCTAACCTAGCCTAGTTAGGGGGAACGAAACACAGGCGCCCGTAAATCCTAACCGACCCTTCGCTCTAACGACATCTTTCGAAGCACTTGACGGATGCGGTTCATGAGCCCGGCGAAGAAAAAAAATGCCCCATTGATCATAAGATTGACATTGGTGCAACTCTTATGACGTCATTTAGGAGGCGTCATTTGCTCCTCACGACCAAAGCTGGACGTACTCAATCGCTGAAATATGTCCCCTTTGAAGGAAAGCTGTGCGTAGGAATCTACCTCACGTACTTCTTACATACTAGTGGCCCGTCCAGAAAATTACCAGGACCAAGCAATACTGAACCCTATTACGGGCTCACATGATGCCAAGAACTGTCATGAACATTACTCTCTCAGCACGGGTTTCTTATCACCGGTCGTCGGCCGACTTAAAGGTTCCATTTGTTACCGGGGCCACAATGTTGAACTGCTTCGTATCGGTGCCTGAAATGTATAAAAGATCTGGCCTTGCTCTCTGCTAGCCTAGGAGAAACTCTCATTATTGCGTCCTAAAACTTCCGTACATTCGATCTTTATTGCCAATCCATTTAGGATCCCAAAATGGAGTCCACCGAGTCGAAAGCAAGATCATCCTCAGATACCGGTATCGACCAAATAACCCCCCAACAGGCCGTTAATGATCGATATGAAGAGCTTTTAATGGCGCAAGAGTCATCTCCTGACAAAGTTTTCATTAGTGGATTCTCTCTCCGATCTTTAGATCCAAGTATGTCTCTTCCCAATTACGTCTTTCTCTCTAAAGTTTCGAGCCTTTAGATCTTGTTGTCCTCGATGAAGAAAAGAACGAGCACCCACGAGTAAGTCGATGCTTGCGGTCCACCTTTCTCTGAAATCATTACAAGAGCTAAGCCGCCGAAACAGAGTTGGACTTTCTCAAAGAAGGCTGGCACTACCGCTATCATAGGGGCATTCGGTTTCCTATCCCCCTTCGCGAGCACCATCTTTGCGCCCTCCGTGCACCTCCTCATGGACGATCTACACATCACTGATAGCACTGTCGGCGCTCTTCAGGTCTCAGTCTTTCTCTTTGCGTATGCAGTCGGCCCGCTCTTTCTCGCTCCACTTAGCGAGATGTATGGTAGAGCTATTATAATAAATGGTGGTAACATTGTTTTTGTTATTTTTTCGATTGGTGGAGGTTTCTCAAAGACGGTTTGTACAACTCTGTAGTGACTACACCGGTTGGTTGCTTACTTTATCGCAGCCCACCCAATTCATCGTTACGCGCTTCCTTGCCGGGCTCGGTGGCTCGTCCGCTATTGCTGTCATTGGGGGTGTTGTTGCTGACATCTGGAATCTCGAAGCGAGACCTAAAGCTTCTGGTGCTGTTATGCTCGGACCAATACTAGGTCCTATTCTCGGTCCAGTATGTGGAGGATGGATGTCCCAACTCGCATCCTGGAGATGGACGCTTTGGGTTCCCGCCATCGCCAGCGGTCTGCTCGCCGCCTTTGGCATGATATTTCTTCCCGAGACCTACGCCCCCCGCATATTACAGAAGAAACTGCGCCGCGAGAGAGCGCCTCAGACCAACGGTCATCTCTACACAGTTCTAAACCTCCAGCCTCATCCATCTAGCCTTGGGTTCCTATTAAGCCAATTCATCAGACCCATCGTCTACCTCATACTCGATCCAGCCCTCCTCCTTGCTTCGATATTCTATTCCGTCATCTTTGGCGTGATTTACCTCGTCATCGTAACCTACTCCGATGTCTTCGGTCTGGGATACCACCATTCTGTCGGAATCGTAGGCACAGATTTCCTCGCCGTCGGCATCGGCATGGTCATTGGAACAATCGTCACTGTTAAAGTCATGGAGACTATATTTAAGAAAGACGCTGCCACCGGCCAAGTGAAGTACAAACCCGAGTCCCGTCTCATAAGTTGTATAATTGGTGCTATAGTCACAGCTGGTGGCCTTTTCTTATACGGGTTCACTGCCCTCAAGACTCACTTCATCATCCCGCTTGTTGGAATGGCCGTTTTTTCTATCGGGGCCATGAACATTATGATGGCCATTCAGTTATACACTATTGATGGGTTCCAGTACCCTGCTTCCGCTTTTGCTGCGATTTCAGTCCTGCGGTGTATTTTTGCAGGCGCTTTTCCATTGTTCGGACCGAAGCTTTTCGAGAGTCTTGGGATCAATTGGGGTGTTGCTTTGCTGGCATTTCTTGTTTTAGGTGTTGGGTTACCGCTGGTTATGCTTCTATATGTTTTTGGACCAAGATTGAGGAAGACTGGTGTTGGGAGGTTGGAGAGGTTTGAAGGCAACAAGGAGAAGTAGGGTTCGGAAGATGATTGTTGGGGGATAGACCTAGGAATTCAGAAAAGAATTTAGATATCTATGTATAGTAGAACTCTTCGCTCTAATAGCTCGATAAGAGAAAGGAAATGCCAGTCGCTAGGAATTCACTCACAACGAACCAACAATCAAATGACTACACTTAGGCAACCTAGTTGCAGTCACCCTTCAACCTTTCCACAATAATACTCAGAATCCCATGGATCCCAGCTATCAGCAGTATCTTCCACAGGTCCCACCTCACATCTCAACTCTGAGCTGTCATTATGCCTCTGAATTCCCGACTTGGCTACTTTCCCACATTCCGCCCAAAGCGGCTTCCTCAGTCCCTCATACAGTTAATCTTGTTCCTCGTTGATTTCCACGTAGAGAACGCTCCTCCCACTGCTTGAAAATTTAGAGTATAAATCGAAATCGCACAAAGTCGATCAGCAGGATTTCCAAGAACCATAAGTCATATTGAAAGTTGACATTCAAACTGCTTGGGAGTCAACAGTGGTCGTAAGGTAGATCCGAATCCATGTTACATCTTATGCTCCGAGGCTCATGCGGGCCTTGAATTAGGCGAAAGATTATCCGCTCGCTCAACTATGAAGGGTCGAGGTTGACCTGCCTGCCATCCGATGAAGTCAGTGAGTCCGCGATAGCTCGGCAATACCCTCCATTGTCAAGTAGAGTGGGATGCCGTCCTCGACTGAGCATTAAGAGTCCTAGTATCTCTTTGTCTGCATATTGTCTAGCTTAGCACCTGGAGTAGGAGACCGTGAATGATACAGCTCTAATGCCCAGGTAGGGAATTACTTATTCGTGACCAGCCCGCAAGGTAGTTTCCACCAAAACTTGCAGGGCAGGCCAGAGCATTCGGCTAGGAGCATAGATAAAATTCCACCCGCGAAAGTTGATAAAGGCTCCTTCTCAAGTGTAATCGTGCACTGGGTTGCGAACCTCCCGAGGAAGTGAGAAGAATCGGAAGATATCATTAAATTTTGTTTCGCCTTAATGTTTCTGAGTAGTTAGTAGAGGTTGAGTCGAACGTTTCTAGTTCCTCTGCTAATGCGCTGGAGAAGGCATTATCTATTAAAGAGGTATTGCACAACGTAGATCTGTTATGAAGGTTAAGGCATTCAACATGTCACAGCCGTATAAGCAGACATGGTGGTATCATCACGTAATATTCCCTGCATGTCCCCATGCAGGGCTTGGGATTGGCTTTGCCATATAGGCTGCAGCTTCGGCCACTAAACCTCCCTATTCCTCATCCGCAGCATTGGCTGATAGCGTTGTTGGTTTGGCAGCAGCGTGGTGCATGTTAAGCACAACTTCGAGATGAACTGCTCATCAATCTTTCATTCCTATCTCTTATATCACTGCCACCCTTTGGCGGCAGCAGGTGGATCATCCTTCCTACTGGCTCTGGCAAACACTTGGGTTGACCAAATGCACTCAACTTTTTGGCACATTCTAATCCTGCCCTCGATAAAAAGGAGCCTGGCTGTGGGGCAGTTGCGGTAAAGGTCTTGGCGTATGAAGAGCTCGTTCAACAGGATAGCCTTCCGCCATCCCGCTACTGTTGCCTGGAGATTCATACAGCCAATCAGAACCACACTGGACCATGTAAGCCTCACTGGCAGCGGGGTTGCAGCTTTATGGCCTGACAGCCTGCGTGGCACACAGTTTCAAATTTCTCTTCACCCATCGCTCGAAGCCTTGATCGGACTTATTAAGACTCATTTGAGGCACCAAGAAGGCGGCTTTCGGCTACCCCGATGATAAGTCTCGTTCTGTAGGGTTATTTTCGTGTGATGAACAGGAATCTAGTCACTGGTTTCGGTTCACGATGACACTTGATTCAACTTTCATCTTCCTTCTCAATTCTCAAAGGAAGTCCACGCATAAAGTTTGATGCGCTCCGCACCGTCATTTCCAGTTCCAAGGCTTTTGGGATGTCTTCTATTCTGGCAAAGGCTTCGCAGCTGAAGGCCGAAATTCGCCTGGCTCAAGCTGTTTCCCAGTTTGAAGCAGAACTCTCGAACGACCATAAAACTGTCTTCCGTAATTATAGGTCTCAATCGCTTGATTCCCCTCCGACTCCTGGCGATGTCATGCGACTCACAGCTGAGATTGACCGCCGGCTGTCTGAAAAGGTCCGTGGTCGTTGTTTTGGACCTCGATTCACAAATTTCCTACAAGTGGTCCAACAATTCGCTGCGCTCGGAGATGTTGTAGTAGGTGGCTCCCAGAATATAATCGCATGTGGCGTCTGGTCACTAGTGCGCATATCGTTGCTAGTCAGTGTTCTTAAGCTTGACCGTTTTATCTACTTATACCTTCATAGTCAATGGGAAACTTCTTGTCGTATCTCGAAAAGTTGTCGACACTCTTCATGAAGATTGGCTGTACAGCATCACGATACCAAAACATGGCTCTACTCTATCCCCGATCGAAAAGCCTACAATCACACCTCTTCGAATACTTCATCGTAGTAGTTCGTCTTTGCCATCAGCTATTAAAGTTTACACAGAAGTCACTCGTTCAAAAAGTTGCATCTGCTCTAAGCGACTCAGACATAAAAGCATTTCAATCAGATCTCGATCACTGGGCAAGTTCAATTAAGGAGGAGATAAGCTTGCTGATGGCCAAGAGGATTCAAGAAGAAGCTGAAGAGAACTCCCAATTCAGGGCTGTATCAAGCAAGTTCTTTAAATCTGCGCCCTATGAGAAAAGGCTGGCCACCAATCTACGAGTCCTCGATATTTGCTCCAAGTACGATTATGAGACAACATGGAAGCAAACTCGAAAGATCGGAAACGCGAATTTCTTCTGCCGGGACCCTAAATACCAAGAGTGGAAAGCCCAAGTGAAATCTTGTACACTTATATATACAGGCAAGCTAGGATCAGGCAAGTCTGTTATGCTGGCAAATATTGTCGACGACCTCAGTACTCATGTTCAAAGCAAAAATATTGCCGTAGCCTACTTCTTTTGCAGGCATGACGTTCCTGAAAGCTTAAAGGCACAGACAGTGGTCCGTTCTTTAGCACGACAATTGCTCCGTACAATACCAGACCTTACTACGATAGCAAAATTCTGCGATGAGACACGTACAGTCCTGGGTTTCGGAACAATACTTAGATGTCTCCGTCGCGCCTTTCCACCTGATTACCAAGCGTACTTCGTCCTTGACGGCCTTGATGAATGTGACTGTTCCGAGAGAGAAATATTGGCTCAACAGCTCCGGGAGCTCCAGGAAGCACTTACACTGCTTCTTTGTGTCTCATTCAGAGCAGAGCCTAATAGTGCATTAGAATTGAGTTCTGGACGGTTCACGGCCGCCGAGATTGCTTCGATCCCTGATGAAAATCCCGAAATTGAGGCATATATCGAGGCGGAGTTGGAGAATCGCCTAGTGAGCCGAGCGCTGGTGATAGGACAACCTAGCCTAATATTGGAAATACGCGATGCTCTCTTAAAAGGATACCAAGGGATGTTCCTCTGGGTGGCTCTCCAAATTCGGACTTTATCTGCGATAAAAACCGATCAAGGGATTCGGAATGCGCTAGCAACCCTTCCCAAGGATCTTCCAGAGACATATTCTCGTATTCTACGGAGGTCGGAGGGGCCAGGAGACTCCTACCAGATACTGATACTACAACTCATCATGGCGGCCTCCCGTCCATTAACGACAGACGAGTTTCGAGAAGCCTTAAGCGTTGTTCCTGGGGATGCTGTCTGGAATCCTTCCAGGCTTATAAATGACGTATATTCGACATTAGCATGCTGCGGGTGCCTTCTCACTGTTGATGAAGAAGAGTCCACCGTACGGTTTGTGCACCACAGTGTTAGGCAATTCCTCCTATGTGGTTTTAGGGACTCAACCAACACACCATTCACGATTGATGGCGCACAGAGGACCATAGCAGATATTGTTATTACCTACCTCAGTTACGGTGTCTTTGGAACTGAACTATCCACGATGAAAGTGCGAGAGATGGCCATAGGATCAGCGCCGTCTGGAATCATCCGATCTACCTTAGATTCTTCAAGCCACGCTCAAAATCTTGCGTTAAAGCTGTTAAGACCTAACAAGCAGGTTAGCGTTAATATTAGCAACATTCTTGCAAAAGCGCGTAAGCCATTCCAGCCGTGTTGGGTAAATGAATTCCACTTCTACTCTTATGCAAAAGCATATTGGCTACGACACATACTCTACGCGTCAGGGCAGAGGCCAGATATATACGATCTGCTGCTTAGGCTGTCGAAAAGAAACGTGTTGGGCGTTGCGAATGCGACAGCTGAGGATGTTTGGAGGCCCGTGATTTGGGCAGTCCAGAACGGGAACGAGATCGTGGTCAAGCTGCTGCTTGAGACAGGCAAGATCGACATCAATGCAAAGAATACTTGTGGACAAACTCTATTCTGGAGGGCGACATCAGGCGGGCATGAGGTGGTAGTCAAGCTGCTGCTTGAGACGGGCAAGGTCAACGTCGAAGCAAAAGACAATAGTGGGGGACAGACGCCACTCTGGCGGGCAGCATCGACTGGATACGACGCGGTGGTCAAGCTGCTGCTTGAAACGGGCAAGGTCGACGTTGACGCAAAGGACACCTATGAACAGACGCCACTCTGAAAGGCGGCAGAGCGCGGGCATGAGGCTGTTGTCAAGCTGCTGCTTGAGACGGGCAAGGTCAACGTTGATACAGAGGACAATAGGGGACAGACGCCACTCTCACGGGAGGCATCGGGCGGCCACGAGGCGGTGGTCAAGCTGCTGCTTAAGACAGGAAAGGTTGACGTTGATACAGAGGACAATAGGGGACAGGCGCCACTCTCACGGGCGGCATCGGGCGGCCACGAGGCGGTGGTCAAGCTACTGCTTAAGACAGGCAAGGCCGGCGTCGATACAAAGGACCATGGGGGACAGACGCCACTCTTACGGGCAGCATCGGGCGGGCATGAAGCAGTGGTCAAGCTGCTGCTTGAGACGGGTAAGGTCAACGTCGAAGCAAAGGACATTTATAAACAGACACCACTCTGGTGGGCAGCATCAGGCGGCCACGAGGAGGTAACCAAGCTGCTGCTTGAGAAAGGCAAGGTCAACGTCGATGTAGAGGGCACCGGTAAACAGACGCCACTCTGGCGGGCGGCATCGGCTGGGCACGAGAAGGTGGTCAATCTGCTGCTTGAGACGGGCAAGGTCAATGTCGACGCAAAGGACATCTATGAACAGACGCCGCTCTTGCGAGCGGCAGAGTGCGGGCACGAGGCTATAGTCAAACAGCTGCTTAAGACGGGCAAGGCCAATGTCGACGCAAAGGACATCTATGAGCAGACTCCACTCTTGCAGGCGGCAGAGCGCGGGCACGAGGCGATAGTCAAGCTGCTGCAGTCGCACAAATACACTGCACTCTCTTAGTAACATATATATTAACGTAGCCTCTTCCTAACTACTCCCTACTTTCTTTCTCTTATATCTTCCTTAGGTAGTTAGTATTTATAGAATTTAAGATGGCGACATTCTATAGTTGTTGTAGCAAGTGGCATAAGCAGTATATACGCCATTAGGGAAGTGACTAGCAGTCTCTGACTACATTCTTGCGATGATGCAGGAGATGGGAATACTTAGAAGATGGATGAGTGGCAAATGAGCGTTTGCTACAGGGTCGAGACTACGTTAAGCTGCATGGCTATTAGTTGTCACTATAGCTGGTGAATATAGCAGAGTAGTTGGCGACTAGGAATCTTTTACATGAAACTAGAGCTGATAGAGCAAAGCTAATGCTAAGCTCTGAAGGGCTATACAGGGAATATTACTTATGCTACGTCCACTTATGTAATTGTAACTTGCTAAATGTACTAGCCTCTGTCGCAGATTTGTGCTTGTGTAGCTTTCAAGTGAAAGCTGTGATAATTAGATTCTAAGATCTCAACAATGAGAATGGAAATCGGCCGTCTATGTTTCATGCCTTTCAACACTAGATGTGACGACGAGTTCGACGGCACCATGGTGCAGTGTGGGATGGGATAGACTAGCTATATTTTACGAGAATACTAAGGTGAAGAGCTGGCGTCAGGTGCTTGCGCGGCCTCAAGCAGCCAGCCGTCCCAGGAGAATCTACCCCCGAACCGCACTAGCCTATGTATATCGCTCGGTCATGTAACCTATCAGCTTCGTACAGTGCAGGTACATCACAGAAGGGAATCGCTGCACAATCAAAACTAAGACGATGAAAGGTCCCGTTATATACTGTAACTTCGTAATGGCGCAAACTGCACGGTGTAACTCTTCAAAAGTGCCTCCTCTATTCGAATTTTAACCCAAGGCTAGAATCTATATCTACCAACCCGAATCACCTAAATGTCTCACTCTAGTTCAATAGCGTAAATGGCCAAGGCCAGTTTGCACTATTTTCAGTCTGGCAGCCCTTGGGAAACGTTCCCTTAAACATCTGGTTGAGCCCTTCTGATGCCATTATTGTGCCAACATACCCTTCATTATAATGCGGATCCGAATTGGTTGCCTCTGTAGGAGTAATGTGATAGTAGATGTTCGCTCCGACGCCACAGTATTCGTCATACAACTTCGTCGTATCGCTGGTTGAGCTAATCTGATCTCCGTCCGCGCGATGAATCAAGAGAGGCATCTGCGGGACACCGTGATAGCCCATCATGCCGTCACGATTGAGAATGGATCGTACGGTTGGGTTTTGGGTAACGTCATTGATGAATTTCTGAAGTGCATCGGGATGCAGATTCATATCTTTGACGGCTTGTATCGTATCTGCCCAAGAGGTTTTCCCAAGGGCAGCCATGGCCACGGCCTGAGCGTCTTCGTTTTCATTGGCGATGCCAACAGTGATGTTGCCTAGATGTCCAATATATGCTGGATACTTATTTAAGTTGCTGCTGATTTTGGCAAGTGCGCTTGTGATGTTGGGGTAGGCACCACCGATTCCGGCTCCGGCAAAGCGTAGGTCAGGCGCATACTGTACTTGAAGCTCGGCTGCCCACTCAGTCGCAAAGGAGCCACCCGAGTAGCCATACATAGCGTACTTGAGATACATTTCCCCTCTCGCACCTACAGGTACACCTACCGCCCGAGCCCCGTTCAAGGCGGCTCGGACGGAGTCGAGGGTAGCATGGCCGGACATGACACCTGATCCAAAGGCGGCGTTGGGGCCTTCGTAGTCGGGCACATTGACAAACCAGCCTCTTTTCAGGAAGAGACCAATAGCGGTTTGCAAGGAGCTGTCCTTGTAGATTTGATAGCTAGGACTGGAGTCGAGATTGGCGCTGTCGTAGGGGTGCTGGTATGATAGCAACGAATGGGGCGAGTCTCCTACATGCAAAGGGGCGATGACTGTAGTCACGGCCCATGTTGGTTTATAGTGGCTGTCAGTCGTCCGGTAGAGGATGTTGTAGGCTTGGAAACCAACGCAGGTGTCGAGGAACTTGAGATTGGCGATCGCGTTTCCTGGAGCAGGTCGAAGGCGTAGAATGTCCCCGGGCTGCGCTGCCAACCAGTTGACGTTGTCAGGTGGCCTATACCAAGGATCACCGCTCGGAGGAAGAGGAGTAGAGGGCGGCGTAGTTGACGCTGAAGGCGGGAGAGAACATGTAATGGCGACAGCAAGGGTGGGAATGGCTGGGAGTGAAGACGGTGGAGCATAAACCGTAGAAGCGGAAGGACAAGCAGTAGTAACAGGAGTAGGGGCTGCCAGCACAACGCTCGCAATACTTGCGAGCACAGGAAAAGCTCGGAGAATGGAATGCATATTAAACAAACGATTACAAGAACAACAAGACTAAGAGATGGGTATAATATGCGACGCTAAAAGATGTGTGTGGAATGTGTGGAATGTGTAGAATGTTAAACAAATTCTATGGTGAACAAACTTCTTGTATACTATTAGTACCTGGAATATGTACAACGGCCCCATTGCAGAATGTGGTTGCTTCCGTGGCGTATATCATCGCCTACCCTCGCTATGGCATGATGTCACAGCTAGTGTCAAGCCACAGCCTGCAGAATGTCCATCGGCAGTATTTTTAGCAGCGATACGAAATCATGATGTGTTGAAAGTCGGGAGACGTGGTAGGAGCGCAGGAGGATCAGATGATATTAGGTGGTTTCGCGACGAAATTTTGTGGCTTTAGTGGCCGTGCAGGTTCCCCAGCCTCAAACGCCATATTTTAACCTCGGAACCTCTCCGCCTCTAAACCCGCGAACGCGAAAGCTGCCTCTCCCAACAGCCCATTCTGCACAATCGGTCTTTGCGTGTAATATTCGTACCTCGCTGTCGAGTTGAGACTGCACACTGGTACCGTGGCATTATATCCGATAACCCCATTCCCAGTGTCAATAACAAAGACATTCTCCATATTGTCATACGCGGGCATTGCTGGAGCATTCAGACACTCACTCTCAGCCTAATTCCCAGCGTCATCGTGAGAATGCTCCAGCAATCTAATTCTCAGACCCTTTAGCAGAAAGAAAGTGAACAATTCCCCTCTCGCGCGAAAAATGTAGGCAATTGCCACCACACCCCTGTCTCCTGATCTGCCCAGCGCGATGCTAGGGTAGGAGCGAGGTGATTCGCGATATCTTTCGTCAAGCCACACAATCTTTTCCGATCACTCTTTTCTTCTCGGTGTTGCCGTCCAACACAAGCTTCCTCCCAACCGTCCACTACAGTATCCCGAATAAAAACCACCCTGGGCTGCGACCCCATACATACGGACTCGCCGCGGTGACCGAGTTCGCCCAGACAGCAGTCTTCATCCAATCGTATCCATGCACTAATAATCCCGTCTACCAGCAATGGCGGTAAAGCATGTCGATTTGTAGCCTCATACCCGTTAAGTTGCGGTGCGTAGATGACACCATGTACGGCAAAACCGACGCCATACAATCGAGGTAACTCCACTCTTTGTACGCGGCATAATGCCACAGTCCGCTATCAGGATCGTAGTTGTAAGGCGAACGAGTCGGCGATCACGTCACGTGCTAGAGATAGCTTGGCGGTTTATGGATCAGTCCATGAGGTGTGAGAGAGATGAGATTCTTTCCAAGGCCGTTTGTGTGGCGGGCCAGACTGTGAATCGGCCGAGGGGAATAGCAGGATTGACGGTTACGTTTTGGGTGTTGGGGGATATTACTGCGAGCACTTCACGCAAGTACGGTGTTAGGGTGGGTGAGAGATTGGGTAATAGCTAGAGCATGGATAGGACGGAGAGGCAAAGGAGACCAGATTCGAGAGTTGAAGTTGAGGCTGTTGAGGTGATTATTCCTTGCTTGCGAGAAATTATGCTGTTTAGCATGCGGTGGGGAGGAATGTTGTATCATTTTGGCCGGTGACAGGAAATGCCGTAGTGCAGCTACTGACGGGTAGCAAGATGTCGAGGAGGGTTTTCACTATCATCGTACGCATAGTTTACGACTGCTCTCTTGCCAAACTTGTAGGGTAAAACGAGTGGGCTAACCCCGTAGGCTGTTCATGGTGTATTTAGATTAAAAATCAAGGACCAGAAACCTGAACAAGTGCTAAGTCAGACGTCAGATTATTGCCCAGATATCGCGCAATGCCATATACTAGGCCAATAACATAGAACCTTAAGCCAATAGGAGAGTGAGGAAGGATGCGCTGATAACTTGAGTGGGATTCCAAGAATCTCCACCTGTGAGCCAATTTCAACCGTTAACTCCAACGTCATATCAACTGTAGAAGCTACGGTTGTGGCTACTTTCTTATAGCCTTTCAGGCCGCATGATATATTGTGGACTAGGGGTCCGAGGAGCTATGTGATTTATATAGTATGATGAGACGTCAGGCCCAAGGTTGATTGGGGAGACCATCGTAGAGCCCCCCGGCTTACATTTCTCTGCCTAACCCTTTAGACAGCTAGCCCTGCGCGAGATTTCCTCCCATCCATCATCCCCATCTATTCCTTCAATCCTAGGCGCTAAAAGAAAAGGTCACGTGTCCTATCCCCACTAGCCCCTAAAAGCATATATCTAACACAACGGAAACGCTCCCAAAAGGGGACGGGGACAGCCGATGAGCACAATGTGTAGGTGGGTTCTACGCCCATTTTGGTATTTGGGCTTGTTTGTTGATACTAAAACGCACTTCCTCAAAAACCAGGAAAACGGAAAACCGCTTCGAAGGAGAGGAGCAGTCAATAGAGCGGTTAGGACTTTCACGGAATGTTGTTCTTAGATACGAAACGTACTTCTCGGTGCGGAACTCGAACTAGTGGCTCTTTTGTAACAGTCCAGTGGTTGGAGGAAAGAGCATTATACCACAGTGCCGTCACACTTTTTGCAACTAATCTCTGAGATCTTGTTTTTTTAGATGAGATTTTTATTTGACGGGGTTATGTAGGAATGGCTTTTACGTGAAGGAAGGGCGAGGGGGTTTGGACTGGGCAGTGGAGGGGAAGGTAACAGATTGATAAACGTATGTACTGAAGCTGTGGCTGGATTTCGAAAATGAAGGAACTATGCCATATATGACCCGTCTGCCCTCACGGTTTCCCTGGGCAAATGCCGAGATATAAAAGGTGTGCAAAATGCTCAAGCGATAATTAGTAGTAGGATGACGGGCCAAGCAGCGTCACAAACAGAGCACACGGTCTTGAGCTATCAATCATATTTCTCATTGTTGGTTTGCCTGCTGCCAACGACTCCAGGAACGCGGTCATTCTCTACCTTCTAAGATTGCTGATATCCTGGCGTCTTCTTGTTTGCATAAATGCAACACGCCAACAGGACCAAATGCTAAATTCTGGGTCAAGTCAATCCGAAGAAGCAAGGCGAAGCAAAAAAGGATTTAGGGGATTGGCATCAGACGTAGGAGAAGGTATTAATACCTTCATTCCCGAGAAGGGATTGTGGCAGAAGGTTCGATCGATGTCGTCCCGCGAGACTGAGGCTCGCACTGTCCGTAAGGCAACACCAAAGACCAAAGTCGCAGTCCAGATGGAATCTTGTGTAAGCAAGTGAGTTGGACAATATTTGCGCATCCAAGGAAGTTAGTTGCCACCCTTGATCCTTTGAGAGCGTTAAATTGAACTCGCACTCCAGCTAATATTCAGCTAATTGAAGGTATCCCGCCCAAAAAGCCGAAGACCGAGCTAGTACGTTACTAGTGTAATATGAGATGGTACCAGCATAAATCTGCGTACCACTTCAATATTCCCTTCTCCGATAGATTCAGTAACGCTAGACGGTACCTGGCGAGGGTCACCAGGATAGTGACGACTAAGTAATCTCCGGAAATGGCCATAAGGATGGCACCGGCGAACATGAGATGTGAGCTAGAACAGCGGCCCTTGTAAATGTAAGACCAAGACTAAGGAAGTTATTTAGAAGGCGATTTCGGCTAAGAAGGTCGACACAACTTCTAAATTAAAGTACGGTCTGGGGCAATTGGCAGTTCTTGTACTCCTCCATCTGGTTCCCTCCGACTAAGCTAAACACCATACTTAGTGTCAACAGTTTCCAGCCGCGGGGATATGAGAGAAGTCCAAAGACGGTCCAAGAAGCCTTTGTTCTAGTAAAGAGAAACATTACGAGCACCCTGATTCCTGCTATGGTCCAATACTGTTTGTGCTTACAAGCGGCTAGGCGTTGAAAAGATTTGCGGTAAAGTGTAGCCCAAAGACTGCAACCGACATAAATATCTAAGACTTGCTAAAAGTTTTGCTCTGCATCTCACAAGTTAGAACTCAAAACAACGCTTCCAAGAAATTAATTGCAAAAAGTCACAAGGGCTACGGACGAGGAAGGACATTTTGCCACTCATATGTGGGAGAGATCACCTGGAGCCGATGGAAAAATTCCTAGGCCTCATACATTGCATGGAGGTAGACTGATAATGTGTGTTGTTGGTTGTCACGGGTGAAAAGGCCAAGTCTTGGAGCCGCTGGGGATGAATAGAAGGCTATGCTATACTTTAGTGGCGTTACTATAAATTTAGCCAAGTTTTCCTGCATCGATCGGCGCCGCAGACGCCTATCTGATTCACTTGTGGTTGGTCTGTGCGTTATTCCATGTCAAACCAACTCTCGAGTGTGAATGGAATAGAAGAGAACGAATGGAGGGCATACGATCATGCGTAGAGCCTTCCAGCAATCTGGCGTCCAACCAGCAAGCTCGAAAAGCTACAACCCCTACCGCCTCTTTTCTATCTACGGCTTTTTGGCCCTATAATACGGCACTCCACTAAACTGGCAAAAGACTTGCATCCGCGGATATTGCCGCAGAGAAGCTACTCGCCAATGGCATTCTGGTAGGGTACCGAAAGAAACCTATAATAATGCCACCCAACGCGATTGCCCTTCCAAGCGTCTCAGTGAAGATACTATTGATACTGAACACGCCGCATTGGAGCCAATGCCGCGTCGAATGAACCACTAAAAACTCCTCGGAGTTCGATGCGCTTAAGACTTGCAGCAGAAGTTGCTCGCGCTGAGCAGAAGAGTGCTTAAAATGATATTGCGCAGATGCACCCAGACATCTAGATCCTTTGCGCTCTTTCAACTGCCCTGGTACAAGACGCAAATCGAGCCTTCGTACTTGAGATTCTTCCGGACCCATATCATGACAATGATAATGAATAAGCAAATCGACATTGCACCGAATGTAGAAAAACTATCACGCCGATTCGCCAACAAGCGAGAAATCGCTGGTGAACTGGCTTTGTGTGGTGAGTCGAGTGTATCGATCCACGGTCAAAATTCCTCTCATCTTGTCGAGGCTTTATGTGGTCGTGGAAACAAGCTTCGAGGATTCTCGTCGTTCATCCTGAAGGATGTCGTCAAAACCTCTAGGTTGTAGAAGTGAGAGCTATTAGTACATTAGTTCGAGGATCGGAGGATCGCGACACAGGTACCGGAGGCTAGACCTAGGCTGAGAGAGCTAAATGCCAAACGTGAGCACAAGATCTGGGAGCAAGGGAGACAATACCGCTTAGGAATTTTCATCATTTGCTCCAGTCTATCTGGCGACCCCTTCTAGAAGAAAGGAATACAAGAGCTACCTGGACAAAGTCGAGCCCACGAGTAGGCCTGTAGCAAAGAGACAGCGGCACGTGCAAGGACTGGTGCTGCCCATGAAGGTGGGCATATTCGCTGTTGTCCGATGGTATGATTGCAACTTGCTAGCATCCGCGATTAACGAGGCGGCAACTGGATGCGTTTGAAGAAGCTGGGAATGGAAGTGCGCGATGCGGTGTGGTGTTAGTTCCCAGAAGCTTGTGAACGCCCCTCATGCATCGATCAAGCAGGCACACCACGTCTTCCTATCAGCTGCCTTCATTGAATATGCTCCTTCCCCTTCACTCGCACGCAAAGTCGCGTCTCTCTGGAGGTCTTGGAGGTCTTGGAGATGTCTGACGACTCAGCACCGCCGAATCATGTGCGGTCTCTGATTACTCACGCGCCAGCTCTCCTTCGCGTTCACAGGCAGAGATGCCTCGGTACGTTCGGTTCACGGCTTCCCCCACAACTTTGGACCTCACGCCTCGACCTTCAACGCGCGTAAGACATTCCTGACACTTCACCTATATCCTTGAGCTCCAGACCTCCCTATTCTCGCCCAAGAAACCATTTGTCGCGCCCTTAAACTATATCTGCAAGAATATTCGCATTTCGTGGGCCTTCCCTTCAAAGATGCCGTTCAATACCCAGCTCACCCGGGCCCTGGGGATCAGAGGTTCGCGGGTTTCTAAGGCGTCTACATTCTATTTCCTGACTTCAGATAGTGCCCGTGGTCCAAGGTGGCATGCAATGGGTCGGCTATGCTGAGCTTGCCAGCGCTGTTAGCAATGCCGGTGGTCTGGGAATAGTATGCCTTTTATACATCTCACGCAGTGCACTTTTGACCGTGGCTCCAGTTGACGGCCCTCACCCAGCCCACTCCAGAAGACCTCCGAAAGGAGATCCGGCGCTGCCGGAATATGACAAAGAATCCGTTTGGCGTCAACCTTACTCTCCTCCCAGCCCTCGTTCCTCCTGACTATGGGGCATACGCACAAGTAATAATTGACGAGGGAATCCGGATCGTTGAGACCGCCGGAAACAGTCCCGGGCCCGTCATCAAGGTGCTAAAGGCTGCCGGGTGCACCGTCCTCCACAAGTGCACGACCATCAGGCACGCGCAGTCTGCTGTGAAGCTTGGTGTAGATTTCCTGTCCATCGATGGATTTGAATGCGCCGGACATGTTGGCGAGCACGATATTACCAATTTTATTCTCCTGAGCAGAGCACGGCAGTCGCTCGGTGTTCCTTTCATCGCGTCTGGAGGGTTCGCGGACGGACAAGGTTTAGCGGCTGCGCTGGCCCTCGGCGCATGCGGCATCAACATGGGCACGCGGTTCATGTGCACTGTTGAGGCGCCTATCCACCAAAACATCAAACAAGCCATTGTCGATGCCCAAGAGACGGACACCGAGCTCGTGCTCCGGAGATGGAGAAACACGTCCCGGCTTTTTGCGAACAAGGTCGCAAAAGATGCCGTAAAGATCGAGAAGGAAAGTACAACCGGCAAGTTCGAAGAGGTGGCGCCCTATGTAAGTGGCAAGAGAGGCCGGCAGGTCTTCTTGAATGGTGACAAGGACTTTGGTGTGAGTAACCCGTCTCCACTTTTCGCCACATGATTCCATGTTAATCAATCCACAGGTATGGACGGCCGGCCAGGTCATCGGTTTGATTCATGATGTCCCCACCTGCGAAGAACTCTTGTCCCGGATCGAACTAGAAGCTATTGAGGCTATGAAGCAATCGCGATCGCTCTTCGTCGACGAGGGCCAACTTCCGCTCAGCTCGACCGGGACTATGGGGAAGAGTAAGCTTTAGATTTTTGTACAGTAGACATAGTAGACCAATGGCCGCTATTTAGTATAGATCAAGCAACCTTTTTTATCAACATCAAATATCAGCTATCGTCCAATTTGGTTCGACCAACTTCCCATCGTTCATCCCGTGGTACTTCGCGGCCCTAACCTGTGCTCAACGATTCCCGGAGTTCCTCATTTCACCAGATCGTTACCAGAGGACTGCGTCCCCACAACCCTCCCACGTGCCATCTTCAACTTCCCAACAGTGGGTGTCCGTATTAGCTAGGTGTCTGCGCACGTCGACTCCTCAGTGTTCCTTATATAGTCTCCCTCTACCTTAATTTCGGACCTCATTAGCTATCTATCCCTACTTACACTTTCAATTCGTCACCACCATGCGTCTCTGGCCAATTCGCAAGCTAGAGGACTCTACCAGCCCGCTACCACACCACCAGCGTTACGAGGGGCGAGCCAGCAACACCTCCAAACGCTCATCTCAACGTTTTTTAAACTGCTTCAGTCTAGGCTATCTCTTGGGCATTGGCTTGGCAGGCCTCACCATCTGGCTTGTTCTGCACATCGCGGACAATAGAGAAGAGCGTCAGCAGACTAATATCTATCCCCTCCTCCAGGGGGCTCACACTCTTCACGCTGCAACCTCAGGGAGGGAAATTCCCTTCCCAAATCTTGCTGGATATTCGTCACGAGAAGAAGAGATCGATGGTTCTGTTACTGGGAATGAAGCCATTCGTCTGCCTGCCCCCAAGGTACTCGATCATCGCTACGATGTGCCTCACCATCCGCATATTCGTCCCCGAGATACGCTTAATGAGCCTACCTCCGCGACCTCAATGGAAATTATTCCAACGCCGGCTTTATCTCATGCCCCACCTGTCTCTCCTCTCGTCCGTAGTCCAACAGGGACGACCGAGGTTCACTATAGCGATGCCTACAAAACGACTCTTGAAAAATGTCTAGCAGAGGAAAACTGGGATACCTGTAAGCAAGGCTGGGTCAAACGATTCTTTCCAGATGGCTCTGCTACCACCTCTGTCTCCCATACTCCACCCCTGTCTGCAACTTCCACTGTTGATAGTAGGCAGAGCATAGTTGTACGCGCCTGGATTGACCACCTCGATAGACAATACGATGCCCTGTCACCCGCGGGGAGGGGATGGGTGGATTATTGCCTTAGGTTTAAGTATAAGGGGAAGTTGCATAAATGTCTAAGGAAGTGGAAGAAGGTGGATATTTTGAAGCGGGATGATGAAGGCACAATCGACAAGAACCAGACTGTCGCTGGGGTTTCTTCTATGGCTGCCGCTGACGACGTCCCTCGAAAGTCTTCGCGCCTATCTTCATCGCCGACTTCAACTTCTTCCTTAGAAGTTTACACGAAGGACAATGACGAGGACGGAGATGAACTCGACTACTTTGTTGGGTGGCTCCTATCTTGTCTAGCCTGGAGAACCGATAGAGAGTGCAATCGACTCTATCTCGAGCTCCAAGACATATCCCCCGAACACCCATCCTATTCCTCACTCCGTCCCGACATATTCGACTGGTATGACAAATGTGAGAGCCAGACCTCGGACGAATGCGACCGGCTCTGGGATGAGCAGGGACACTGCACGGAAGATGATGAATCCTCAACCTCTCCATCTCTGTCGCCATCCCGCCGCGACAAACTCCTCCCATACTGGATGGAACGCGACAACCGACTCTACGCCGCCTTAAACCCTGCCGGCAAGAGATTCGTCGACGATTGTACTTGGAATATCAAAGCAGAAGTACCTGAATATCGGTTCGCACTTGGCAGGTGTCTGCACAAATGGAAGAAGTGGAAGAAACATAATGGTTTGGGGAAGAATAACAACCGTGCCGATGACGAGGGCGATTTGGATTTGGAAGGTGTATCCGACGAGTATTGGATGGACAGGCAAAGGGAGTTGGCAGAGGATGAGAAGGCAGTTACTAAGCATATCAACGCTGCCGAACAGAAGTTTCCGGGTATAATGCTTGAAGATGTAAAAGTGGATGGAGATGCCGATAAGGCTGGGATTCGTAGGGCCGTGGATTGGAACCCCGCTGATCCGGTTGGTGAGCCAATTTTCCACCACGCCCCTGACCTTGAAGCAGTCAGCTCTGACAATTCTATCTTCTCCCGCCTGGCCAAACGCACGCAAGCCAAGTATAAGCAACTGAAATACAAATACACACACCATTCCATCAACAGCCTCACGGACAAGACAACCCAATACGAATGTTGCGTATACCAAGGCCAAGTGCTTCCTTGCAGGCTATTATGCGCCAACAACGTATTTTGTCCCCCTCCTCCTCCTCCTTCCCTCCACTCTGTCGTGCCCTCCATAGACTCCTCTCGTAATGCCAACACATCGCCGGACTAGGCGCAGGAGGGTGAGCGGAAGGTGATGGAGGAACACACGCCAGAACTATAACTCAAATACGGCCATCACCACAAATACCACCACCATAAACCCGAGGACGACGAAAATAGTGCGTGTTGGCAATGTGGGATGGCCGCATCTGTGCCTTTGCCTTTTTTTTGTGTGAGACGCCTCGGCATGAGCGCTACTAACGTTTCTCTGTCAGAGGCCAACAACTGAAGGAAAGAATGAGAATTCTGCAAAAGATGAGAGCCCTCTAAAGAACAAGGGCTCTAAAAGCGACAATAACTTTGAAACAGAAGTACGCCTAGGCACTTGAGTTTGGGTGTTTTTGAGTTTGAGAGGTGGCGTTGGAGGTTATTTGAGGAGAGTGGGTTTGTTTGCTTCTTGCTTTGTACGTTTTTCTGCCCCGTTCTCTGATCAGAGTTCAGATTTTATCTTTGTTTAACGGAAGACGGAAGGTGATGCCTGTACCCTCCAGTACCTAGGTAGTGGGGCCAAGGAAAGATCTGAGGGTCGTCTCCTCTATGTCATCTTCGGTGATAGAAATATATTTTTTTTCGCACACAGTATAGTCAGTCTACCACACTCCCTTTTGCTCAAGCTAGCTAGACCAATTCAGTTACTTATTCCTACCATTTACCACCTACTTGCTTTTTCTTCTACGCGCCTACGTCCCATGTAATATCACGCATGTATTCTAAACACAAAGAATTAGATGGCGATATACCCTTGTACAGATAAACAGGAGATTGTATACGACATGGACGCCTAGCTCCTTCAAGTGATTTTCCGCCGTTTTGCCGGCTTCCGAGTCTAGATTTAGGAGAAACCAGTCAGAGCCGAAGAGTAGTGTAATGATTTTCCTGGCACAGCGTGCGGAAGATGGAGGCGTGACCGCGATTGTTAGAGGTGTTGCGGCGGAGTCTACCCTCATGACAGAATGTGCAGTCTCGAGTCTTGCATGGAAAGCGCGCAACTCAGCAAGCGCTTCTTCATGGGTGCTATGTAGGGGGTAGAGTGGGGAGTGCTCCAGCTTCCAGTTGCTCTGACGAGGGCGTGGTAAGGAACGCTCTTGAATCTTCTGATTCGATATGTGGTATTCGTTCAGTACGCCGTATCCTGGGTAATAGGCATTATTGACGATTCTTGCGGAATCGTCAACGAGCTTTTTCGAAGAGCTGTTGGCTATCAGCTGGATGCTCACCATCTTTCTACTGGTATCCGCTCTAGTAGGCTAGCGTTACGTAAAAGTATACTCAAAATTGAACGGATGTAAGGAAAAGGTCGGCTTGATAGGAATAAAGACACCTTCATTTCGTAGTAAGATGAGACTAACTAGCGCCCTTGGAGCGCAGATTTTCCAGTGAAGGTGTATTGACGGACTTCCCGGCACGAACCGGTACGCCAGAGCCCCGTCGAGCGTGCTAGGTTAGTGTGTAAAGTTGTTCAGAAAATGATGGGTAACGGACAGGATCGACAGAACTTCCGCTAAGGATAAGATTTTGAGCAGTTCTCGAGGTATAATCGGTGGTAGCTGAGGCAAAGTTCCCAAACTTGAGGGGCGAGGACGGTGTTGCAAGGAAAATGTGAGACGGATGGCGTCGAACCAGCAATGTGGATCTCTATTGAGGTGAGAGACAAAGACCACGCACGTGATCTGGGGTTGATACCCATGCGGATGTGTGAAGTGCTAAATAACCGAAGTTACTAGGTGGCCAGCTGCAAACAATGAATAGGACGAACAAAGAACTATCTTGGGTCATGACTAAAGTTAACTAATGACGGTGCCATTTCTCGCTTCGCAGGTATCACGTCGCGCAAATCTCGACGCCCGTGAATTGGGGACTTGCCAAGAATAGCATTCCTGATCTTCAGATTCTCTTGGAATACAAAATTTTCCCTTTCCAAGGGGGAAGGCATACAACTGAGCTCAAAGAAAATCAAACCATATCAAAAGGTGTGGCGAAGGAAGCTTCTTGCTACCTTGCATACCCAATCCGAGGAGCACCAATAAAGCCAAGCTCGATGTGTATCTGAAGAAATCCCAAGGGGAAATCATCCCTATGTCAAGGATTCGAGTAAGCTTTGGATAGCCAGGCCAACCCAGAAGGAAAAGATAGTCCTAAAGGAATACACCAGTGAGAAGAGAAATGAGTAAAGATCAAGCCGACAGATGAGTTTGTGTGAAATCAACCCATATGTGCGAGGAGTAATATTGGCAGGGAATTAGTGGTCGATGGAATTGGCCTGAAGAAGACCAAAATCAGTCGGTGAATGTAGATCCGATCCAAAGGCTGACGCACAAATGGCTCCCATGCCAATCGCAGAAACTTAGTAATCAAGGAAATAAGGAGACCCGGTCATCTGGGAATTTGAATCAGTCTCGAAGAGGCAAATAGTTGCACAAACCGACCATTTCTGAAAGCACAGCGTCAGGGAGGACATCGGGGCTTGACAGAACCCAGTTGACGGGACTTGGTGGCGGCTGTGGTGGCGGAGATGGGGGGTCGTCTCTTGACCGCTCGTGTAATGCCAGTTGAATACTAGGAACTGGGATATCGACTCGAATTCGCGTGGCGTTGGGAGCGATGGAGCAGTGCTCGCTTTGGAAATCTGAAACAGGTGCGGTGGTAGACGCCATCATGGTCAGGGTAGAAGAAGTTCTTGCGGGAATTTTAGTATTGAGGGAGTTGAAATTGCTTTGGATGAAGGCTTGGAAGGAAAGATAGATGGAAGGAAGGACTGGTGCTCTGAAGATCGGGGTACGAGCAGCTGTTGGTGGACGTTAAGTAGTAGACGTGGGGGAATAGTGACCACGCATTACTCTCAGCTAGCAAACGAGGGTAGGACTCGCTTAAAGGCAATCAGACACTTCAACGGGCCGTACGGGAAGACGGGAGGCATCAGGCAGACATGGACAAGTCAGCGCAGAGCGAGGCTGGAATGAATTGCTGATTCGGTCGATCTTGGGGGCACAGGCGGGCATCGAAGAAGGCCCATCCCGAATTCCTGGTAGGTAGTCATTGAGGTGGAAGGTAGCCACTCCCAGCAGCGGCAAACAACGTGCTGAGGTGCACAGTCAGATTGAGCCAAGGCTCGACGGGGCAGAAGCAGAGTCATGCAGATAGCCGCAGGACAGTGGTGGCCGATATGATATCAGCCGTGCCATTCGCTGGAGAGCGTCGGCTGGTATCGGGAGAGAGGAAGAAGAGAAACAGGGTAGGTTGACTTGTCCATAGTGAGCAGAGGTGAAATGGCGGTCTGCTCTGCTGGAGCCATAAGAGGGCTGGAAGAGGCCGGTCTCGACGATGAGGTGCTCTGGGGGCATGCAAGATAACAGTGGGGACTGAATGGGAATGCAGCCAGCGTCGTAAGAGACACTTATTGCGCAAGGTCCAGCACTGGAGCCTAGACAGCAGTGCTGAGACGTGGATGGCTCATTGTTTGCTGCGAGCTCTCCCCTGCGGTGCGAAGCAAACGGGGCAAAACAAAGACAGTGCCATTGGGCGACGGAGAACGCCGAAGCAGAAGCCTTGGATGGATAGATGCATCGCCCGGAATGAATGAGGTTGGAAGGGTGGCAGCATCCGGCAGCGAACGGTAGAGGATGGATGAAGTGAACGAGTGGCTGAGGCGGGGGGAGGGGGGAGGGGGACGCTCAGACCGGGAAGGCGAAGACGGACGCGCCAAGGCTGGGCGAGGTCTCCAGCGACGACTTCATTGTGAGTTCTGTGTCCTACAAAGGCACCTGTTGTCCCCACAGCGACCAGCTTGCAGGCCCGCTCTCCCGCCGCCTTTGTCCGCCTCTCTTGCCGGACCACACTTGCCCTCGCACGTAGACAACGCCCACCAAGCTCCCGTTGCACCCACTGTGCCTCCGCTTCCCCGCGACGCCGGCCGAACAATCTCTCATGCGCCCAGCCGGTCGCACCTTACCTGCACATAGGGCTGGCAGTCACGACCACAGCAGCTGCATCGCCAGCTGGTGACACCCCCCGCTGCATCCCCACTGCTTCCCATTGCTTCCTTCCCAGCTTCCCAATCCGCCCGTCGCCATTGCCCGTCGCCATTGCCCGTAGCCTCACCCATCCTGCCCCACGGCCTGCCAGCCCATAGCGTGCCCCGCTCGCTGCGAACATGTCGGTTTGGAATCCCGACAACGTGCGCGATGTTGCTGAGTCGGTGGGTATCGCCTCACTCGCCGACAGCGTCGTGGACGAGTTGGCGCGGGATGTCGACTACCGCCTCGCCCAGGTGCTGGAAGAGGCCCTCAAGTTCATGCGCCACGGGAAGCGCACCACGTTAAGCACCTTGGACGTGTCCAACGCGCTCAAGGTCTTAAATGTAGAGCCTCTGTACGGCTACGAGTCTACCCGTCCACTGCGCTTTGGAGAGGCTTCCCTTGGCCCTGGCCAGCCCCTCTACTATGTCGAGGATGAGGAGGTCGACTTTGAGAAGCTGATCAATGCCCCTCTGCCAAAGGTGCCGCGAGAGATCACCTTCACCGGTAATGCCCACCTCCCTTGCCACGTGACTTCTTGACTTGAACTACGTCGCTGACTGCCCTCAGCGCACTGGCTTGCTGTGGAGGGCGTCCAGCCGTCCATCCCCCAGAACCCAACGGCCACTAACCTTGCTGATCTCCTGCCAAAAGGGCCCAACGCCAACCCGCACCTTGCCGCTGCCAACGGCCTGGACAACATCAACGTCAAACCCCTTGTGAAACACGTCCTCTCCAAGGAATCTCAAGAGCTGTTCGCCAAACTCTCCTCCGCCCTCACCGATGAGACAAACTCTGAGTGGCAGAATGCCGCGCTAGCTTCTATTCAGTCGGACCCCGGGATCCACCAATTGGCCACCTACCTCATCACCTTCATTGCGGAGAAGGTCTCACACAACCTAAAGAACTTGTTCGTGCTGAGGCAGATGATGCTCGCAACTGCCGCGCTCCTAAACAACCGCGCCATCTACCTTGACCCTTACATCGCCTACATGGTGGCTCCTGCGCTGACGTGCGCGACTGGCAAACATCTTGGCCCAACCAGTCACCAGGCGCCTTCCAACGCTTCATCCGAGACGCTGAACGGAACCAGCATGAACGGCAACAGCCCGAATCCTCTTGCTCACTTTGAGTTGCGCGACCTAGCAGCTTCCATTGTCAGCTCCATGTGCAACAGATATGCGGCCTCGAGCCAAGGCCTGAAAGCACGCGTTGCGCGGAGCTGTCTGAAGTTTTTCCTGGACCCTAACAAATCTCTCGGCACACATTACGGTTCTCTGAAGACAATGTTGTCCATTACCGGACCAGAAGGCATGAAGATGCTCGTCCTGCCCAATCTGAAAATCTACGACGATGTCCTCAAAGAAGGGATGAGCGACGAGTCGAGGAAGCCGGAGGCGGAAAGAGTGCTGGCCGTGATACTCCAAGCACTTGACAGCATGGAGCGTACAAGAGGCGCGTCTCGAGTAAACGGCGTCGGAAACCTCGAGAGCTTGAAGGCCAGACTAGTCGAGAAAGTCGGCGAAGTCGTAGGCGAGAAAATCGTGACGAGCAGGCGATCCGCTGTCGCTCAAGTCATCATGGAGACAGATTTAAGCTTGTAATACAGTCACCCCGTAACGTGTGGTACGTTTGGCGTGGTATTTATACACAGTGCTTCGGGCTCGAAAAAGGCGTTGGTGGAAAGGACAGCAATGATACCAGTTTCGTCTCGTCTCGTGATATAGGTAATCACTGAGCATCTACCTAGTAGGCAGCCAGTTTTATAATATGTAAAATAGTAAAGCTAGGTGGCCTCAAGTTGTGATCACTTTTGAAGTGAGGCATATGTGTTGTTTTGGTGATTGTGGCTTACCTAGTTACTAGCTAGTATTTAAGGCACCAAGAATGTCCAACTTAACGACAAACATTCTACAGCGCAGGTCTCTTCCATACCAACTCACACATATATCTGTATAGATTCGCTTCAAACAATCATGTGGATTATCGATTGGTAACTACCGTTCCTATCAAGTGAAATAGTAGATTTGAGGGTTAACAATACGGACAGGTGTAAGCATCCCCCCTCGGGTCGCCAGCGCGCAACTTTCCCGCAGACATGTGGCTGACTATTATAAAACAGTCTGGGATACCCTATCCTCCCTTGGCCTGACGAATAAACATGCAAAACTCTTGGTAATCCCTACCCGCTTGTACTAAAACGCTCGCTCACTGGAAGTGAGTGACTTGGACTCGGACTGACGAGACTATGATATCAGTTCCTCGGTCTTGACAATGCGGGCAAGACGACGCTCCTGCATTTGTTGAAGAAGTATGTGGAGAGATAGCCACACAATGTCTCGTTTTGTTCGTCTATGTCCTTATCCTTACCCTGGGCTAACGGTGAACGATGAAGTGACCGCCTAGCCGTGCTTCCACCTAGTACGTACCCTTCCCCTTTCTCCACCTCACACAATCGACCTCTGCTAACATATCTCTCTTCGATTAGCCCAACACCCAAGTACATCCCCCTCCCCCTACCCCCCCTCACACATCCAATTAACAAACCCCCGCAGCATCCTCCACCGTAACCATCTCCAACATAACCTTCACAACCTTCGACCTAGGTGGCCACACCTCCGCTCGTCGCATCTGGCACGCATACTTCCCCGACGTCTCCGCCATAATCTTCCTTGTCGATGCCCGAGACCAGTGGCGACTTCCAGAAGCCAAAGCCGAGCTCTCCAAACTACTTTCCATGGACGAGTTAAGAGACATCCCGATTTTGGTGCTCGGCAACAAGATCGATCACCCTGAAGCGGTTAGTGAGAGGGTGTTGAGGGAGGCTCTGGGGGTGGGATGGGAAACGACGGGGAAGGCGATGGGGGTTGGGGGGAAGGGGAAGGGGACAGGGGTGGGTGAAGGGGGACTGAGGCCGTTGGAGGTGTTTATGTGTAGTTTGGTTATGAGACAAGGTACGTGCTTTAGTGTTTTTCGAAGAATTGGAGAGTGGGTGAATGGTGCTGATGACAAGGGATAGGATATGGGGAGGCCATTCGGTGGCTTAGTCAGTATGTTTGAGTGCTGTAAGATGGGTTTATTGAGCGAGTCTGAGGGGGAGCCTGGGTGTTGGTGATGATGGATGGGGTGGTATGGTGCCTAGGAAGCGAGAATAAGAATCGCTGCAAGACGGGCGTTGGAGGCTGGATGGACACGATGATTACCGAAGGCTAATACGCTTCCATTGCATTCGGTACCCTCCTGTCAGCCGATCTATATAGTTATGGTGCCCCGAAAGGTTGGCCTACATTATATCTGATTGCTTGCCATTAACTATCATATAAAATCTCTCGCAATACCACGAGTTTAAATCAGCTCCGGGGAAAGAAAAGAGACAAGCCGAGCAAACTATAGCCTTGGATTAATTGGGTGGGCCTGGGCATTATATTGTACATGCAAACTTCTAGAAAGGCATTTACACACCTAATCCTAGAGCCTCGTTCCCCAACCCTCTTCGCAAGAATATCATCACATCACATATCTCCTCCTTTCATTTCAACCTTGATATCGAACCTCACTCGACGGGAAACCACATCCCTTATTCCACCTTCCCTCCCTTCTCACTACAAATCGGCAACAAAAACTCGTCCCTCTCCTCCTCAGTCCACTTCGCAACAGCATCACATATGCGCGTTACTGCGCTGTCTACTCTTCCTAGCCACCCTCCATTTCCCACTGCCCCATTTGGTTCTCCCCCTGTCCCTTCTTTTTCTCCTCTTCTTCCCCGTCCTCCTCCTCGGTCGCGGTCTTTATGGCCGTCGGCGCCTAAATATCGCCCCAGCGAAAAAATCGATCTCCCGCTGAAAGACCGTGAGATCGGAGTTTGGGCCTCTAATGCTTCGGCGTCATCGTAGACGGGTGATGAAGCGGAAGTATCGGAGCGGTCTGACAGCGGGGGTGTCATAGATCCTTCTCCTGCTCCTGCTCCTGAGCCAGAGCTGGCGAGGAAGGCGGAGCGTTCGGTGAACCACTCTGCAGATGTTCGGGGTCGGAGGTAGGCGTTTGGTGAATTGGGCAGGAGGAAGGGGTTGTTGGGCGAGGGAGGACGGGAGCTTGGAGATGGTGATGGGGATGAGAAGTTTGATGAGTGGTGATGGCTGAGGTAACTGTAGTAGGAACCGGCGTCTCGTTCTAAGTCCTGAACCACGGCTGTGGGGCCCGGCTTATTAGAAGTTGAGACACTGAAGTGAGGCCGTGGTCGTTGGCCTCTTGCAGATGTTGCTGCTGATGCAGACAATGGCGGTGCAGGGGAAACGGGTTGGGGACTAGAAGAGCATGGTCGGTATGTCGATTTTGCTGCCGATGTCGATGCAGATAGTGTTGCTGTTGTTGTAGGAAACGGTTTCTTTATCCTGACCCTAAGTTCGATACCCCGATTCCCATCCCCGCATTGCTTCTCTCCTCCATTCCCATCCTCATTCCAGACCCCCGTCGTGAGGGCAGAACTTGGCTCGCGCTCAGCACTTGGTACGCGAATATATTTTGACGGTTTATCAATTGGTTTAATCTTGCTCCCGCTTCTTCCACTCCGCCCCTCTCCAATGCCAATTCTCCTCACTAAAACATCTGGAATCCAACGCACGTACCACGCGGCTCCAGATCCTAATACTGGTGTTGATCCAGACTTCCCACTCTTCTTCCTGCGGACCTTCTGACGCTGAAGCTGACGCTGACGCTGACGCTGACCCGGTGTCGCACCCACAAACCACTCCGGCGGGAAATTAACGAAGTAGATGAGAACAGTCCAGGCGGTCATCAAAGCTAGCGTACAATAGAGCAAGACTTTATACCCTACCGGTAAATACCGATATTCGTATTCCAGTCGCGGGGAAATACTTGGCGCGTAGGGGGAATATGGGTAGGAGGTATTCATATTGAGACTGGTGTTGATATGTGTGTAGATGTTGGGGAAGTACGGATGCGGATACGGTGGGTACGGAAATGGTGATGGGTAGAGGAATGTTGGAGGGGAAATTTTGAGAAGGGATTGATGACCGGTGGAGGGTTGTGGTACTGGGAAAGTTACCGGGAGCGATGGAGGTGATGGCGTGGAGAGAGCGGTGGACGAGGTGGCGTACGATGACGGTGTTTGTTTTGAGAGGGGAGGGTTGCGCGCGATGAAGGCAGTCGGGGACGCAGTGATAGGGATGGAAATCGAAATGAAGGTTGGCGATGGTTTGACACTCGATCGTGGTGTTCCTGGCACGATGCCTACAAACGTCGGGATCTGTGTAGCTGTGGGTCTAAATCTTTCCGAAAGGAGGATGTCCTCGCTTTGGGCCGGCGTCGGGACTGTAGTGTAGGTAGGGAAGGTTTCAGCTTGCTCCACCATCTCGAGCACAGCCGGAGTGGCCTGAGTCTGAGTCTGAATACTCAACATGCGTGTCGAGAACGTTGGTGACCTCCGCTCACTCCTAGAGCCAGAAAGGTGACTGTTACAGCCAGCGGCTAGACCTAGAGCCTGAGGTCGTGCCACCAGCGTGGCCAGAGTTGATACGGTTGAACAACCATATCCTTCCTTTCGTGCGACGTGCCTATTCGAAAGTCGAGAAGATTGACCACCACGATATGAAAACTTCCGCTCCTCTTGACTTTCCCTTCTCAGTTCCATTGGGTGTGATTTGTACTCATACTCTCTGACTAATGCTGTAGCTGTACCTGAGGTTAGTCTGAGACCTTCATGCGAGAGGCACATGTGCGTCGCCGTGGATTTATAAATCTCTGCAGCCGTGCTTGAGTTTAACTCTGCATCCGCGTCTTCACGGTGAGTAAACGCGCTAGACCCCGGCCCTCGCTCGTTCTGCCCGCGTAACAGAAGCGCATCATGAAGTTTTCGTTGTTGTAGCATTATACGGTCGCCGTCTTCCATGGGCAATTTCGAAGAATCCAGTGCCCCTCTTCCCGCCCCTTCCCGTGGCGGCATATCTCACAGTATTAAAAAAAAGTCTCCAAACTTCGAAAACAGTGTGGCGTTAGACTAGGGCTTGGTGAGGAGCGGTGGGATACGTAAAAATGGTAAGAGTTGGAGGGAGAAAGGGCTATTGGGAGTTAATGTAGAGATGTATGCGTGTAGGCTCAAGCGAAGAGAAACCTGCGATATCAAATTGCAGGGCGAGAGAAACAAGGTTTGCGAAGGCCATAGAAGCCAAAATCAAGACGTGCAAGAAGATGGTTGATTTTGTGCATTTTACAGGGCCTTGCTGACGGTGAAATTGTTACAAGTGAATGTGTATGACGTAGCGCTGTGCTGTGCTAGACACTGCGCGTGAAGCAGGAAAATTCCTCGCGAAGAGAAAGCGCGTGCTGTGAAATTTGGGGTTACAGTTGATGGAGTAGAGGATAAGTGAAGTCTTCACTAGCCGTATCCAGTTTATCAGCGTAGTTTCCGGCACTTGAACTTGTTATACCAATATCGTGACTCTTCACTCTGCCAACCTCCAGTTGCCAATCCCCAGAATGGGCAGAATTCGTGCACTATAACTTCAGTCGCTCGATTCAACAGGCACTCACCAAGAAATGATTCCGAGTCGAAAGGTATTTAGTACTAACTTTCGGACCACAACGACCAGGCTGACTGGCGAGCAAATAACAAACGCTATCTCGGTGACATAAAACTACGCACTGCCCACCCTTCCAATCCCTCCTTATATGCTTCATTAGTTGAGAAAGCACTCACTCTAAGCTTTTCCACCAGACGCTGTATTAAACTTGGAAGCAGGAGCACTGTACGACTTTTGAGGAACGAGATCACTGGGTGAGACATTCTAAGAAAGGAAGGAAAATCTATGGATAGAAAATACAACAGAAAAAGCATATACGTATAGTATAGTATGGTACAAAGAAAAGCCGTTTATTTGTATGACATTCGTAGCCGATTGGAATTAGCGACGATTAAAGTTAAGATAACGAGCCTGATTATCGTTAGAACATCCCCGTAGCTGAACATATCGACTTCAGATACTAGGAGACTTACGGCTAAGAAGAGTATAATCAAATTACTCCCAATAAATGCAGCGAATATTCCAAAATCCCTCCACCGATGGCTAAAATTATACCCAAGGGGTTCATAAAATTGGTCCCCGATTTTGTAAGCACAGTACTGGCAAAGTTCCGTCGCATTATTAGCAAGATATCCGGGTGCCCCGTTGGAGAAAAATTGTTTCATGTACGACCCGCAATCTTGTCCTTCTGGAGCGGTGAAAGAGTTGTATTCCATATCCGTGCAGTGTACAGGGAGATCGTGAAGTTCAGTAACAATCATGCCGCCAATTAGACGAGTGAATGGATTAAGTTGATACAGCCAGGCACGCCAGAACCCAGGAATCTGCGGTTTCGGAATCGTGACGCCGCAGAAGAGCGCGAAGATGATGATGACGAAGGGGTTGCAAAGGGAGGAGATAAACGGACTGGGCGTGCAGGCAGCGATCATCTGACCTAGAGTTACGGAGAAGATTTCGGTAATGAGGATGATGAAGAATTGGTATCCAGCGCGCGAACTCGCGGGATTGAGGCCAGGGATGTAGTATAGTGGGAGGAAGAAGAAAACAGCACAGAGAATGCTATACGGCATTTCGGCGACAACCATAGAGAGCGCGAAGGGGAAGGTTTTATAGGCTTTGGACATTTGCTCCCGGTACGAGATCATACGGGCGATGGCATACTTAGGTTCGACTTGCGCGAGAATGAGGGCTGGGAGAACGGTGACTTGGAAGATGATGAAGACGCGGTATTGGAGCGAGGAGCGCGAGTCGTCGAGTTGGAGGTACATCAACCCTGTCAGCAAAGCGATGATGACGTGGTTGAAGAGACGTGTGAAGCCATAGTTGGGGGTGCGCCAGAAGGACAGGTTCATGCGTTTGTTGACAAGCTTGACTTGGTGCCACAAGGGTGTGGCGTATTCTTTCTGTTCGACGGGCTCTGCGGATCCGACTTCAGCTATTCGAGTTTCTTTGATGTGAGCGATCTCTCGCTTTACTTGCGCAAATTCCTCAGAGTCCGACCAAACATCTCCCCAGTCGCGCCTTCCGATTCGAGGAGCTTGGCCGGCCCCTATGGCATCGAGCATCCATTCTGCAGGGTTGGCCTTGGGGGGACAGTCTGCGCCATGACGGTGGAAATAGTCAAGGAGAACATGTGCATCCTTTCCAATGTCGCCGAAGTACACGCACTGGCCACCTCGTTGGAGAAGAAGCAGGCGGTCAAAGTTCTCAAACAGTGCCGAGTTAGGTTGATGGATGGTGCACAGAATCGCTTGCCCAGCGGCAGCGAGCTTCCGGAGGAAACGGACGATGTTGAACGCGCTCTGAGAGTCGAGGCCAGAAGTAGGTTCATCTAAGAAGAGAAGGAGCTCGGGCTTTGCGGCGAGTTCAACACCAATGGTCACGCGTTTACGTTGCTCGACAGCTAAACCAGTCTCTGGCTCGCCAATAATGGCATCAGCCATGTCCTCCATTTCTAAAAGCGATATAACTTCTTCAACATATGCATACTTTTCCTCTTGGGGTGTCTCGTAGGGCTGACGCAGGTCTGCCGAGAATCGGAGGGCTTCGCGGACGGTTGTTGCAGGTTCGTGGACATCGAGCTGTTCGGCGTATGACGTGCCTCGCTGGAATGCAATGCCCGGTGACTTGCCATCAACGAGTTTGTCACCCGTGATTACGCCGATGTTCTTTCTCGCGGCGAGCACATCGAGAAGTGTAGTTTTCCCGGCACCGGAAGCCCCCATAAGTGCCGTAAGTTGCCCCGGCTTAACGAATCCGTATATGCTCTTCAGCAATCTCAGGTCACCTCCGGGGATAGGAACGTCGTAACAAAGATCTTCCCAAGTAAGCACCGCCTTAGAGGCGATTTTCAGGCCAGAGCTTGCGTCCGTATCCTCCTCCTTCCGGTTTCGTTTCTCCCTCTTCTCTTGAAGATTTGCGTTGAGTCGTTTGAGTTCATTGTCCTCCTTGACGAAGTAGGTGACGGTTCGACCTCCCGCGCCCCATTTGACGTATTCTCCGAGGAACGCATTAGCGAGAAGGAAGGCGACGATCAACACCACAATAATTCCCCAGTTTCGCCAGAGGTCTTTTGGATCGTATGAGAAGCTCAGCTTGATGTAGTCGGTTCCGGAAACAGCGGTGGACCCTGCATGACTACCAGGCAGTGTGCAGACCTGGTGGTTGATATCGCCATAATCGGAACCAGAGGGAATAAGCGAAGATCCTGCGCAGGTCAAATCGAGTCGACTGAATTCATTCATCATCAAGGCCGAGAAGCCCAGACCTAGAGCGTTGATGTAGAATATCCATCTTAGCCAGACCTGTTCTGACTGCCATTGAATGAGATATCCAGACGTCAACACAAAAAGCGTAATGATAGTGGCTGCGAGACGAATTGCTACGTCGAAGTCAGGACAGAGGCAACCTACAGTTCGAAAGAACAGCGTCATGGCCAAGTACCCAGTGATAATCATTAATACGAATGTGAAGAAAGCTCCAGCGTCTCGGACAAGGCCAGTCATAAAGTATACGATGATACTGAAAACCATGATTTGCACCGACGAAAAGAGAAGATCGACACCGATCTGAGCTATCCATAGAGCTGACGGGCGATGGAAAGTGAAGGCTCGGTGTTTGTTGACGATTGGACGGCCCAACATGGTAGATGCCAACTCGGAGAAGGCTTGGAATGCGTTGAATAAGAGTGCGATGAACAGGACGCCGCCACGTGTGAAAGCTCCATCCGAAGTTTTAGGAAGGTCTAACCAAACAGTACCAGTGACAATGGCGATAACGATACTAGTGATCCAGGACACGACTAACGAAAATTTATCCTGCCATTTAAGCAGGAATTGACGCTTGGCAATGGCCCACACTTGAAGATAGAACGGAATCGAATAAACGGACTTCTTAGAAGCATGGCGCTTGCTCTCTTTGACTGCGACTTCAAAATCGTCATAGATGTGCTTCTCCTCGGCCATGCTGGCGTAGTAGACGGTCATTTCTTCACCCAAACGTGCTGAGATTTCGGACTTGTTGAAGGCTTCAACGAGATCGTCTGGGGTACTAGGAACATCATTTTCACTTCGACCAGATTTATATTCTCGCTCAAAGGGGTCCGTGCAGCCTGTGAGGTAGTCTGGGGTAGTTTGGCGCGGTTTCTCCAGAAATCCAAGTCCTTCAAAGTAGGCTCTCGCTTCCTTTGCCGGTCCAAAGTAGACAGATCGCCCACTGTCAATCACAAGAACCTTATCAAAGACGTCGTAGATGTTCTCGGAGGCCTGATACAGAGACACGAAAGTGGTAGTTTTGTAAATGTTTGTCAACACCCTCAGAGATCGTGCGTAGTCGACAGCAGTAGATGCATCTAGGCCCCGAGTAGAATTATCCCAAGAGATTACAGATGCACCAGTCACCATTGTTTCTGCGATCGATACTCGTTTTCGCTCTCCGCCCGAGATACCACGAACGAAGGGGTTACCGACAATTGTATCCTTGGTGTGCTCGATATTAAACATTTTCAGCATTAAATCAATAACTTTTTCTTTGAAATCCTGGCGGGATAGCCCGGCTGGGCGTTTGCCAGGAACTTTTGTTTCTAATGCGAAGTCCAGAGTCTGGCCGACCGTAAGTGTGGGGTGGTGATTCTCGTCCTCTTCACAATACACGGCTTCTCCACGATATCGCTTCTCAAAGAATTTGCTGTCGAAAGGGCCATACAGCACTTCTCCATCGACCTTCGTGTATCCGTACCGCTGGTTACTGATAACTTTGAGGAACGTCGTGCATCCGGATCCAGGCTTTCCGAGTACAAGGACCATTTCACCTGGCTTCGCGACGCCCTTGAAGTTCTTGAGAATGTCGAATTCCCTGCCCTTCTTTCCGAGGCCGAAAAGGGTTTTGCATGTTTCGTAGACGTTGAAGAAAGAAACAAACGCGTCGGGGAATGTCTTGGATGGGAGTTAGCTCCCGTCCGAAAACCATGCGGGTGATTGCTGACTGCTTACCTTGACATAGTTCTTGACACCGCCAATCCCACTGACGGTTAGATTATCCCACACAACACCAATGTGCTTCGACTTGATCCCTGCTGCTTCTTCCTCATCCTTATTGCCCCGCAGTACGGTTTGCAAGTCAAATGCTTCCTCAGACGAGGCCTCGGACTCAGGCGCCGTCTTCTCTACATCGGCAATGGCGTGGTCTCTCCGACTCTGCCGACTTTGGACGCGACTGAGCCGGCGCGAGACCTGGCTGGTGCGTGATAGCTCTTTGCTGAGCTCTGCGAATTCGGCCTCGGCGCGCTCGACATTGACACCGCCACTTACGTTGCTAAAGCCTTTCTCGGGATAACGTTCCGAGTGCTCGCGGTCGTCGCTAGTAGTAGAAATACTGTCGACATCGCGATGCACATGAGACCGCTCAGCATGAATTGCTTCGTAGGTGGTGCCCTCAGTATTGTCGCGAATGGTAGAGTCGTTGAGAGGCATCTTCGTGGTCTCCATAGCACTGGAGGGCCGCCCGGCAAGGCTCACCTTGCACAAAATACCGACACCTTGGTAATGGGAACAGCAAGAAGCGAGGCGCTGTGAAACCTCTAGAGTACGAACAAGAGAGAGAGAGAGAGAGTAAATGCAAACAGAGAAGACGACACAGAGGAATTGGAGCCGCAGTAGTCGTTTAAATAAAATAGGTAGGGGCTCTGAGTTAACTCCGTCAAGAGCGGCGTACATCCGTAGATAACTCAATAGTGGGCCACCGATGCCGACACAGACTAGGCAAGAGAGTTTGGCGCACGGGACGGCGGATCGCACCCGAACAGACTAGTCTTCACAAGACTCGGTGAGCGTTTGGCTCTACGTCTCAGCGGACGTTTCGCGGCGGAAGGACGGAGGGTTGCTCTTTCAAATGCGATTCGACTCATAGTGAGTACAAGATATGCAGGTGCGTTCTGTCCGCCCTCCTCTTCCTCAAGCCTCCGAACTAGAGAGTTAGTTGCCTGGCGTTCCGTGTGACGATGCCATGGCGACATGCAGCGCCACCGAGTTCAGCGTGAAAGATCGGCGTTCTCTTCGTACTGACTGCTTTTTTAGTGACGCGTAGGAAATACTCCGGTCTGCAAGGCCTCCACACATCACAGCATGCTCCAACAAAGTCAACTCCAGGCCAGATTACCATAGAACCTTACGACTCGCCCAACTGTTCGTCTCACAGAACGGAAGCCTTAGTGTTCCGGATCCGATATCCAGCAGCGGTGCCGCCATGGCACGTGTACGGTAGGGCTGAGATTTGACCCACCCAATCCACTGTACGTTTGTCAGCGTACGAAAAAGAAGCGGTCATTTCTGTCGGAGAAAATTTGCACCCACTCTTCCTCGCCTTGGTGGAACTTCGAACTCCTTTTTCCTTGGATACTTCCTGTCTGGGTCGCCCTTTTCGCCAATGTCATGTCCGTTCTCCATGTCTTGGCATTATTCTCAAAGCGGTATCCCACGTCTGACTCCTCATTTGCACACCGTTCAGAGCAATATGCATTTTGGACTGCAAACCATGCAGGAAGAAAGGGCGTCGTCAACAGCCCTTCTCTGGACTCACCGCGCACACCGATTGGCCCCGCGCCTTGATTTCCGCCCAGCTGGATCTTCTTGGCTTGCCTTCAACCATGCTTTTGGGACCATGGGCGATTCCTCAACCCAACAGACTTCAAAAACATAAACGACAAAACTCTAGACATCCGCTTACGCCCGCCCTTTGCACTTATTATTCCCGCAGTTGTCCCTCTCACCGCGCTTGGCCTGCGCATCTTCGGCATTCGCAATGCCCCTCCTGCCGGTTTTCAGGGAAAACATCGGTACCCATATCCTGCTCTGATTTGCCACTTCGTACTGCCGTTCCTAGTGCGAAGCACGCACTCGGTGTCTACGGCATGCGACCTAAACGGTCACTTACAGTTATCCCAAAATTGCTATTATGAGCCACACTCCTTACGTCAACTCATTCATCGTGCAACTCTCCAACCCTCAATATAGAGATCTCCTGCTGCGCGACCCTCATAAACACCATTTGACTCACCACCATTTCTTCTCAGCCTCAACCCTTCATGCACCGTAATATCACTTCTTGCGCTGCCCAGGAACCACTTTCTAGAATCGTCCAAGAACACTAAAGCTATCTGCAGCGGGCCTTGAATCTCTCCAATAGCGTGAACCGAAGTCTCGCGATCGGAATTTTTCGACGTCTTGGCAGGCAGACGCGGCAGACAACCCCAGCTCAACGTTACTAATCCCAGGGTCGAAACTGCAGCCCCCAGGCTGCAACAGCCTTGCGTCGCCTGCTTCGCAAGGCAAAGATGGGTGACGCGCTATCATGTGGCATGGTGTACATGTCGAAAGTCATGTGTGCGTGCGTATATTATTAGACGTGTTCACGGGCTGGTTGGCCGCATAAGGCAGACTTCAACTACTCTTCACAGCATCATCGCACAGCAAGCGCATTTCACGATCCTCGCCACATCGAAGTCTTGGGCTTGGTTGCTTGGTTGCTGCTCCTTCTCTCCTATACGAAAGACATCTGTAAAGACGTATTAATTCATTTATTCGATTGTCGCTCCTTCCTTTCCTTCATTCAAGGTCGTCCTTCCTTAATCCTTTGATATCCCCCACTCGAAACAAACCTAAACCTCCAAAATCCAAGCTGTATCTCTCTTTCCACTCTCGAATCCGCAAAATGTCCGGAATCTTCATTCCTCCCATCCGCCTCCAGCCCTTCCAAATTATCCACGTACCCTCACCAGACGCAACCACAAAACACCCATTTTTCCAATCGCAGACATCGCCATCCTCACCAGCGCCGAGTTCTAGTTCCGCATATTCGGGGCAGACATCTCCTCCGAGCCCACAGAATAGAGGATAGCGGATACAACCAACTCAACAAGGGGGGGCTGGGGGGCAAAGTTTGGGTCGCGCGAAACGAGAAGGGAGGACAGACCGGTGTCCTGGAATCTCGCAAGGCATTTACGCTCAGGTCTGCCTTACCATGGATATGGCTTGATTTGATGGGGTCGCCTGGCTAGATGAGGGATTTGCAATGTGGAGGGGAGATTGGACTGGACTGGATGCACTGCCACCGCCTTCGGTGAACGCGAGAGTTCATGGCTTTCAGATCATATTCATATTTACATTCACGTTCGTTCACGAGGATTTTCCGATATCGTATACTGAAAGATTTTCACAAAATCATAATGAAGTTGGCATGGATATACAGGTATACTGAGATGACATGGGTCATGAGATAATGTTTTAATGCGAGACACGAGGAGGGACTGGAATTGGAGTTTGGTCGCAAGATACCACACCATTGATAGATATACCTTCGTTTGTGTCTCTTTCTGCATCGCATTTCTATAGCAGTTATAATGTAATTGATCGCCCCCATCATCAATCAAATGCACTTACTAGTCCCTCACTCAACCACGATACAATTCGCCCCACAGCAATCTATTCCCTATTCCTCGCACCCATAAGCCACGCTGCATAAAATATTGCAATCATCCAACATTACCAAACCGGGCCCATCTAATATCAGGTCAGTTTGCCTTCCACACACACAATCACCTGATCCACATCACCCGCACCTGAAGCCTTCCCCAGTCCTGTCTCTACGCTACCCATCCCTCACAGCCTCAAAGAAACCCCTGTGCTTGCTTCGATTCCACATACTGTACTAAAACTCAATACCCCTTGCAAAGGCCCTAGCCGAGCTCTCCAACCGCAGTAATTCATCCATCCGCTATTGCCTCTTGCCCCCTGCCTCGAACACCTAGCCTGTATGTACAACACATACCTATCTTCTCTGTCCTGTCTGGACTAGACTAGACTGAACTGAACAGCCTCCACGCTCAACGCGCGCAGCATGGCTAAGCCCACTGCAGCATCCTCGGCTGTTGTAGGATTATGATTCTGCTTCACGGACGCAGTCACGCAGAAGAACCCAAGGGCGGCACGGCATACTACTAATTTAGCTAGCTGCTTCGCCCTGCTCAGGTGAATAACCGTGATATGCGAGTCGAGTCGAGTAGAGGAATGGAGTCTGCCTTAATCGTTCTCGACGCCAACATGCCCTCAGCCCCTGTCTCGTCTCGCAGATCTTGCACACTAGTCAGCAGGGATTGTTTCTCTCTTTCGCAGCGGGTATGCCCTCATATCCCGAGCCAGGTGGATGCAATACTGACTCCCTCTTCCACACACGCTAGAAGGCATACAGACTTGTCTATCAGTCAAGCAGATACACCGAGTCCATCGGGGGCACCACCTATTACCTGTTACCCGTTGCACTCGACACACATCAACTCAAATGGCATCGCACTCACCAAAATTGTCCCAACCGTAGTCCCCGGCCGCCTCCTCGACCACCAAAACGAGACAATACCAAGCTCCTCCCCTCCCCAACCCTCCCGCCCGTCATACGTAGATATCTATCTATCCATCCAGCTAGCCCTCTTCTCCACGGTCTAACTAACCCCGTTTCCTCCACATCGTACGAATCCTTCCTTCCTAGAAATCCACATCCACCACCGAAACTCTTGCCCGACCATTCCTTCAATCCATCCATCCACCACGCAGTAGACTTGCTAACCACGCGAATATCACGCAGTTCTATAACAACACATATTAGCCAGCGAGGCAAGCACGAAATGCGAGGAACCGAAAGAATACGGACGTCCGACCCAGCCCAAAACCTTTTGCATTTCATTCAATTAATTCCACCCCCTCCCATCCATACCGTCCATACATGTAAATTTCGACATAGGAAAGGAACCGATTGCAGCCTCCATATCATATAGAACTGAACCTGGACACGTTTCTAGATACTAGGAACACCGATCTTGATCCTGATCCAAGGGACCAATTGTGACAGACCTGACTAAGAAGAGACAAGATAGCGGAGGGAAAGAAAAGGACAGAGCCAGGGACAGGGACAAGAATAAGGGAAGGAAGGACGGGATCCACGATAACGCCTTGCTTACACTGAATCAGAACAGAAAAAAGCTGGTTCGTTCCACTGGTCTGGAAAACAGAAAGAAATGTGAAAAGAGAAGAGATACGGGGTGTCGAATCGCGGTTGCACCACCGGCTACCTTATTTTTCCGGGGGTATTTCCCTTCAATGCTCCCAACGCTCCTGACCTTCTACACTTTTATTGCCGTCCCACATCCTTCCCCTCTCCCGCCTGTAGGCCCAACAATAAACTCTTCTCCTCCCCCTCCATTTCTCCCCTGTTCCCCCTTCCCATCCTCCCCAGCCACCCCTCCGCACTCCTCACCGTTCCATCCACTACCGCCGTAATTTGGCCCATCATATCCAGCCCCTCCTTCGCAAACGCCAACATCCTCTGCGCCCCCCTAACCTCCCCTTCCCCCTCGCCCGCTGTCGTCCTTGTTGCCAACTGCCATCTCTGCGGCACAGATAACAGCTGGGTTCGCACAACCTGCGATGCGTTTTGCGGGAGCGCACCACCCGTGTACCGGGACACGGATTGCACGACATTTTGCAGGGTGTTCCAGATATCCGAGGATAGGGATTTCATGCGTGATGCGATGGCGCGGACACGGGCCTCTTTTTCGCTTTCCAGGTCAAGGCCCTGAGAGTGCGATATGATGTCGATTTCCATTTCCATTTTCGAAGGATCAGACGACGAGGATGAAGCTGGGTCTGGGCCTGAATGCTGGCGATTGCGGAGTGCGGATTCGTATTCCTCGAGGACGAGTTTGAGCGCGTGCATGACGTTGTCGATGTGCTTGGTTGCCGAACGCAGCAAACTTAGACAGAGTTTCAGGCTCTTGAGGGAGGCGTCTGAGAGCGCGACGCCGAGACCTGAAGTCGTCATGATGAGTTGCGTTGACCAATTCACCCTTCGGTCTTGCGAGCTTTCGGGTCGAGACCCTGTTTCTTTGCCAGCTGCCGGATCGACGACGACAACGGCGCTTTCTTCGTAGTTCGGGGAGCGCTGGTCGTCATACGCGGGAAGAGATTCAGCGTACGAGGATTGAGAACCACCTCGTGTCCGGGACGACGCAATGGAGTCTTCGATGTCCATGGCATCTACGCTATCCCCAGATGTCATGACCCGCCGTCTCTTGTGTGCGGCGTCGGCGTCACCCTGCTCCAGGTCGCTCGGCCGCCTGTGCACTTCCCCGAGATATCTTCTTAGATTCTTCTCCACACCCGTCCTCCGGCCCACGGACGAGACGGTGTTGACGACGGGGGAGCCGATGTTTCGCTCGATGAGCTCGGCGCCATATTTCACGAAGCGGGGCGAGTAGCCTTTCGTGGCATTGTACGCAGATATAGAGCCATTGATGGTGCCGCCGAGCCAGGGGTGGTTGGTTGTTATGAGGGAGAGGAGGGGCTCGGGCTCGGCAGGGGGCTCGCGGGGGAGCGTGAGGGAGCGCGCTGTAGGGGAGCGCGCAAAGTCTGGACATATTAGAGCATGGATCGATGCAAGAAGTAGAAAGAAGGTACAGTACCGAGATTCCCCAGCCCCGACAATGCCTCCGCCGCCAACCTCACATCTGGATCTTCGACGCTTGCGGTGTCCATCGGACTTCCGACGTCCATGTCCGTGCTACTGCGGGGCAGACCCTCAGGCACCTTGGGAAAAGTCGCGCTGCTCAAGGGTGGCAGGCTCCCCCATTGCAGCGCCTCTGCATTGCTCTTTGGACCGAGTTCAATTGCCGGGAGGTGCGAGGGGTGTGGTCGAGCTGCGCCGGCATCGGGGAGGTCGAGCGATCTTATGCCCGGGAGGTGTCGGTCATTGCTCTGGGGAGGCAGCAGGCTGTGAGTCGGGACTGAGGGCAACCGCAGTGACTCGGGGTCGTGCTGAGTGTAGGCCGGCGGTGGCGGGCGTTCTTGTTCTTGTTGCATACTCATGGTGGAGCACTGCAGTGATCGGGTGACGTCGTGGGAGGGTTGGCGGCTCCGCGATGCGATGCACGCCTGGTCAGCAGACTCGAGGCCGAATTGGCGGTGCGACGGCGGTTGTCCTGACGTCTGCAGGCCCTCACTCTGCGGTAGACATTGGGGCCATGTCGTGGAGGTTGGATGCAGCGAGAGGAATCGTAGGGAAATTTGGTGCTTCGTGCTGGGTAAGACGGGCGCTTGAGTGCTGGGGGGGCCGCTGTTAATTTGTTCGTCGACCTTCACATGGCAGCCCCCAAGTCTCAGCATGTGACGCCCGCTAGGCCTGACATCCCGAACGCCACACGCGCCAAGCGTCCTTGCGTGGGCAGAGGGAGTCCCAGCCTGTCCGATAAGCCGTGCAATTTACCTGCGACATGCCAAAAGACGTATCTGAACGCTGCTTCTAACCTTTGTACGTTGCGCAAACGCTCTCTTTTCACCGTGAGAGCTGTGGGCTCGTGAAAGTGAAGCATCTGTCGATTAGCGCATCTCGCTGCCGATCCTCCATCATCGCAACTTGCCTATCATTAACTACACGTGCCTTGGGGGCCGTCGCGGTCAGTTATTATTAATGCTCGCCCTCTGCCGCCCTCTGCCATATCAACAAGACACATGCTTCTGCCTCAAGTTGATGCTGGCTGCTCCCGTTGCCTAGACACGCAATTGCAGATATCAGTCCACACATACATCTTCACAAGCGTCCGAGGCAGCCTCAGGCAGCTTCAGGCAGCCCGTGGAACCAACGTGCCTCTTCGGTCGGAATCCTATTTCCTCAACCACAGTTCTGCGTCCCACCTTTGCCGTGCACGTTGTTCCGCTCTCTTCTGACATCGAGCCCTCAATTAGCATCTGACCTCCATCGTCGAGAGCAACAGTTGCACAATTAAGTATAGAGAGCCTCCCGTGCTCATTGCATTTGGCTGTGGCTTGGAAGCGTCGCTCGGACGTTGAAAGAACACTGCGAACTCGATCAGCGTGTGCTGGCCACGGTAGCCTCACCTAAGGTGGAAATGTCAGTCGTCTTCCGCGTGGTTGCTTTCTTACTGATCTGCGAGTCCTGCGGCACCCATCGGCCACCCTCCGATGCCGGCCGTCCGCCTTATCGCCACCGTCACATGTCAGCCTCACAATTCAAGAGAAATTAAGAATATCATAACTAGTATACACAGAAGGGTATCACCACTAAACTTATCGCTGAACATTCCAGACCTCTCCCATCCCCTTATCCAGGATCCTTCTAACGAAGAAACTCCAGTATACAAGTGGCCAATCCATAATTGTAGTAGCCACTTCGCACATACTTAATTATCTCATTTGAATGAGAGCATTTATTTGGTTTAGAATCGGGGTGGTGCAAATTTGGTGATATTCTTCAACAAATCCACCTCTGTTTCTACACATGCTTCCACGAAGCTAGATATTCCAGGTATCCCATACAATTCCTCTATTGTCCGGGGTGGATTAGACACAATCAGAAGAATAGTCGCCTCTGATACAATTGGATTTAGAGGCGGCGACTTGAGCTTTGAGGCCACACGCTTGCTAAAGGCGCGTAGCTTGCTTTGGAATAATTTCGACCTTGGGGTCGGCGGCTCCTGTAGTGTTGGTGCTGTGAGAGGGTTCCTCTTGTGACACGGGCTGGGGGATCGCCGTTTCAGTGTCGGTGATGTTTCTGAGAGGGGACTCGGAGATCGTTTGCGTTTTAGTTGTGACAGTTTTTCGACTGGCGTGAAAAATTCAGTAGAGCAATCATCACTGTCATCGCCTTCATTGCCCTCTTGCGCGTCAAGCCTCGTTCCTGATAGTTGAAACGATAAGCCCGTGTGCAGCTGTGGCGTGCGAACCAGGTGAGAGCCAAGTGCCGGGGTTGAGAGGGAAGAATCACCGTTGTCAGCTGTAGTCATAATCGGCCTTCGTCTTTGACTTGTTTCGGGGGTCTTTGGCTCTTGAGGACAGTTTTCCATTCGCTTGGGTGGCCCAATCCCCCTCGCGCCGAGAAACTGTGTGATGACATCAAGCCACTCTGCTCCATACTTCTCCTGCTTCATCTTTCCAATACCTTTGATTTCAAGCAAGCCGTCGTTATCAGTCGGTCGCTGTCGTGCGAGATCTTCGAGGACAGTGTTGTGGGCAACCATATATGCCGACACTCTCTCGGATCTGGAAAGGCCCATCCGACGAGCAGCCAATTGCACGTATAGCTCTCTAGAAATCGCATCTAGTGGCTCTTTGGGAATATTTTCCTTCGGTTTCTTGGGTTCCTTGGGTTGCTTTGGCTTTCGTTTCTTTTCCTTTGCTTCCTCTGCAATTGTCTCGCCCTCAACCGGCTCATCTTCTTCATTCGCCACTGGTTCCTCTTTGACTCGGAAAAACTCGATAGGCGTTGTAATATCCCCCCCTTCTGTTGCAGGCTCAAGATGTACAAACTTAATGGAGGATAAGTTCATTGAAGAATACTTGTCTGCATGTATGGGTAAGGGTGGAGCAGGGTCCATCCCCATTCTTTTTGCGTTCATGCAGTGGAAAAGCATAAAGCAAGCATAGGCATCGCCTGCGGCATAGGTGATCTGCTGCTGGTTCAGGGTGTAGCTCCAATTGCTCGTTCTCACCTTCCCCTTCCACAAGGGTAGACCGAGATGATCTTCCACTTGCTGTGCAAGGTTGACAAGCCTCCTCGTAATGAGCTCAGGCTTTTCTGATCCAAAAGCAACTAAGCGATAAAGGTGACTGAGCTCGAAAGCACCTTGCGGCTTCAGGTCGAAGAACTTGACCAGTCGAGCGAAGTCGGCATTCAAAACAGAGACTCCCGTCTTGGTAATGTTCGGACTTTCGAGAATCTTCTTCAACGAAGGTGCGATGAGGTCGTCACACGTTGTCCCAACATGGGCTCCGATGTGAAACAGAGCAACCTTGTCTTCGCATGCGATTTGTATAAGCCCAATCCTGTCCTGCAGTCGAGTATGCTTGTCGGACTCCCAAGGCCATTCCATGTCGAATCCTAGGATTGGCTCGTCGAGGAATTGCTTTGCAATGGCCTCAGATTGCCATTTTGTCTTGCTGTACAGTATCTTAACGGCCTGGTCTTCAGGGCCTCGGTAGAGCTTATGACTCCACCATAACTTTGGTGGCTCACCACCGAGTCCTTGGTCAGGTACGACTTGTGGTAAATGAATTCGATATCGGAGGGGCCATTTCACGGTCTCTTCGGTCGGAGTTTCAACCGCATCCTCAGTGAGGGGCGTCTCTAGAGTAGTCATCAGTGCTCCTTTGGTCGAACGTTCGGCAATGAGATTTCCTAATAACAAATGTACCAACAACCGCCAACTTTGCATATAGGGAAGGATGGGAGTAAGGCTGAGGACTTATTGCCGTGTTGCCTTCGGAAGGGGCGGGGAAGATTGGTAGCCGCCGGCCCCCACACGGATCAGGCGGTGTGGCACGTTATCACGTGAGCATGCTTGTTTAATCTTCTGGTCACCAAAGAGGAAGACAAGCATCTCTCCTTCTCCATCTTTATTCCAAACTTCTCTCCAGTCTCACCAAGGTCCATTATTTGCCTTTCAAATAGCGCATTCTCCGCCTGCGACAGAATAATCCGGAACCTCTATGAAACATCGAGATGAGGATCGATGCAGGTTGTGCGATCCGGTGGAGCACCGTCAACTGTACAACAGCTAGATAGGATATCCTAAGTAATTCACAAATGTCTTTCAATCTTCCTTTCCCCCCATCGAAGTCGCCTCCCGAGCCTCTTCGATTCTTCTCATCTTACTCTCCTACTCTCCGTTCTATGCCGCGATCGAACGAGGTGTTACGATAGAAGATGTACGCATCCACCGCGTCGAATAGCGGCCCCCCTATTACCAAGCCGTGAAGACCCTCCCGTGGTCTGCCCAGAGTTGTACTTTCTCGTGGGATTCTCCAAGTCCGGACGACAAGCCTCGAAGACGTGTCCTCCGAAGCGCACATCGTTTGAGGATGGAAAGCTTTCACAGCTTAGCGAACTGCTGCCGGGATATTGGCCAGACCCTATTCAGTCCACCGAGTGAGCGTGGGGAAAGGCCGTATTTCGCCTTGCGGGTCAGTCGAAACAATGTTTCCTAAAATCCCTCAGAAGGGTTGGCACCATGTCACACCTCAAAGCACACGCAGATGTCTCAGCCTCATCCGTACCCCACACGTTGCCGTCATCCCAAGTTTGACCCTAAGCATTCCTGAGCCTGGAGGTTTCCAAGATGGAGCCAAGATGAAAGCCAAGCGTGCGGAAGCTACCTCCTGTGCAGCGCCCTTGCTGAATAACTAAGTACAGTCGAGAATCCAATATTAACTTCCTTGTTCAATTTCTCAATGTTTCGCTGTCCGCCTGTCATGTTTTCATTTAGTGATTTCTACGTCATCCTTCCAACTTTCCCATCTCATTTCAACTCCCGTGCTTCATCTTCCTTCAGCCGAACCCTCCGGGTTCACACACCACCGATATTACTTCGCACTCAATCTCCTCCATCTCCCCAAGACATATTCTGCCAAAATCCGAATCTCACCACCACTCTCTGATTCCGGTGGCGGCTTTATTAAAAACCACGCTCGCCAAGCCCCTGCAACATTCCTCTCGCGCACTTCCCGTTTCAGAACCCAGCATCTAACCCTAACCATGACGGAGAATTTTCTATGCGCCTCGCATGCCATGCAGTGTAACAAGATATGCTGCGGGAATGGCCGCACGCCATCTCTTCTGTTTCGAGCGACGCGTATACATCTATTCCTCGCATTTAAACTGCCCCAGAGGAAGCAGCCTCAACCTGACTTACATCTTCATACATACATAATTTTGCGGGGAAATACTTACGCTACTCTTTCTCTTGCTGACTCGCATTTGGAACTGGAATCCAGAGTAGAGATTGTACAATTATTTGCTGAAAAATGTTGTTCACGACTGCTTTCCTCGTTGCGGCGACCATGGTTGGTGTTTCGCAGGCGCAAACACCAACAGGCTTTACGCCTTCCGTCAAAACTAAGTTAGATGTGTTGTTTAATTCGACGGCGGTGAATACTCCTGGGCAGCAGTTGACGAAAGCTGGTACGTCTCGTTATATCCTCATCACAGCACATACGGTCGTATATCTAACCTCAACGTAGCAACGGCATCCCAGCCCCAAATCGCAATCACAAATGCAAGCAGCTCCGAAACCTTCATGTTCGTCATGTTAGATCTCGACGTGTACGTCTTTCTCCTCCCTCCCTCGTTCCTCTCATCCTCCTCTCATTCTCTCTCTAACAAAATCCCAGGCCTGGACAAGGAGGCAACGCAACCCGCCGCACACTCCTCCACGCCATGGTCACTAACTTCAAAGCAACCTCGCAACGAGTGCTCGGCTCTAGCTCCACTGCAACCTCCTCGACTCTCTTACTCTCCTCCCAAAAAGGGCCCGCCAGCTATCTAGGCCCCTCACCGCCTGCCACCGACACCAAAGCACACCGTTACGTTGAACTGCTATTCCAACAGCCCGCAAACCTCAACGTGCAGGCCTCGGACTTCGCAAACACCCAGGCTAGAATCGGCTTTGATATCAACGCATTTATGAAGACTAATGGGATTAAAGCCCCACTGGCTGGGAATTTCTTCACCGTGGATGGCAGGGCAAATGGGGCGGCGACGGGCTCTGGGACGGCGACGGGAAGTGGTGGGATTGCGAAGAACACCTTGCAGCCGTTTACGGGTGCATCCGGGAGGGTGGGTGCATCGCTGGGATTGGCAGTAATATTTGGAGGATTGGCGTTGCTGGGGGTTTAGGGTTTGGATGGATGAGGGAATAGTGGAGAGCGCGAGGCACAGATTGTCAAGGCTGGTTTCCTTTGATGGTGCGCGATTAAGGACGCTTATATGATACCAGTTCATCTGCTATAATTGCATGCTTGAGATGGACAAATGCCACTGCTCCAATGGGAGTAGCGTATGCGTTGGAGGCAGTCTGACGACAACCTTATCATTCACAGGTGCGCAAAGAAACGGCATATGTGAGATTACATACAGTTAGTTATCTAGAATCTATATCATGGTTTACGGTCGATAGTCATACCTTTTAACTTTCATTTCCTGACCTCGCAAGATGCTCCACATCCTACATGTCGGGACCTCGCATTTCAATCTATGGTCATCCATTATCCACCCCCCAACCGTTAGCCCAAGCCCCCAATTACCGTACCCATAACCGTTACCCAAACACCAACCCATCAAGCCCACATTGCCCTAAACTTTGTATCAAACTCCTCACGCAACATCTTGAACGCCTTCAATACATTCAATAATCCAGCCCCCTCCTCCCAAGCCGGCTTATCCTGCAGCTCCACTGCCTTAAGCTTCCTCTCCGTCTCCTTCGCCGCCAACTCCTCTTCAATTTCCTCTTCCGCATCATCATCCCAAGAATCTGCAACCTTCTTACTCTTTTTCACGTTCCGAATAGCAATATCCTGTTTGACTGGACCACCCTTTCCAGGCACGGAGGTCGTAGAAGCGGTCTCGTAACCTGAGTCATCAGGCACAAATTTGTCTTCTTGGCGCTCCTCTTCTTCGTCACCTTCACCGCGAACCTCCGTAAAGTCGAGATCAGACTCCGGGGTGAGCTTCATAAAGTTCGAGAGACTAGTCACAATGGTTGCAAGAACCATGCTAAAGTCGTTCAGGACAAACCAGACATCACCGCGACGGATACGGTTCGCCTTAGCGAGGGCGGTAGTATCTCCATGCATGAAGAAGTCATACAAATAGGCGTTGAGAGGCATCTCGGACTCCTCGGGATACAATCCTACATATGGAACGACGGCTTCTTCGAGGAATACACCGGACCGAGAAGTCTGGCAAAGGTCATGGATGGACTCGAAATTATCGTCATGTCCAGAGAGAGCCACGAATGAAGAGCGGACCTTTGTTGGCGGGCAGCGCGGCAGAGACAGCGCACACTCAGGGATTGCATCGCCCCCAATCTTCATTTGAGTGAGTGGTAAAGCATCATCTGGGTCTGTGACATGCTGCTCAACGAAAGTCTGCACGTAAGCCGTGAAGATACTCAACGTAGAACCATTGTGCTCGCGAAGGATCTTCGCTGCTTTCTTCGGGATTGGTGGTAAGAAGACGACGGATGGACTCTTTTTCACGACCTCTTCCACAAATTCTTCATCGGCTTGCCTGCAATGCTGACGGCCGAATAGGTGAGCCATTGTAAGCATGAGTTTACGAAGGACGCTCTCCGTCTTCTTATCGACCTTTGCGCATAGATTGTGGAAGAAACCATCCTTGAGCAAGGCGTGGAATGCGAAAGATGAATTTTCTGTAAAGTATAGATGGCTGACGCAGCCAGCAAAGTTCAGCGGGGCACCACTGGAGTCTAGGAGATACTGGCGTCGCAGGTACTCGATGGAGAACCGAAGATGATGAAGCACGGTCATCTTTGATTCCTCGCCGCCAAGGTACAGTCGTGGCTGGGACAAGAGCGCGTTGATGGAGCGGACAGCGAAAGGTGAGTTCTTCGACTCATTGAGAAGTGTAAACAGACGCAAGACAAGCGTGGTAGTGATCGGAAAGTGGCCGTTGAGGTCAGGTAAACGAGAGCTGATGAGTCGATGCACCTTGCTTATAGACACCCCATGGAATACAACATTTCCAAGCATGTCGAAGCCACGACGACCTGCACGACCAGCTGCCTGGCGGTAGTTTAGAGCTGTCAGGAACACCGAATCGCCAGAGAAGACCACTGTCTTACAAGGCATGTTGATACCCAAAGCGAGTGTCCCAGTTGCAACCACCACACGTAGAAAGCCTTTGCGAAACAGCATCTCGACCACCTGACGATATTTACGATTCATACCAGCATGGTGGACACCGACACCCCTCCGTAAGGCATCCAGCAACCAGCCCGGGACCTCACGCCGAATGAGTTCTTTAAAATATCGGGCTAGCTCCTCTTGGGTCATCTTCTTTGAATCGGCGAAATGGAAGCCGTCGACCGGATTCTCCGGATTGAACGAAACCCAAGGACTGGTTTCAGTGCTCGCAGTGTCTCGCATGAGATCAGCCTTAGATAAGGCTTCGTCGTCTCCACCGGCCCCTTTTTTCTTGGATACTTTTGGTGGTCCCCGTTTTCCAGCCTTAGCCACAGCCCTCTTCCATGCCTCCCAGGCCTCTAGCTTTGCTTTCCATTTCGGGCTTGACTCTTTCCATGCCGTCTCAGCTACCGCCAATTGGTTCACCAGGGCTCGGCAAATATCCTCACAGAGGCTTCGGTCATAGTTGAAAATAATACCCGGTAGTGCATCTTGCCTATGAAGTTCAACCAGCAATGGAAGCGTTGTTTCTACATTCACCCCGGATTCTCTGTCGGGGTCGCCATTCTCAATATCATCCCCCTGAGGTTCTTGCCTCTTCCTAGACTCAAGTGTCTGAAGGGGTCCACCGAGATCCTGAATGACTTTGTCAAAAGGCGAATCCTTATTAGCGAGCCATTCCCGTAACAGCGTCTTAAGGGAAGCCTCCCATTTGATAATATCGATTTTCCTGATGACACTCGGAAGCGCATTTGCTGGATCCAGGGACTTATCTACCTTAAATTCTGGGGTCTGATGCCTCGACATACTCTCCCATAACATTTGACAGTCGCGAGCCTCGAAGCTAAGATCATCTGGCATACCACGTGCTCGATTCACAAGACTTGCGACTGGGTGAATGAAGGTGAAGCCGCGAGATCCGTCCAATCCAAGACGAGCGAAGGCTCGAGAATCTGATAAGCCCTCGAAAGTAAACGGAGTGGGCGGGTTATATATGAACTTTCGGAGATCAGAATACCGATGAGGGTGTTGGACCATGACCAGCTCGTTTCCAATAGCTTTCTGTGTAGAAATCAGCCATGCGTTGAATTCCTGCGGATTCCCAATCGTGGCGGAAAGGGCGATAATCGGACATGGGGCTAAAAGCAGGAGCTGCTCCCAGATGAGACCGTCGTCGGCTTGGCCAATGCAGTGTACCTCATCGAAGATTATCCACTTCACTCGCTTGGACCATGCGTTGGCGTTACTCGGGGCAAGAAGCATAATCTGGAGGATATGCGGAACTGTTACTAGTATCTGACAGCCGGTCGGATTATTGATACGCATGTCTCGAGTGTGTATACCCCATACTGATTTTCCACCGTACTTGTACTTCTTCGAAAAGCGTGCTTGAACTTCAGCGGCGATTTGATTGACCAAGGCCTTCGTGGGGGCAACGTAAACAAGGATATCATCGTCATTGGACTTTAAGACCTGCTTCATAGCGTAGAAGGAGATGAACGTCTTTCCGGCCGAGGTTGGTGCAATGACTAGTAAACTGCGCTTAGCGTCAATTTCGTCAAGAACTTTCCGTTGCCATCCATCAGGTTCAAACGGAACTCGGTGATCAGGTGCTGAGTCCATGCTTCGTTCGAAGTATGGTCCACAATGCAACAATTGGAACTGTTTTGCTGACAGGGGAATGGAGAGATTAGTTACGGCAGAATTCCGTAGGGCGAAATTGAAAGCCAATGCCCGATCTCCACTTGGCACCGGAACCTCCAATTGAGGTAGCTTGAGGGCTTTTATGGTGGCCGTTAGGTTGTTGCAAATCGTTTTTGAGACTGCGCCGCGAACTTTTGAGAAAGAGCTGATCGTATCGAAGATAAGAGCCGCTAATGGAAGTCCCTGTTCCTTGGTGTCGTCTCCGCAATGCATAATCCACATGCCAAGGAGGACATGGAGCATATAAAGCCTGACTTCCGCTTCGAGGAGTCCAAGTTTAAAATCTGTATTCAAAGTTCCCAAATGCTGTTTCGCTCTTCGATATCTTACAGCTGGGAGAGGCTCGCTTTCGAAAGCCGCACAAGTAGTCTGCCATCCTTGGAACACCTTCTCTGAACTGGCTTCATCTTTGCTTTTTTTAGATGCGGCAATTCCCTCTATCATCGCTTGTTTCACTTTCCCACTACCCTTTTTGTTGACCTTGGGAGCTCCCTTTGGCTTGGCATTCTCCAACCTCTTTTCGCTTGGCAGAGGAGGCGCCAATTTTGAGTTGGCACCAGACGTGATAGTCTCCGGATCGAGTACTTTACCAATGGCATTTGTAAGGCTTCCAGCGTAAGCCATCATTTCCGCCATGAACCATTGGTTTCGACGACGAGCGAAAAATTGCTGCTTCTGAGAGCGGGCCGCGTGTTCTTCTCTCCCTTTAGAATCAATAGGTCGATTGCTGTTGTGCCAGTGGGACACCTCACGGAATATCTGTGCGGAGGTCGCATCGGTGATCTCCTCAGATCTGTCCACGGCTAAATGAACCGGAGATAAATGTGTGTCGAAGACGCTATTTGCAAAGGGCAAAACCTTGTATCCCTTGGGGTTTACAATTGCGCTAGTGCCGGGTTCAGCACGATTCCCAGCTGCTGATTTCCTATTGGATGCAGCAGAAGCTAAATCAGTTCCGCACACGAGACCTACGGCGTCAATGAGCAATTTATATCGCATATTCCTGCCGCATCGATAGTCATGAACACAAGCAGCAAAGAGTCTGCCATCGACGAGGTCGGCGATGTCGCAATGAGCTGAAAATTTGGAAATATTGGACGACCATGACTGTGAGTCAATGATTGTGCGAGACAGCTCACTGAACCTGGCCAGAAAGGCCTCAGCATTATTAGGTAAATCTGTAGTCGTTATCCGTCTCTCGGAGATAGGAAGTTCAGATAATAGAGCTGTATGTCTTAGAAGTGCAGATCCATATTCGTGCATTACTCCATTCCGAACGGCAAACTTGGAGATGCACAGAATCGTGAGATATTCACGCTCACTAAGAGACTGCTTCCGGCTTGAGTTGATTCGCTCTAAAACATCTTGGTCGACGGGGATTTCGCTTTCGTTTGCAGAAGAACTTTCAAAGATATGCTGCGTCAACAATCAGTCAGGGTCTACCAAAAGTAGTTGTGGGGCCAGAACGGATGCAGTATCTTACGGGTTCAGTCCAACCACGTCGCTTGCTGCGGCGAATACTTTCTAGGACAGTGGTGATGACTTTCGTATCGCGCCATTCAAGGCCATTGACCAAAGCAGCGTTATACCCCCGCTCCATGAACCAGTGAATAAACAAACGGTATATTGTTTTCGTTTGCATCTCATGCCCCACAACATCATGGTATTCATCCTCTAATGCGTCGGGGGTCTTTGACGTGATGTTCTTCTTGGGTAGAGCTCTGGACGATGCGCCATCGTGGCACATGATGAAGTACAAATCCGTGGCTTCGAGGTACTCTGCAAACGCTTTTGAGCGTATGGAAGGGAATACATGCACCTCAATATCTGGGTACGCCGATTTGAGATTGACACTCAGGTGGCGGATGATCACCGCTCGAGCAAGAAGATACTTTTCCTGATTGCCATCCGATGCAGAGGGTGGCACACACAGCTCACGATGGTTTTCGAAGAAAGCAACGTGAAAATTGCAACGTCGTGATACAAGACCACGCAGGAAATTTTCAACTGCATAGGTGGCGTGCAGCAACTGGAAGCCGGGGTCGAAGTCGAGGTGCTTGTCGGAGAAGCAGTTGAGCAGAATAGAGTCGCCCTCAATCAAGAACAATTCATTACCGGCATAGTCGCCAACAATGTCAACACGACGAGAGTAAAGCTTCGAATACCACCCGAGAACCTGGTGGAACTTCGTCTCTATTGCTGAGGAGGATGTGTCGGAGTCGGAGTCGCTTCCGGCCATGATCGCGAGTTCAGCCAGCTTGTGCCTGGGAAGACGAATGGTAAGTGGGGGAAAAGAGCAATGCAGTGATCATCTGGGAAAAAGGCGCTTTATCTTTCACACCAGTAAACAAATCTATTGTCAAGGCAGCGGTTGCACTACACGAAGAGGTTGGAGGTGAGTTTGTTGTCACTGCAAAGGATGCGGCACTGTTGTCAGTTCGAAATTTCTAGTGTGGTGCGCGCTAGCGTAGATCTAGACTAGCTTTCCCCGCTGGAGAGCCGCTGTGGAGCCAGATACTACCCACGCTTACCGGAAATCCCCGATGCCGAAGCACTGGAACCACGAATTAAAACTTCGATTTGCTGCTGAGCTCAAGGGGGTAAATGAAAGGCAGCAAGGAGATGCCGCAAAATTGCAGCCTTTGCTTAACATCTAAACATACTCTTCCCCACTGATTGGATGAGGCCCATATCTCGCCTTCCCACAACCAAAGACCTGAGTCCCTCTAGAAATCCTCCCTGTCGGAATCTCAGCACGTCTGGCTCCCGCAATAGACTGGGAGCTCCGTGTATCCGTAATAGTCGAATGCCTTTCTGGCAAGCTGATAGAGCCAAGGAAGCGTAGTACTTCCCTCTTTGCTTATGGAGAGGCGGAATTTCCACGGAGAAGTAGGGTCCAGTGCGGCACTAACACCACCTAACTTATCCCGCAGCCCAGCTGGGTCTTCAATGAGTTGCATAAACATGCCCGTATCAGCGTGAAAATCGTTATGGCAGTGCAGTGCCTATAAAAATGTAAATGAATGTAGAACGGCTGGATGAGGCTATCTTACCCAGGCTCCAGGATTGTCCGCCTTGATAGCAACGACGACCGTGCTTCCTTTCTCTACCATGATGGTATCTCGACGGGACGGGAAGTCGCTGACAGAAATCTGAGAATATGCGTGCCCATACTGTTCGAAGGGCAATACTACCCAGCCCTTCACAGCATCAAGGGTAGTACCAACTGGGAGTTTCGCTCTGCAACACCCTGATCAGCAATTCGGTGCCCGAACAAATTGTCAGATAGAACATACATAATCTGGAACTCGTGGCCATGCATGTGAACTAAGGATTGTGTTAGAGCTGTTTATTGTGGTTAATGGATGCGCCTTACTTGGGTGATCCCCTCTAAGGGATCTGAACGCAAACCAATGTACTTCACCTGCTGTTGGCATGACGATGGTTTGTGCCGCCTGCGATGCATTGTAGCTGTAGTAAACTGGATCCTTAAGCTTCGTATCATCGATGGGGGACCAGAGCATGCGCAGCATAGTGAATAACCTTGGTAGATCTGTAGCGAGATTCACCACCTGCTTAGGAAGAGAGCTATCTTGCTTATCCGGAGCTTCAAACCTACAGCATCTAGATTAAACTCTGTGGGTTCCATCCTGGGATGAAGAGAACCAGACTCACCGGGTTTGAATCGATCCGACGCTCATGACGCCATAGCCTTGTTGATCATTTAAAGTAACTTCGTGAACATAAGTTGATGAGTAATCCTTGGGCTTCCATGCCGAAATCCCGGTGAAGGGTTGGAAAGCCAATTCATTGAAGTTCCACGCGTAGAGAGGGTTGAAATGACAATTATCCCTCGTGCCACATTGACACCAACCACTTTGGGTCGTACGACACTGCGTTGGATCCACACCAATACGATCCTGATCTGTAAAACTAAGCTTTGGTCGGTATCTGTAAAATGGATCCGCTTTAGCTCCGTCGTTCCACGACTTCATCCGATTCCCATATCCACTGATCTCACTGGAGTCTGGATCAGTGAAGGAATTGCCGTCAGTGATGGAGTTCACAAGCCAACCCCAGGTATACTGCATATCGGATAATGCACTGTTGGTAGGGTTTAGCTTGCAGTAGGAATTGGCACTTTCAGGTACACCGTGATGGATGCGCCTATCGCTAATGACCATGATGCGCCTCTGCCTTATGCTTTGGTCAATGCTGACAAGAACACTGACCCGTTGACCACTCGCAATCTCGATGCCTATTTTTTTCTGACCTTTCTTCAGCATGACGCCATCGATCTCGATGATTTCCATCTCAATATCTCCTTGTATCCAGATATAGTACCGAGACAATCCACTCATGTTGACGAACCGGAGGCGATATCGACGATCAGGAATCAGATAAACTTTCTTTCGCTCATTGTCGGAGACTCCGGGTAGGACGTCGTTGTACATTTGGGCTGCTCAGAAGTTAGTCTCTATGTGCATGAAACAAGGAGGGAAGAAACTACCCTCTGGAGGTACTTCAATTCCGACCCCACATTTGGAGTCAGCGTAGTTCCGCTGGCTGGTCCAGAAGTCCGTCCAGCTAGGAACAGATCAGTCTTCTATTCTAAAAGTGGTGGGTCACGGACTCCAACTCACTAGTCGCTCAAAGTTATGGCATAATTGATATACAAGTCAGAAGTTAGCTCATAGCCGAAAGTGTCTGGATCCGTTCGGTCCGTAATGATAAAGGGCGAGCGTAGGCCTTTAGGGTACTGTCCTGGGGCCTGTGCTCGATGAGCGATATCCATCAGAAGAAGCATTAGTTGATTATAGACTAGCCACATACATGACTATGTATCCAGTAAGTACCGGGCTTATTCGTCGGAAAGTCGTACACAAATGTCTTGCCCTTCTTCACCCCACTAAAATTTGGTTAGCTGTACGAAGATCGATTTCCAGGAATCATGGAGTCGTACCTCTGTGTTAGGTGTTGCGGGCCGTCCATTAGATTGTAGCCCCCCTCCTGAAGCAGGCCATGGAAATGAAGCGTAACGTCTTCGTCCAAGTTATTCACAAGGGCGATCCGGATTCGTTTGCCTACTTCAGCTTGCACAGCGGGTGGAGGCCAGGCACCATTCACCTCAATGCGCACATGGCCAGTTGATCCAGTATTTTGCGTGATAGTCCAAATACAATCGTATGCGTAAGCTGTGCAGTTTTTACCTGTCATAGGGTCGTTGCCACCGCTGGGACATCGAAATGGAGCATAGGTGTCTTTTGTGCAGGGTGGGTTGAACTGTACGCATAGTGATCTCGAAAGCAGCTGAAAATATGCTAAGAAGAAGACAGAAATATGCCAGCTCTGTGTGGAGCTCCTAAAGTAGGGCATCGTGTTGAGAGAGGACCGCCTTGAAGGAATAATATTCGGAAGTTCGACGGGGCTTGGAAGGGAATATAATGATCCAAAGCGCAGCCTGACTTTATAAGAGATATGAACATTCTCAATCAGTATCCTTACCACTTAATCTAGAGGAGACTCCCTTCCACACGGAGTGGACTGGGGTCAATGAGACACAAGGCATGAGGGAAGCTGATCAAGCTCGAGATTACAGTTCTGGCCTTTCGAATTTTGATGGAATCCTTGTCGTGCAGTTTTCGGTGTGCTCTATGGTAAGGGTATGCAAAAGATTTCACGAGTACGAGAGCACTCAGAACGGATTACAGCAGGCCCATATCTCGAATGGATGTGGAGCATGCTGCTCACGACTTATAACGGTTAGCTCTATCTGTTGTGGCTGGCGATAACTCCTTCAAAGAGTGAGAGACTGTATGGGTATGCAGTTTAGCCTCGTAATAGAATTGCTTGCCAAGAGCAAAATGTCGCGAGGATGAAAGTTGAAGTCGATGGCGGGGCTGAAATACGAATGGAGATCAGCTTGGCCGCTGAGGCTACACCGTTTGTGGCGCTGAAGGCTGGTCTGAAAGTTTTCCGTAAGCAAAACTCCTGGATGGTTAAATATAAACTACTGAATAGAAATTTCAAAGCGATTTTGCATGTCAAGGACGTGATCTCTGTGGGAGAGTGTGAGAGGACGTTTCCGAGGGGGATTTGCCAGGCTCTCAGCCGGCGCCTTTTCACAAGCTGAGAGCAATCACCGCGCAGCTTGTCTCGCCGACTTGAAAGGGATGGATGGTTGTCTTGATGCATGTTGCTCAGACATTGGAAATGCCAAGTCTTCTTCCGCAAAGCCGTGCATTTAGCGTATGCAAAAATCGACGGGATTCTTGGCGCTCTGCGAGATTTGCACTCCTCCCCGTCTGAGTTCCTAGGTATAACAACGACGCAATTTCAATCTATAAGGGTCCTATAGTATTATCTCTCTTGTATGTAGAATCTTTTGCTGCCTTTTTTTTTAATTAATATTGCGTACTTGCTAGGATATAAGATGGTTTTTATTCTGCTCTTCTAAGTTTTTGAGGGCTCCCGTAATAGTCTTGGCATGCAAAAATAGACGGAATTCTTGGCGTTTTTGCTGAAATTTTCAAATTAGCTTTTTATAACAACATCCCTTTCTAATATAGAATATAGACATTAATATTATATAGAGAAGAGCTTATAGAGCTAGGTGCACGTTATTATTAAGAAATACCTTTGCGTTGCTGAGATATTAAAGAAAATGTGTTGGGGGGAAACGCAAATCTCCAAATCTCGCAGAGCGCCAAGAGTTCCGTCGATTTTTGCATACGCTAAATGGGTGGTATCATCCCAGCAGGCTTCAAACTAGCCCAGAAGATGTACGGGAAACTTCTTCAGCAACTGAATACCAACTTCCACGATCGACGATGACTTCCACTCGAATAGTTTGATGCCGAAGATGAATGTTATCAACATATGTTACGTTTGATGTCATTGGTTTGGCAGAAAAATGAAGCAAGAGATCATGCGACAGGCACAAGAACGTGGGGTAGGTAAACCATTGGAAGTGCCTCAGCTGAGGCGGCCTGCCTTTCTCAACAACTTCAAATATCTGTGGTGGAAATTGTCAAGCTCCTACTCCATTTACCCTTCCCTTGGCTCAATCATCGTTTCAAGTAGCGAGTAAGAGTCAATGGATCCGATCTGAATTGTCTCAGTCCTAAGCGCGTGCGCGAGTTTGGGCTACAAATGCCTCAGCCTTTCCAGGACCTTGACTGAGCTTGCAGAAAGATACAAGCAGTCTAGGCTCTCAATTCTGTCTATTGCCCAGGAATGCATAACAACCAGACTGGCTTGGTCTCTCATTGAGCGCTGGGCCGCGGAAAATTCTGGGAGCTTTGCGGATTACGACGATGTCCACGAAACAATACAGTCCACCCTCCATGCCGGCGTCCTGATCATGTCTGCTCTGGAGAGCGACCTGATGAGTTTGCAGAAGCCTTCAAATTCACAAAGTTTCTTGTGGGGGACCAAGATTGTCTGGAACGAACACGTGTTTCGACAACACCTTGATCGCATGAGAGGGCTAGTTACATCCCTCACCCTTCTCCTGGATACTTTAAAGCTGTAAGCGAACCCCTTTTCAGAGGTGAATTTGCTTCTGACAGAGAAAGCCCAACTTCCTGTGACGGGGTCCCACTTCTCTTGCCCAAACAGATTGTATTCCAGGATGTCAGTCAGAGCGTGCGGTCCATTGTTCCCTCCCGTTAATCCTGGATGTCAGGGACAAGAGCAAGCATGGATGAGCGCGAAAGTCTTGATCTTCGATACATTCCGTTTAGCTTCGAGAATGAATTGTTTTCTTCTTATGTATACAAGCGCTGTTTCAGGGTGCCCCGGAGACCTCGCCGATTTTCGACCCTACTTACGTATACTGTTTGCAAGGAGGAAGATGTCGGAGTTCCAATCCAGATTTCCGAGCACAGAATCCCCGAAGCAGCAGCGAAAATGCGAAGGGAAAGCAAGCTCTCTCAAGATGTCTCACTATTAATACTGGATCCTCCGTCCAAGACTAGCATGGATGTCGGGGCTACGTTGGCCAAAGAATCAGTTACATCACAAAAGATCGTAAAGACTGCTACTCCTCGCGTGCCGCCCAGCCCGAGAATTGGTGAAAGGGTAGTTGGGACTCGGGCGTTAAAATGTGGTGGGAACGAATATATCCCTCGAGGAGGTACATTTGCTATCCCAACTATCGAGAGAAAGAGCAGCAGGCGCCGCAGAACACTGGCAGTTCAAAGTTTCGAATTTGAATTCGCATGAGGTTGAAATAGACCTGGGTCTTTCCTTATACCTGTCCGAATAGCTTTTATTTCCATACTCATCCCGTGCCCCAGAACTAGGGCAATACTCTAAGCGTGCGAAGAAAGTAAACCTGATTTGTGTCGTATGGCTAATACTGTACATGTACCTCATCAGTGTTTCTCTTACTTGTCACTTTTCCTTGAATAGCATGCGTCCTCTTTACATTTTAGATCAAACCAGTTCATCACAACATCTGCCTGATTCGGAATATCATGACTGACTCCCGCTGCTTCATACGCCTCGAATCTCTTCCCATACTTATACTTCGTCCAACCTGGCAAAGGCGTATCCTTCGTTGTTTCAGTTGGCGTAGTGCTCACTCCAAACACGCCCGTCCATTCCTTGATCTCTTCCTTTAGATTTTGGGGATACAACACTGTATCTGCGGTCCCATGGAAAACCTGCAACTTGGGTCGGAAGCCCTTATACCCTGGGTATGCGTTCTTGACCATGTCTGCCCACTCTGTCCCATTCTTGATAATCTTTCCAGTAGCGCAAGCATCGTTCCAGACATCAAATCCATTTCCTGCAAAACAACCAAAAGCGACACCAGCCCATGCGCTTCCGGCCGCGAAGACATCTGGATATGATCCGAGCAGGACATTCGTCATCATCGCGCCCGAGCTCGTCCCAGTTACAAACACCCTGTCCTTGTCACCACCGTACTTATCCAACGTCCACCGCACCATAGATACGATTCCTAGTGCATCACCTCCGCCATTATGAGTTAACGATTGGTTGCTGCTGACATCCCAGCATTTATCAACGGTGTTGGGAGAATCTGGATAGATGGAAATGAAGCCGTATGTATCTCCGAGAGAAGCGTAAGGGCGACCATTGAAAGCATCTTGAGCAGACCCGTGACACCAGTGAGGTACAACCATAATCGGCGGTTTCGCCGCTAGCGTTTTGGGGACATAGATGTACATGGAGACATTCCGGGGGTTGGGACCGAAGTCTTTGACTTGAGTGAGGTTGGATGAAAGGGCAGACGCAATTGTTGCTACGCCAAGTAGCACAAAAAAAGAAGAAAGATGCATGTTGGGTGCTATGAGAAAGAGGGGAATGTAGAGCGAGAAGTGCGATTTGCATCAATTTGTAGGCCCGAATCTCTCGGATCTAGCCGTCCTTTATCCACATTCCGCGAACATTCCATTTTCTATTATATATGAAGATCTAGTCTATGACCCGGTTCAGAAAAACGGTTGTTCCTGGTACCAGGCGCAACCACTGCGCTCTCGCGTAATAAAGAGCACGTCAGGCGTATTTCAAATTCGGCTATTCCACTTTTGACACGGAGGTACGTTGGGTAGATGAAACCGGGATTGTGAATATGGATCTTTATACTACTACTCAGATTCGCCTACACAAGATGATGATTCGGTGGGAGGTGGGGATATTCTTCCGCTCTCTTCAAAAATTTATCCGAAAGAAAAGGTGTTTAGAAGGAGCTGTCCTTACAAGTAATTTATTATCATGTTTACTTTGGAACATGCGCTCTAGAGGTAGATTCGAAAATGAGATACTTCCTAATTCTTGGTCACAGGAACACCAGTTGAGATTAGTTGAGATTGAATGGTGCCTTCCCAATTTGGACTAGCGCAAGAAGGAAGGGCCGGGACAAGAGATTTCGGTCCCCACACTTCTTCCACCCTCAACACCCTGTTGTCCTTGCAGTTCATCAAGGGATGGACTTCCTTTACTCGCTAGATTCTATTATTTCCATGCGCGAGCTATTCCTCATAGCCGACTCCTCCTCCTTCTTGATATCGAGGCTAGGGTAATGAATCAGTACGACTTTCGTGACTGCTTGGTAGCGAATAGTACCCGTGCTCATAAATAGCTGTATGAAAGCCCCGGAAACGGGACGAGTATGGCGTCAAGATGCTGTCGGGTGCCTTCCATTACAGGGCATCCAGGAGTGCCGCTTCATGACCGCATTTAAGGCTCTCATTCTAGCACTTTGGGTCTTGTCGTGTTCTGTATAGGCGAGGCGCAAAAGAACAATCCACACGGTAGGACTAGTTTCAGCCGTTAATGTAAGCCTTAATCCATTCTATATTTATGTTTGGTCCAATCTCCGTAGTTGTAAGACCAGTGCCCACTTCTGACTCGGGTCTCGTAAGGCACCCCTAATACTTCCCCTCTCTAACCCGAAAGAATGTCAGATAGTACCATACACCGCGGTCCGGGCCAAGAAGACTTTCTGAAGGAGGCCACCATCTGGAGTACACTTGCAGACCTTCCGCGAGCCCCTTGTCTCAAAAAGACAGTCAAGAGAGGGATCGCCCGGACTTGCATAAGCTATATGATTACTCACGGTTGACAATAACGGATACCTCATCTCGACGCCCATGGGGCAGCAATTGTACGTGTGCTCACAAGTGACTTGCGCAGATTCCTTTGACCCTCAAGATTGGTGGGAATTCACCAGCCGCATAGTTCGTCGGTAAGTCGTAGCTTCCCAAAAATATCTCTTAGATCACCACTACGAATATGATTCAATACTACGTCGGGTATGGTGAAGGGGGGAGCTGTACTTGTGACGTTGAGAAGCTTAAGAGCCCCTCCTAGGACTGACACAAAATGGTGGAACTCTGCGACGTTAGCGATAACATTGTGCTCTTCGCCCCGCTTGAAAGCCAGTAATCGGAATTGATCCAGGTGTTCTCCGCCCAGCGCAGGCAGACTATGCAGATGCTTGGTCGGCATACGGTAATCTTAGCGCTTGCGGTTCCCACGTAGTCAAGTCCTATTAGGCCAAGTGAAGAAGTTACTTGAGACTGGCCTCGCGAAACAATACTCGGTTCATACCCTACAAATTCCCAGCGTGGAGATGCCTTAGCTCTTGGCTATCGCAAGGAATAGTATTCAGTTGATAGGGGGGTTTCGCCAGAGGAAGAAGCGTTGCGAAACCTTCTCCCCCAGCTCGGTTGGCGAAATGATGGGACTCAGATGCTGCACATATTGGGAGCACGGTTTGCAGATTGGGAATTCCTTTCTTACCTACTGTTCGAGTGCCGAAGTGCTACTTTACTTGACCACAATGTGATAGATATCAGAGCCAGTCGAAGCAGAGCGGACCCAAGCGCGCAGCATGTGTGTTTTGTGCGATATGGCTTCCAGCCTGTGGAGCCTCTGAAAATCTTGCTGTGTTTCCAATGCTGCAACAAAAGAATCAAGTCCCTAGGGCAATTTCCCAGTCTGCGCTCGGATTACGTGGATCTCAGGTAGCAACATGCTGTAGAATAGTGAATCGTGTGAGCTGGCGGCGATATAAAGGTACGTCCGCCTGCGCACCAATCAGCGGCCCGGGTCCTGCCTAAACAACAATCGCCTCGCAATCCAGATAAGGTCATCAACCATTCGATCAATACCATTCGCTGGCTCACTTGCGGTGTCACGCCCTCTTCCGCGCTTCGTACGGCTTGGGCGACGCTCATTTCCTGGTACGTGGATTCTCCAGGTGTAACACTTGGAGCTGTTATGTCGTGTTATCAAGCTCCCGTACCAGGAATCGAGGACGTGGCAGGTCCTACCATTGCCACTGCCCCCTCCGAATCCTGATCCGCAGAACCGTCGACGAACTGTTGCATCAAGTACAAGGACAGGCGATGGAGATGATTCCGTTCGAGCAGTACGGCTTGCAGCATGTTCGTCAAATCAGTCAGGAGACCAAATATGCGTGTGGCTTCCAGACACTTTTGTTGGTACATCCATGAGTCCAGGAAAGCATAGTTGAGAGCCTGGTCCTTGAAGACGGTCTAGATGACCAAGAAACGGGTTCTGGCTCAGAGAACACATATGCCATGATGCTTACCTACCAAACATGGGAGTCAAAGTTGGAAATGCAGCTGAGCTTTGACTTGACCGTTGTCCAAAAAGAAGCTGCAGTACAGCTCCTTCATCAACTGGAGCATATATTAGGTCAAATCGCCTCTGTTGGTAGACCGACAAACATAGGCGATCTCAGCAGAGTCAGCGAGCGTGACCTGCATGACGTATGGAAATGGAATGCAGCAATGCCGGAGAGCATTGACCTCAAGAAGGGTTTGTTCATTGGTGAGGCACTCAAAGCTAGTGGTGTCGCCAAAGGTGTCGAGGTCTACAATACACATAGGCCTGCAGCATGCACTGTCACGAGCACAGTTGAGAAAGTCCGAAGAGGGGAGCCTGATATCAGAGTTGGTGACCCCGGTATCGGCAAAGGTACTGGCGCGTTGGTTTGGGTAGTCCCACCTCGTGCGCCTGACAAGTTGGCTGCCATCGGAACCATAGGAGAGTTGTGGATTGGGTGACCGATTGTGGATGCAGGCTATCTGAATAATCCCGAGAAGACAGCCAGTGCATTTGTCGAGGACCCCAAATGGCTATTGAATGGAATTCCTGGGCGAGGGCCTAGTCCCCGTGGACGACTCTACAGGACAGGTGATTTGGTCTACTACAACCCTGATGGGCGTGCACATTAGTCATGATCGGCAACGTAATTGCGAGTGAAGGTGAGGTATTCTGGATGGTTAGCGACTCTCGTGGTGCGTGCCTATCTACAGCTAGAGGAGTGGCAGGTAACTATAGCTGGCCTGGTGGTCCGTCAATCCGGCCTTCGTATACTCCGTACACCACTCTAATAGAGCAAGATGCGCTGCATCGTCATCCACATCCAAATGGTCATGACATAGATACATGTATCACAGGCTAATTCCTCAAACAAGTCAAGGTACCTGATACGTAAAGCGATGTTTAAATCAACAACAATTGTTCGCTTAACGTGATACCACGGTAGGCAACGCAAACTAAACACGAAATCACGAATGTGGGACACGTGACATCGCGTGCCAACCCAGGCAGGTACGACCCACAAGGCCGTCAGGGCTTATGGGCCAGGCGGCAACGCTAAGGATGTATTATATCCAGATGAAGCGCCACCTGGCGATCCTCTTAGGCTCCTCCCTCTTAGAGACTCTCTGCCCCTCCATCACTTTACCCCTCCATCACTCTGCCACTTCATACCGCGATATATTGCAACTAGTTGTAAAAGCCTTGAATATCACACCCCACTCATCAGAAATATACAACCCTTAAGAATTCATAAAACCATCACCCCACAATGGCCTCCTCAACCCTCCCTTCGAACGGCCACCTCGTCAACATCGGCACTCACTCTCTAGCTCTCTATACTTACGGCCCAGAGCCTAGCAGCTCCAAAGATCCCGTCGTACTATTTATCTCGGGTGTGGCAAGCGATGCCCTCAACTGGCAAGCCGTGGTGCGGCTGTTGGGTCCCTCGCTGCGAAGCTACACTTACGACCGTTCCGGCTATCACAACTCGGAGTCCTCGCCGCTTGCTCCCTCGGCCGAGAACGTTGCTCTGGAGCTCTCCCTTCTGATCGAAAAGGCGCCCATTCCGAACCCTCTGATCCTTGTGGGGCACTCCTGGGCCGGCGTGCTCACGCAAGAGTACATCGCCCTAAAGGGAACTGACCAAATCGCTGGTCTGGTGCTTGTGGATGCCAACCATGAGACAGCGCCACTGGTGATGGACGTGAACGATCCAATTCTCTGGACTGTTGCCGCGGGGGTTGAACCATACTCTGCTTGGGGCGTGGAAGCAGAGCACAAGTTGACGCAGGAGGAGTGGGGCGCGTTCAGGGCGGCAGAAACAACCGAGAAGTTCAAGCTGATTGAGTGCAAGGAGGGGTTTGAGAACTACATGCCAAGTTTCGAGACGCTGCGGAGTAAGGAGCTGAGTAAAAAGCAGCCACTGGTTGGAGACAAACCGGTTTATGTGATTGGGGGCACACGAAGCAGGGATTGGAGTGGATTGTACAAGGCGGGCGTTGCTAAAGGTAACGGGACCGAGGAGCAGAGGAGCCATGTGAGAGAGTTGATCAAGACGGTCGATGCGAAGAATGAGGGTCTCATGAAGGAATTCTTGAAACTCTCTACGAAGAGCGAGCTTGTTTTCGCCTCCGAGAGTGGACACTTTGTCCAGATGACTCAGCCGGAAATTGTTGTTGATGGAGTGAAATGGGTTCTAGATAACTTACCAGCATCTTCTTTATTGCGGAGAATAAGTAACATTAACACTTAGCACTCGAATCTATGGGTAACATGTATGTGAACAATGGTGGAAAGAAGCTACGTCCAGGGCTTCCAACGGGCCGTACTACAGTCCGTACAAAGTGAACCGTAACGGTCACGTGTTCAGTATGAACGTACCAAGCTTATGAGCCGCACTGTATGTTTAATAATGCCCTGGGTACAGTACGTAACACAAGGTATATTACCCTTTTAAGAAGTTTTTATAGTAATTCTAAAAAAGTAGCAGGGCTCTAGTAAGCAGTAGGCTTATAAAAAGTGTTAGAGGTTTTTAGGAACTCTAATTTGCTAAAAGTTTTATAAGAACTACATTGCAAGGCAATTATACACTGTTAACAGTGTAAGCTTATAGTGCAGATTTAACATTTCTAGAGAAGCAGAGTGTGGGGCATATATACTATTTTCCTCGCGAATCAACTGTTGGTTGATTATTCGTACCTTTTTAGTTGTAATAGCGGAGTGGTGAAGAGACCCGCCCTTATACAGAGTAAGGTAATCCGCGTCTAGCTCTATTATTAGTGTTATAAGTAAGGCTCTTAAGGCGCTGCAAAGATAGTAGATGGCTATGACTATATTATATAACACCTATTAAGAGATTATAAGGTTAATTTTAATAGAAAGCTCTTAATTAATAGTGTATTGCTACTGTAGCATCTATAGAAGGTAGCTAGAGGAGTAGTAGGTTTATTGCAGGGGTTATCTTATACTCTGTAGCAGGAGAGTTCTCTCCGCAGTGCCTTAATTAACTACTAAAGACAAAACAGCCTATCTTATCTTTGTTAAGATTGCTCTTGATTTACTTAATATTCTAGCTACTAGTCGCAAGTGCAAGAGGTGTTTTAGTGCAGCTAGTAGCACATTAACTAATGATTAAACCTTACTAGAAAGTGTAATAATTAGGATTCTTTAACTCTAGAAGAACTTTCTACAGTATAAAGCAGTAAATAGTAAGCCTTTAAACCTCTCTGCTTTTATTACTAGAAATAATTAGCTATTTTATAGCTAATTAGACCTTAATTTTATCTCTTTATAAACTTACAATCTTAGCTATTTTCACTAGAGTACAGCGTACTTTAATTAAATTGTACTACTTGTACCTAAAATCGTCCAACCGTACAGTACTACCCCTCGTTGGAAGCGCTAGCTACGTCAGATACAGACCTATAAAACCGTTAAGATCTTGTGATGGCTAGTCCTTGCATAATTCAGAATTCCAAGAAACGCCTACAACTCCAAATCTCACAAGGCTATAGAAACAGAATGTAGTGGACAAGTAAGAAGTCTGGAGACTGGCGGATAGGGGCGCATTAGACAGGATACAAGACACATAAAGGAAGCGTGTGATTACTCAAGTAACAGAATAGAAACGGACCGTTTCTATTCTCTTTTCAAGTGCATTTGAAATTCCCTACAATCTTTTAATTCTTATTCTACCAAAAATTTTCTCCCTTCCTTGCTCAATGCACAATGTGAAGATGGAGAACTTCTACGGATTCGAGAATTGCCTTTGCACTGATAGGCAACCCCATACTAGTGGTAGCCACTAGAGGATGAGGTTGAAGCTAACGAAGAACCGCTGACTCCTGGGCCTTCTAGCAGTAGCAATGCGGATAGGTACGACGAAATCCACTTTTATTAGCAGAGCTTGCTCTGCTTATTATATTCGGGTTTGCAGAACGAAAAGTTTAGCAGAATCTCCTCTTTTGGACGCGCTAGTTAGTCAGAATTTCTTCGGATAAACCCCAGTAACGCTGTTTCTCTGTCAGCTTATGTGTTTCTTATATTCTTTTTTAAAAAAAATGTATACCTAATGTAAGTGCACCTTTATGCTAATTTGCATGCAGTTTGCTCCAGCATGCGTTGTGTAAAACATATTTAAATTATGGTTAGTTGCGTCTGTTCCACCTCTCTAGCCACATCGGTGTCTCGGGGATTGGCATC